AGAGAAGATTTGAGTGGACATAGACATGAGGTAGTTAATCATGTAGACGATGACGGCTGGTGCAGCTAGGTTAAAGAGGAGTTTAGATTCAATCATCGTGGCTTTGCGTAAGCGTTGTAACAGAGGCGTTTCAACGTCGGAGAGTACGGTTTCTAGCTCGCCGTTGTTTGATTCCGTCGTTGATGGAGATAGCTGAGGAGGATGGAGAAGCGGTTGGCTTACGCCGTCGTTTTGAGATGAGTCCATGGCTGAGAATTGCTTCTCTCTCTCTCTCTTTTGTTTTTTGGGGTTTTGTAGGTTGAGGCTGAGGATGTATGTGGCCTTTTGTTGTGTAGAGAGTTTAAAAGGTGTTTTTGAGGGTGGCGAGTGACGGCTAATGGACAGTTACAGATTCTATCTTTTTATTATAATTGTCTTGTTAATCATTGTATCAATTTTTTTTTTTTTTTTTAACAACCACTGTATCAATTGTAACGAGATAAATTAGTCCACGTCAATTTCCTCATTTAAAACCACATATAACAAAAGTTGTAATATTTCTTTCCATTTTTATTTATTATTAGTCAAAGATTTGTAAAATCTCTTTTCATGCAACATTATTATTGAAATCATGCATGCATACACATAATGGCGGAATGGTCGATAATTGAATGTAAATTTTAACTTATATAAATTGTAACTTGGTTACCTATATTTTATTAATGTTTTTCTTCTACAAAATATCTATATGAACTCAAATTTCGAGTTTTTGTTAGGACTTTGGATGATACTGTGTAGTATTCACAGTTCTAACGATAAATCATTTAATCATTTTTTCTTTCTTTCTTGTAAATTTGGAATTTTCAGACATACACCTATACATCTTCCATAGCTTAAACAAGCCTTTAGTACTAAATTATCTATCTTGTAATAAATCAAACTCATGTTTTTCTAACCAGAATTCAACCACTACCCAAAACTCTACTTTAAATATAATTTATTGTCACTTTAACTTATATACCACATATTTTGCTCATGGATATGGGTTGAACGAGAGTATATTGTTTTTGGTGTTAATCTTACAAACTTTTTCAGTAATCTACACAAGTGTCTTTTACTTTATGAAATTAATTTGCTTTAACACTAGAACATATAATATAAAACATGCCACTAAAATAATTACTGTGTAGACGTCTTGACACTTTACTCAAAAGGTGGATATCTATTTCATTAAAAGGGGACTGTACGTTACTTAAAATCATGAAAAAGGAAAATAATCTTTCAAGAAATAAATGATTATGCAAACTGAATATGGAGTCAGGTGAATAAAAATAGACATATACAACCAAAATACCATAGGCCAAAGACTCATTTTGTACAATGTCACAAAATTATGATTTCACCTAGCTAGTTACACACCGCCATCTTAAAAGTTGGTATAGTCGTAAAAGCAAAGCGTACTAGCATGTTCCATGTGTTTATGTATTGTATAATTTTGATATTTATGTATATGATTCCAAATAAAATGGTTATCAATGGTCTACTTGTGCAAGTTACTGGTACACGTCCCTCTCTTTAACCCATTCTAATTTTCAGTCACTCATTCCACAATTTCCAACCCAATAACATAGCTACGTTTAATATGAAAACCCAAGTTACTTCAATGAACATAAATGTTTACCAGTGGCCCAATACTCTTTTAATTCCCCAAGAAACTATTAAGAATTGCTTTTATAATACTAATAGTAGTATATAAATGTCTTGTCGGGATATACATGGCATGCAGCAAACAGTTTTAAGGATATATGCATCATGCATGCTCTAATTTGGTGAATACCAAAGCCAAACCTGGAGTATAACATTTGCTTTATAGCTAATACTCTGAAATCGAAACCTAGCTTGCAGAAGTAGTAATTTGAAAAAAAAAAAAAAACTTGTTTGTCTTTGAAATTTGTTATTTCTTATTGTATCTATATAAAAATTAATGTTTAAATCCAAACTCAAGTAATAAATTAAACATTAAAAATGTCAGTTAAGCCCTGAACTTATTGGTCAACGTCATTTAAATCCTGAACTTTGTCCAACGCCGATGAAATCATGTAGTTGTGTTTGACTATCAATTTAAACATCACATTTTGTTAACCAAGACACATTACACATATCGTAAAATATATAAACCGATCAGCTAAACCCTATTAAACATATGTTAAACTAGCCGTTAACGGTTAAACACTCGTTTTGTCTGCGAACGAAAAAAATTAATCGCGATGGAGCTTCTCTGACATGTGTATTTGTTTCACGCGATCGAGCTTCTACTACATCTTCATACATAATTGGAATTTGTGATTCGTCTTGGTAAATAAAATGTGGTGTTTAAATTGATAGTCAAACACAACTACATGATTTAAATGGCGTTGGACAAAGTTCAAAGTTTAAATAGCATTGACCAATAAATTCACGGTTTAATTGACATTTTCCCCTAAATTAAACCATAAAGACTGTTGTTGAAATGATAGTCCCACGTGGTCGTGATCGATCAATGCTGCTTTTGAACCAAAAAAAAAAAAAAAGTTGTACAATCACTATGAAATTATTTGGCTGAGACTCATAAACTCCAACCAAACACAAAGTAGCTAGTAGATGCAATTATGATCAAAAATTGAATTAGAGGAGTTCCCCACTTGAAGAACTCCAATCTTTGAAGAGCTTTGTCCTTTGGAAGTGGCACTGTTCTAAACTTCTATATATCTTTTTGGACTCGTTGCTAATAGACTCTACATATGGATTAATGGATGGGGACATGAAGCATTTATCATGAGCACTGAAGAAAAAATCTAATATGTGTAACATATGCAATTTTTGGTTTTTTTTTGGGGGCAAAATGCAGTTTTTGGTTTATTCATTTTATTCCCAAAAAAAAAAAACTATACTACGTTTGACAATAATTCTGGGCTAAAACCTCCAAATAAGCACCTTTTACATATCTATATAAAGCCCATCTTGGCTCTAGATAAATATTACTCCTAAGGCCCATATTTATATCCATGTTTTCTGACAATTGTTGTCTCATTTTCTTCCAAAAAAAAAATCGTATTCCTTACATAATTTGTTTTGTTGAATTTTCCATATTATCAAACAATACAAGCTAATATAGCACATACTGAATTTTTGATTTTTTTTCTTCTTATTTATACAAAATGCTTTGATAATGAGTTGTTAATTTGTTATTAAGCGTTTTTAACTAATTAAACAGAATTAATTAATTTGTTTTAAAATTAATCTGTAAAAGTATTGTATTACATATAATTATATCGTACATAAACTAATACATTAACTTTAATAATTATATGTATCTATGCATAGCGTAAAACTATTTAGTAGCTAAATGTTATGCTCTCTTTAGTCAGCAAAAGTATAAATTAACCCAAAAGAAAAGTCTGAGACAACACAATAATGTGTATATGGGGAATAAATTAATGGATACGCCACATGCAATGAGCTCTCTGAAAGTGCCATGAAAAATAATTGTGGAATTGACCTAATCGGCTAATCCCATGTGGAAGAAGACAACAATTTACGAATTTGTCAGCTCTTCTCCGCGTTACGGCCTCTATTTATGTTCTTCGTTTAGCAAATGACATATCATATTATCATGCATGCATGGCCCATTTTCAAGAAAATATTTATATACGTCAATCTATATATTCTTTGTATAAGAAAAAAAAGAGTTATACAAATGCAAATATTCAAGTTTAAATTTGTATAACTCGCCTTAATTAAATATGTTTAATTCCATCACTACTTCCTTTATTATTTAATGGAGAGGGTCTCTTCTAATCTAGTATTATGAAAAGCGATCGGCGGTTAGAATTGGATTTGATTTGGTCAGAAAATCATAATTAGACAAAATCTAATTTTTATACGATGGCTTCTATGTTTCTTTTTAATATAATTAAAATCATTGATGGATATGGACCTTTTACAAAAAAAAAAAAAAAAAAAAAAAAACAATACTATAGGGGTTATTGACTCAACTCGTTAGACAGGGATATTTTAGTTTTTGTGGACTTGGATCCGAATTTGATATATGCACAAGTAAAGGTTATTTGAGTTTTCAAAAGAGATTGACATATATCAAAACTTTTCAAGATTTATACAATTGAGAAAGAAAAAAAAAAAATACTTTCCGAAAAAGTTTCAAAAACCTTGATATATACTGGATTTTGACAACTGGCTCTGGCTTGTTCTGCAGCTTATAAAGTTGCATTTTAATCCTACAAGTTCCTTGAAATTTTCATGTAATTTGTTGGTCCCCTAATGTCAATTGGAGAAATAGAAAAGATCATATTAGTGTTATGACTTGTGAGCTTGCACGACATACCTAACACATACTACGTTCACATGTCTATATATATGTACATTAATATTAAAATAAATATTACTATAGTATAAGGTCGTACGATTATTAGGTTTTTAATTCCAATATGGAATTAGAGATCGAGATAACCACGATAATGTTAACCGGATGTTACAAAGAAACCTCCCAATTCGATTTTGACCTGATTATGGTGAAACAAGCATGATGCATCAATTTGTGGTATGAAAATTTGTCATCAAGTTCGGTGATAATGCTACGGTCCCTTTCTTTTTCTTTTTCTTTTTCTATAATAAACAAAGATTACGTTGAACTTAAAAAATGCTAGGTAAAAAAATAATACACATGATATAAAAAAACGATCCACCAATGTGATTGACTATTTATTTACATAATTATGTGTATAAGACATATATATATATACCGTGTTGTGACAGAACATCAAAGACAATAATTACGACACCGATAAAAATAAAAATTGAGACCTCATCACTTACACATTTGCAAATGCTCCGGCGCATAAAACGCTCCTCTCATGTGCTCTCTCTCTCTCTCCTTCACGATTGTTATATATATAACCATGCAACCCTCACCATCTCATGTCTCTAATTTATCTTATATTATACACATTTGACGATATATATCAATGGGGAACTGTCTAAGACACAACAATGGCCTAGCCGGAGAAGAGAAAGACAATCTGGAGTCTGAGCCGCAGATTAAGTCAGTACTGGAAGAAGGCAAAACGAGTATCAGAGGGAAAGAAGAAAGTGAAAGATCGACGGAAGGAGAATCTAAGGTGGTAAGGATAAAAGTCACGGTGACGAAAGAAGAACTTAGACAAATCTTGGGTCACAAGAAAGGTATTAACTCCATACAACACTTGGTTCATGTTCTCAAAGATAGTGGCAGAAACATCTCCAAGGCTAATGATGAAGAAGAAAATGAACCATGTGATGAAAATTGGAGGCCTTCGTTAGAAAGCATTCCCGAGAGTGAGAATCATTACTCAAGTTAATCATATATATTTAAACTAATAATCCAATTTCTCCAATTACTTTTTGACTTTTCTTTTTTCCCAAGATGACTGTTTGTCTACGTTTGGTCCTTTTTAACCAATGTTCTATGAATGTTGTATCATAGAGCAGTGGTTTTTTCTTTTCATGTTTTAATTTTCCTTTATTGTTTTATTTCGGACAATCTTTGGTGCTTTGTGTTTTTGTTAGAGCACTAATCAAACTATTATATGTCATTACAAGTATATATAATATATGTTATGTGGTTGAAAAATCATAATATTTTATGTACAAGTGCATGCTTCTTCTTTTTTTCTCTATCAAATTTTGCATAATAACACTACAATGGCTATTCCTATTATTATCACAAACTACACAACATGTCATAGTCTTATAATAAAGTGTTAAATTAAAGTGTTTCTTTCTTTTCTTTGAACCCACATATGTAGACCAACTTGCTAGTGATAGTACCACACCACCTAAGGAAAGCTCATAAGAGCTTCACTATCTCCCCTTACGGATTCGTACGTGAGTGTTAAGTTTACGGGACCATTTTTTTTATATATGTGAACATGCAAGTTCTTTACGACCAGTACCTATAAAAGTTATAGATAGACGATACAGTCACACAAATATAAATCATAGGCTCATACTCATCTAACCTTAAAAGAAACGAGTGGATAAAACTATGCGAGCAAATTCTAAGGCCCATTTTTTAATACAGACAAAACGGACTGCTTTATTATAGGCCTATGGTAATACAAACACTAAAGCGGAAACTTTGAGATTTAGACTTTAAACATACTCAAAACTCGTTCAAGATTATCATAATAAGCATTTAAATATACTTTGTAAGAATCTACGTACATTTACCGTATTCAGGACTTACGTATACGTTTAAAAGCATTTATATAATGTAAATACTTTGTATACCGTAATTGAACAGTAACTATACTTTGTATTTATGCATATAATATACGTATACAAAAGGCATACGAAACAGTAATTTGTCTATATACGTTTAATACATATACCGTAGATGTAAAATACTTTGCATGTATATATAGTAGTATTTACGTACGTACGTATACCGTATACATGATTAAAATTTCCGTAAAAATCTTAACGTGTCAATTTATATCAGGTCAAACACATATATACATAACTATAATAGTGTACAATTGGAACAGGAGTTTCACGTTGTTAAACCAAACATTCCAGGATAAGCTCAACTACAAAGAGTTTGTGTGGTCGGCAAAAGCTTAGAGATTGCGTGAGCAAATTGTCTAATACGAAATATTAATCATCGAAAGAGATTTTTATTCAAAACTTCATTTTATTTCTTTATATTTAAATTCAAAACATGTTTTAAGTTAGATTAAACATGTGTTGACAGGTAATGTGAATATATCTGGTAACCGATGCAATGCACATGTATTCCAAAAATATGTATATACGGTCAAAATTGTAGGTAGAGTTTAGAAAGATAATATGTAACTGCCAATTATTTCAAGGTTTAACAAAATATTAATACGTTAAGTCATTAATCTATTCGTTAAAGTGACTGTGCAAATTGTCTTGTGTGTCTCCATGCAATCTTAAAGAATCTTATATAACTCGATAAACCAAGCAAGAAATTTTCATGTATCAACATGCATGGAGATAAAATAAAAAAGAGGGTGGGGCAATATAGATCATATATGTGGTACATTAATATATCATTCAAGATTTTTTGTTTTATTTCTTATCGTCGCATTATTGTTGTGGCCTTCTTAATTTTATTTTGGAATGACATGTGACACATCCAAAGGTTGGCATAGATTCCCCAAAACAATCACACTTTTGGTATGTTTTGGTTTTTATCTCAAGTTGATGATGAAATCTCTCGGATTCTATAATCCATACAGTCAAAACCCACTTCATCTAAAAATTGTCACATTACTTGCATTTTCTTTCTTTCTTTTGGCATAGTTGGTTTGTTGTCTAGACTACGGACCAATTTGATGGTCACTAGTATTTTGATGTGATTTTACATATTGAATCATTTCGGGTACGAATCTTTTTTGATTTTTATGTCGACGATCAATGTGAAACTTATAATATGTCTTTTCAATGTGATGGCTATAAATCACTACATTTTGATATTATCTCTCTATATGATTGAATTCAGATTGTATCAGATATTTATTTGAGTCCGCTCGGATAATCAAAGTTTTGTTAGGATTAGTTTTACTACTTTGTGAAGATTCAATATCTTATATTATACCTTATCTTGCAATTGATATGAGATCCCCAACAAAAACATATCATATATATACTTTATTTATTTTCCCTTCAAAAATACAAGAAAATCTCAGAAACGTTAGTATATAACATATCCGATTCTATTATACCACTACGTGTTTAATTGGCTATGGTTGGACTATCTTCTATATGAGCAGTGGGCTTGTCCCACATAAGCTTAATAATTGCACACTAAAATATCAAATAATTAAATCTTGATTAGAATCATCACTAACCCTTTTCCAAAAGGTTGGAGAAAATATCTCTTCTCTAGAAAGACTAAAGACTAATCATCTCAATTACTTGACCAACCCAACAAAACTAGAATCGGATACCATATAACTTCTACCACTTTACCAGTAAAACTCTACTAAACCTAATTCTTATTGATTTTATATGATTGGTGAGCAAAAAGATGAACCCACTCTATATATTTAATCCAACTTTAAACACACGCACTCTTTGTTTTCTAGAAATAATAATGCAGCTTGAAAACTATCGAAACGAGTGTCCGATTTTAATATATTTGATCTAACTTAGAGAAATTATTAGTATTGTGACGTTGGATACATTAATAATGTAGTAGGGACGAGAAAGAATCGTAATTGTATGGTGAAAAATATATATAATCATGACGTCCACAAAGAAGAGAATACAACTTGTAGTAGAGGGAACCTTAAAACCTCAGCTTTACCCTAAACCATTGGAGGCAAAATTATATTAAAAGTTTTACTTTTTTGACTTATGTTCTTCTTGCTTACATCATTTCAAGTAGAGGAATCAATTTCGTCAACATGTATAGCTTTTTTATATAAGTAAAATATCTTCCTCCATTTGGGATGATGTTAAATTCACCTTTTGTAGAGTCAGTTTCGAATATAATTGTTGGTTACTTATTAAAAGCAAAAACCTATGTTTTTACTTTACATACATCTCAGCTTCAAAGCGCATTTTCTTACGTATCACCTGAACTCTCTTTGTATCTATCTCAAAAGTTAAAGCTGCATGCTTATATTGTAGACCATACAAACCCTAGATTATTATAAAGGTAAGTCTGTCCATTGTTTTCAAAACCTTCCAAATGAATAGAAGTCTATGTGTTATGACTTATGAACCTTTGTGATCATCGCAAAACCGGTCTAGTCCGACACGAATTGTTGAGTCCGATCCTGATTCAATCATGTTTGATATTGGTAAAAATACATATCGTCATACATAATTAATAAACCCATTTTGTAAATCAAAGTAGACATTGGTTTTTCATGATGAGTGTTTTTGATCCACCACAAACATGATTCCTAATAAATATTTGTTAATCAGTCGGTAATGCAATATATACTCACTAAAGAACAATTCTCACTAATGATTGAACATTAATTCGAACCATGTGATTATGATATTGAAATGAAATGATAGCACTAACTTTAATGCTAAACTAGTCACAATGTCCCAAATGTTAACAGAACATGCATGTTTTGTACCTGTGTGGGATTACTCAGACTAATCTTGAAACCTTGTTAGTGTATTCAGTAAAATTCGTTCACGTGACCGATCAGTACTTCACACAACTATCTGGCCACACATGATATATAAAGACAAAGATTTTGATTATGCTTTCTTACAAGTGTAAAATCTTAGAAAACACACATAACACTAATTATAATAGTTAGTAACAGATTTGTTGAAGGTGAAGAGGACATGGACATGGGTATGAAACACTATTTGCAGCCACAAGAAAAAGGGTATAAGAAGACAAAAAGAAGAGTAATGGACATGGGGAATTACAAAGAAGCAGAAAACCTTGCAACCACATGAAATAAACAAATGTCTTTGTCATAAGATAGTGAAATCACACTGTTGTCTCAATGTGTCAATGTTTGTTTTTTTAGATCTGATCATCATCATATATCGCTTGAAGCAACCTTACCACACAATAAAGCAAAGCCACATTTTTATATAAATCAGTCCCCATCTCTTCTTCACATGCCCATTTGAACCGTATCTCTTGTTTCATTTCTTCTTTTGTTTTGTTGGAGTTAGATAAAATCAAAGGACTAATAAAAGTGTCAAAAACCCTTATCGCTATAACCTCCTCCACATCCGTCTCTATTCTCTCCTTATAACTCCTCACACTTCTCCTCTGCCTTCTTCTCTCATAGGCTTAACTGCTCAAAATAACAAAATGGTGAGTTATAAAGTCTTTTGTTCTCTGTTTTTTTTTTTATTTAACTCTGTTTCCTCTGTTCTTAATGGTTTTGCTTGTCTCCAAAGGTTCATGTGTCATCTCACGGTGGAGCAAAAGATGGCTCAGACGAAGCCGTAGACTACAGAGGAAATCCACCGGATAAATCCAAAACCGGTGGATGGTTAGGTGCCGGTTTGATCTTAGGTAAAGTCTACACAAACTTCATACTACACAAAAAAACTAAAAAAGTGTTTGTTCTGTTTCTAAGCTCCTCTGTTTCTACCACTCCTCTGTTTCTTCTTAATGTGAAGGGAGTGAGCTGTCGGAGAGAATATGCGTGATGGGTATATCAATGAATCTAGTGACGTACCTTGTCGGAGATTTACACATCTCATCAGCTAAATCAGCGACCATAGTTACCAATTTCATGGGAACTCTTAACCTCTTAGGACTTCTTGGTGGTTTCTTGGCTGATGCTAAACTCGGTCGCTACAGGATGGTTGCAATCTCAGCCTCTGTTACAGCTCTGGTATGCCCTTAAACGTATAGCTCAATTGGCTCAAGAAAGTTCTAGCTCTGACTCTTTGTGTCTGTGAAAACAGGGAGTGATGCTTTTGACGGTGGCTACAACCATCTCAAGCATGAGACCACCACCATGTGACGATTTCAGGAGACTTCACCATCAGTGTGTAGAAGCAAGCGGACACCAGTTAATTCTTCTTTACGTTGCTCTCTACACCATAGCTTTAGGTGGAGGAGGAATCAAATCCAACGTCTCTGGTTTCGGGTCTGACCAGTTCGACACAAGTGATCCCAAGGAAGAGAAACAGATGATTTTCTTCTTCAACAGATTCTATTTCTCCATCAGCATAGGCTCTCTCTTCGCCGTGATTGTTCTCGTTTACGTTCAGGACAACGTCGGGAGAGGATGGGGTTACGGGATCTCAGCCGCGACTATGGTGGTTGCAGCCATTGTTTTACTCTGCGGAACGAGATGGTACCGTTTCAAGAAACCTAAAGGAAGCCCTTTTACAACAATATGGAGGGTTGGTTTCTTGGCTTGGAAGAAAAGAAAGGAGAGTTACCCTGCGCATCCTAGTCTTTTGAACGGTTTTGACAAAACTACTGTTCCACACACAGAGAGGCTCAAGTGTTTAGACAAAGCCGCTATTCTCAAGAACGAAGGCTCTCCTAGTTCAAAGGACTTTGAAGAGAAGGATCCGTGGATCGTTTCTACAGTCACACAAGTTGAAGAAGTGAAGCTTGTGATGAAATTGGTGCCGATTTGGGCAACAAACATTCTCTTCTGGACGATTTACTCCCAAATGACGACATTCACGGTCGAACAAGCGACGTTTATGGATCGAAAACTCGGTTCTTTCACTGTTCCTGCAGGCTCCTACTCTGCTTTCCTCATACTCACAATTCTCCTTTTCACTTCCCTTAACGAGAGAGTCTTTGTTCCTTTAACAAGAAAGCTCACAAAAAAGCCTCAAGGAATCACCAGCCTCCAGAGAATCGGAGTAGGACTTGTGTTCTCAATGGGAGCAATGGCAATAGCTGCGGTTATAGAGAACGCTAGACGCGAGGCAGCGGTTTCCAGCAATACGAAAATAAGCGCGTTTTGGTTGATTCCGCAGTATTTCTTGGTAGGTGCGGGTGAAGCGTTTGCTTACGTTGGACAGCTCGAGTTCTTCATAAGAGAAGCACCAGAGAGGATGAAATCGATGAGCACCGGGTTGTTTCTCAGTACGATTTCGATGGGATTCTTTGTAAGTAGCTTGCTCGTTTCGCTTGTTGATAAGGTCACAGACAAAAGCTGGCTTAGAAGCAACCTCAACAAAGCGAGATTGAACTACTTCTACTGGTTACTTGTTGTCTTGGGAGCATTGAACTTCTTGATTTTTCTTGTGTTTGCCATGAAACATCAGTACAAAGGTGATGTGATTAGTGTTCGGATTGATGAAGATTCATTGGAGAAGGAGAAGAAGACGAGAGAAAGCTCTGAGTTTGAGCTTAAGGACATTCCTTGAAACCAAACTTGAAGAACAAGAAAGAGAGAGAGAGCGCTCTGCTTTTGTTTATTAATTGCTTTGAAGATTTTTCATCTTGTTTTTTTTTGTATTTAGTATATTGTGTGTATCAAATAGAAAAGATTATTATATGGTTTGAATTGTATTTTTTTGTAACATTTAAAACAATTAGTTACTATATATATATATATATGTGTCTTTTTCTCATTTGTTGCTCTTCAAGAACTCTATACTGAAGTTATAAACAAAAGTTTCAGAGGCGAGTCTGTGAAGAAACGTATACTTGCCATGGACGGTAACTCGTCGGAGACAGAGAAGTTGATCAGCTCCTTCACTAACATCACATCATCTTCTAGAGAAACAGCTATATCATTTCTTGAAACTCATCAATGGAATCTCAACGCTGCTGTTTCAACCTTCACTAAGAACGAAGCCACCGCCGCGACCACCGCAACCACCGCAGAGCCAAATGTACCAAACCCTAACGACGATCATCTCCTCCGGCCTAATCTATCTCCGTTTCCGAATCTTAGAATCAATATCCCCGTTTCATCTTTCTCCCCGTTTGATGGCTCTTCCGGTTACTCTCCGTCGCGGTCACGGTTTCGGTCACCGTCGCCGCCGAGATTTTATCTACATTCAAAACGTGAAGCAGCTAATCCATTCGGGAGGGAGACGAGTGAACGCCGTCGAGACGCCGGTGAATTCTCCGGCGGAACTGGTAACGATTCTGATGACGCGCTAGGGAACTACGGCAGAGAAGATGGTGATAGGTTTAGTGTTTCCTCAATCTTGGTGGTTTATTTCAAGATCTTGATCAGTCTTGATGGTTTTGATTAATGTTTCAGTGTTATACTTATGAAAAATCCTCAGAATGCTAAAGATGTTTGATGTGATTTTGGACAGAGATGTAGAAAGATCTGAGGAACCAGCAAGATCAATGTCTGCAGAAACTGTTTCAGATGAGTTTGAAGAAGAGATTCAGGATATGGTCACGCACATTGTAACAATCTGGAGGAATGGTTTCACTTTTGATGATAGTGAGTTAAAGACGTTGGATGACGCAGAGAATGCAACCTTTCTTGAGGTTACTGATTCAACATTTAGTCTTTCTCTGTGGTTTGGCTCACTTTGGTTAACGTTATGTTCCATGTCAATGCCAGGCCATATCAAAGATGGAGTCCCCACGTGAACTAAATCCAGTCCGTATTCAAGTCATACTCATTAGGCGTGAAGAAGAAAACTTCACTGTATGTTTGTTTCTTTTCATTTATGTTATTTTTTCTCTTCTCTGATTCATATAAGGTAGTAAAGTGAAAGCTCTTGTTTTCTTATATCTCAACAGCAGGAATCACAAGCTTCATTGCATGGTGTTGGAGGAACTCTAGCTGGATCAGACTCTGCTTCAACTGAGCCAACAGCTTTAGCTGTCTCACCACCAATGAGGTTATTTGATATGACAATGTGCTTTTCTCCAAACACTGAAGAATTGTGCTATTCACTGCAAGGATCTTGTGTATTGGATAAGGATGTTTATGGTTTTTGCAAGTCTTAAGGCATCAGTCTTGCTTACTAGTCTTGTATTTAGGAAAAAGGTTTTTGAATATATGTGGTAGCTTTGATGGGATGCTTGTGCAAGAACCTCGGAAAGCTAAAGATGTTGATGCGATTTTCGACAGAGTTGAGGAATCGGTCATAGAAAGACCTGAGCAGTCATCAAGATTGATGTCTGAAGACACAGTTTCAGATGAGCTTCAAGAAGAACAGCAAGAAGACGAGCCATATGAAGTGGTCAAGCTCATTGTAACTATCTGGAAGAACGGTTACACTGTTGTTGATAGTGAGTTAAAGAGTTTTGATGACCCTGAAAATGCAACCTTTCTTGAGGTTACTAATTCAACACCTTCACGCCATTTCAATTATTTTTCTTTTTCTCTGTACTTGCTGATTCACTTGGATAACACATAATGTTCCATGTCGATGCCAGAGGGTAACAAGTATGGAGTCCCCACGACTATATGGTCCAGTTCGTGTTCAAGTCAAACTCATCAGGCGTGAAGAAAACTTCACTGTATACTAATCTCCTTCCCTCTCTCATTAATGTTTTATGTATGATTCAAATGAGCTAGTAAAGTGAAATCTCTTGTTATTGTATATTTTCAAACAGGGTGTCGAAACAAGTCTTGCTGGATCAGACTCTGTCTCTACTGAGTCACCATCACCATCACCATCTATGGGATTAATAGTGGTAGATCCTGCAGCACCAACAACCTCAATCGAGCTAAGACTAGCAGACGGTACACGCTTTGTCACTCAGTTCAACACTCACCACACCGTTGGAGACATCCGAGCCTTCATAGACGCTTCTAGACCAGATGGTTTCAAGGACTACCATTTATCCATCATGGGGTCTCCTCCTACACTACTACCTGACTTTAACCAAACCATCGAGGAAGCTGGCATCATCGCCAACTCAGTCCTTGTCCAAAATTTCTAGTTTTTTTTTTCTTGTCCAAAGTGGAAAAGAAATAGACTTTATTTACATTTGGTAACATAGAAACAGTGATTTTGACTTTTAGCTAGGTCATGAAGTGTTTGACCTAAATCTTTTGACTTGAATGATTCCTCAACGATGTATAAATGATAATGGTGCAAATAAAACGAATTGACCACATACTATTTGACGACCATATAACATAAACGTTTACTTTTGAGATTGTGTTGACTTCACCTGCCATTTTGTCAAACCGTGCGTGTCCATCTTTATTGATTTTTTCTCTTCTGTAATCTGTCTGAGAAAAAAAGAAACAATAAATAAAGAAGAAAATATCTGGAGGGGATGTGTTCAGGTTTGGTTTGTTAATTTCGATTCGTCAGAGCAAAAGGAAGATAAGTGTTAACATGGATTTACAGTAACAATCCGTGGAGAGAGAGAGAGAGAGACAAAGAAGGATAAGGGAGAGAAGAAACGGATTGCTCTGTCTTTTCTTCTATTTTTGTTCATTACAGCTTAAAAATCTTAACTTTTCTTTTTTGTTTTTGGTCACTTTTCTTACATATATAGGTTTTTTTGGATTTCGTTTTGTCTTTTCTTTCTTTCTTTTCCTCCTTACCTTTCTCCTCTCTCTCGCTCGATTTCAATTTGGGCGAGAAAGGAGTGGTGGTCTTTTGTCTTTCCAGGGTTTATCACCAAAGATCCATCTTTTTGCTAAAGCTTGTGTCTTTTTTTGTCTTTGTTAACTTTCTAGGGTGTCTAGATCTCTTATTCTAAAGTCATCTGCAAAAATGTAAGCTCTTGTCCTCTTTTATTCGTTTATTTATCTATTTATTCAGATTTATTTGATTGATCTGATTCTGATATGTTTTGTTCCAACTGTGTAATTTGGTTTCAGGGTTGAGGCTCGTTCGATGTACTGAAGTTAGGGTTTTTCTTATTTTTTCGTTCAGAAGCGAATCTGGTTATGCTTAGAGAACAAAGTGCGGGACTTTGACTTACTTAGAGCTGGGTTTCTTATATAGTGAAGGGTTTGTGCCAATAGTTAGATATGATCAAACAGATATTTGGGAAATTGCCTAGAAAGCCTTTAAAGTCTTTGCAAAATGACTCTACTGGTGAAGGAGGGGTTAACTCTCATTATGCTCCCAATTCTAGTAGTACTAGTACTAGTACTAGTTCTGTCTCAAAACCTTCTTCAAAATCGTCAGCTTCGGGTTCACGTGTAGCTAATGGGACTCTTGCTCCTAACTCATTGAGCTCTAACATGACTAATCAAGGGAAGAATGCTGTTGTACAAGCTGGGCCGTTTCCTTCTTCTGGTGGGGTATATGATGCTTTGCCTAGCTTTAGGGATGTTCCTATCTCGGAGAAACCGAATCTCTTTATCCGGAAGTTGAGTATGTGCTGTGTTCTCTTTGATTTTACTGACCCTTCAAAGAACCTTAAAGAGAAAGAGATTAAAAGGCAGACATTGCTTGAGCTCGTTGACTATGTTGCAGCGGTTGGTGTGAAGTTTAATGATGTCGCGATGCAAGAGCTCACAAAGATGGTAGCGGCTAATCTGTTTAGAACTTTTCCTTCTGCGAATCACGAGAGTAAAATTCTTGAAATGCATGATATGGATGACGAGGAACCTTCGCTGGAACCAGCTTGGCCTCATATTCAAGTTGTGTATGAGATTTTGCTCAGATTTGTGGCTTCTCCCATGACTGACGCAAAGCTTGCAAAGAGATATGTTGACCATTCCTTTGTCTTGAAGCTGTTAGACTTGTTTGATTCTGAAGATCAAAGAGAGAGGGAATATTTAAAAACCATTCTGCATCGGGTGTATGGGAAGTTCATGGTGCATCGACCCTATATCAGAAAAGCTATTAACAATATCTTCTACAGATTCATATCCGAGACTGAAAAGCATAATGGCATCGCAGAGTTGCTAGAGATTCTTGGAAGTATAATCAATGGGTTTGCTTTGCCTTTAAAAGAAGAGCACAAGCTCTTCCTTTTGCGAGCCTTGATTCCTCTCCACAAGCCTAAAAGTTCATCGGTCTATCACCAACAGCTTTCTTATTGCATAGTTCAGTTTGTAGAGAAGGACTTCAAGCTCGCTGATACCGTTATTAGAGGCCTTTTAAAATATTGGCCTGTGACTAACAGCTCAAAGGAAGTTATGTTTCTTGGAGAATTAGAAGAAATCTTGGAAGCAACTCAAGCTGCTGAGTTTCAGCGGTGTATGGTTCCTTTATTCCGACAAATTGCTCGATGTCTCAACAGTTCACATTTTCAGGTTCGAGTCTTTGGTTATCAGAACTTCATACTCTCTTTTGACAAAGTTTTGTTGTACCTATACGAAATTGTTCTTTTGTTTTCAGGTTGCTGAAAGGGCATTGTTTCTATGGAACAACGATCACATAAGAACCCTTATCACCCAGAACCATAAAGTGATAATGCCAATAGTCTTCCCAGCTCTAGAGAGAAACACACGTGGACACTGGAACCAAGCAGTTCAGAGTCTGACTATAAACGTGAGGAAAGTATTCTGCGACATTGACCAAGTTCTCTTCGACGAGTGTTTAGCCAAATTCCAAGTGGCAGAAGATAATAAAGCAGAGGTTACCGCGAAACGGGCAAGAACATGGCAGTGGTTAGAAGATTTAACGACTTCAAATACCATTGAAACCAACGCGGCAGTACTGGTGCCAAGATTTGAATCCTCAGTCAATCTTGCAAGCAGCTCCACAGGGTAGTAGAATCTCAATCTGGTAGGTAAAGAAGAACAGCTGCAGTGCTTATACATCAAAGAATAACAATAGAGATTGGGGGAGTTTGAGTTGTTGGAGAAATCTGATGGATCAAACTAGAGGGGTGTGAAGTATCTCATTCTCATCAGTGATTACTTACTTATTTAACATATTTTCTTTGGGGTTTACTTCTTCTTCTTCTTTAAGGTCTTCAAAGAGGAATGGGCTTATATGTACTGTAACAAATATTGTGGTCTAAGACTATAGGGATGGTTCATCACTCATAAGAGACGACTATATAATTATTTTTAAATTGAACTTTTCAGAATTTATTTGATGTATATTTTTTAATTCCATTTTTTTCGTAAACGCCGTTAACCTCCGGTTAATACTTCATGTTCCTTTTGGAAGATTTCGATAACTAGTTAACGGCTGACGTTAAAATTTCATTTTTTTTCTAGATGTTTCGTTTTGACTTAAGTGGAGAAGTTGAAGGGTCTCTTTTGCTATTTTTCACTATAAACACAAATCTGTAATTGATTTTTCTCGATTCAGTCTTCGTGAGTGACTTCGACGACGAGACGACGATTCACATTTCCCCTGAGGCCTGAGCTTCTCCTTCTCCGAGTACGTAAGCTCTTCACTCTCCTCTTCTTCAAAATCCACAGACTCTTTCTTCGTTTTCTTCTAACAATTCTGTCTTTTGATTCAGGCCGAGGTTGAGAATTGGAAAACAATGGATGAATCTTTGGAGAATCAGAGTCTAACAAATGGTAAGTAAACAATTATCCTTCATTACCCTCAGCTAAATCATGCTGAGTCCTTTTGATTTTGTTTCTATTTCGATTTGGAGTTTTATCAAATCTGCTGGAGGGAAATTAACTTTTATTATTGTTGTTGTTGTTGTTGTTGCTGCATCGTTTGTAGCAGAAGAAGAAGAGAGCGAAATAGTTACTGAAGGAAGTGCTGTTGTGCACAGTGAGCCTTCACAAGATGGTAGTGTTCCCCCTAAGGTTGATAGTGAAGTTGAGGTCTTGGATGAGAAGGTCAGTAAGCAGATCATTAAGGAAGGTCACGGTTCCAAACCATCCAAATACTCGACTTGCTTCTGTAAGTGCCTCTTAGATTCCTGTTGATTGGATGATGATTTTTCTATTGCACTTGTTGTTAGCTTAGTTCAGAAAATTGGTTAGTTGTAATCCTTGATATGAAATTGTAATTGCTTGTGCTATTAGAGGGTTTACTTATGTAGAAGAGGGTTCAAATGTGTGAGCTTTGGTGAGCTTGCAATTGTTTCCTCTGTGTGATTGTTGGTGAGGCACACGTACCCAATGTGTCCTGTATAGAATCTTCTTCGAGCTTGATTATATATTTGAATTTTTCTGTCTGACCTATTCTGTATTGGCCATAGTGCACTATAGGGCATGGACCAAAAACTTGCAGCATAAATTTGAGGATACATGGCATGAACAGCAACCTATTGAATTGGTTCTAGGAAAAGGTATGTGTGGATTTCGATTTTGTATTCTACACCTTCCTCTTGTTGGATGCATCATCATTAGTATTAAGCTGATTCAGCTTCTGTATCTTGTTAATGAAAAGGGTATTTGGGTGGAAAAAAACGAATTTCTTATGTTTTTGCTTCAGAGCTGATTAGCCCATGTTATACTGTATATACAAATTTTTTAACGAGATTGTGCACTAATGAGTCAAATGCTGTCTGTTACTGAGTGAAATGTTGTCTGTGGAACAGAAAAAAAAGAACTGGCTGGTTTAGCCATCGGTGTTTCTAGCATGAAGTCTGGTGAGCGGGCACTCGTGCATGTTGGCTGGGAATTGGCATATGGGAAAGAAGGAAACTTTTCCTTTCCGAATGTTCCACCAATGGCAGACTTGTTATATGAGGTTGAAGTTATTGGATTTGATGAAACAAAGGAGGCAAGTTTTCTCCTTACCGTTATGTTTAGTTAACTGTTTCCTTACACCGACAACTCCACAACCAAGCTTTATCCCAACCTGTCTGCTTACCTCTGACTTAGAGAATGAATTGTGCAGGGAAAGGCTCGCAGTGATATGACTGTGGAGGAAAGGATTGGTGCAGCAGACAGACGGAAAATGGATGGGAATTCTCTGTTTAAGGAGGAGAAACTAGAGGAGGCCATGCAACAGTATGAAATGGTTATACATCTTTCTCTCTCTTTCTATCAATTACGGTCAAAGTTTTGGTTTCCAGGCATACTTAGCGAGTCTGCTCAAGACTCTTGTGTCTTGTTTCGGCTTTTGATTAGTCATGGTTTTACTGTTTCAGGCCATTGCATACATGGGGGACGATTTTATGTTTCAGCTGTATGGCAAGTATCAAGATATGGCTTTGGCAGTGAAGAACCCATGCCATTTAAACATGGCAGCTTGCCTCATCAAGCTGAAACGATACGATGAAGCAATTGGTCACTGCAACATTGTAAGACCCATCAAGCCACTCATTTGAAAAGGTCATTAATGTTCATACTCAGGTTTCTCCAAAACCTAATCAAACTATAAACCTGGTCAGGTGCTGACAGAAGAAGAGAAAAATCCTAAAGCTCTGTTCAGGAGAGGGAAAGCAAAGTCAGAGCTCGGACAGATGGAATCAGCCCGCGATGATTTTCGAAAGGCACAAAAGTATGCACCTGATGACAATGCGATTAGAAGAGAGCTACGAGCACTTGCAGAACAAGAGAAAGCTGTGTACCAAAAGCAGAAAGAAATGTACAAAGGAATGTTCAAAGGGAAAGAAGACGGCGCTAAGGCAAAGAGCCGTAACTGGTTAATACTGTTATGGCACTGGTTGGTCTCCCTTTTCAGCAGGATATTTGGACGCCATAGAGTTAAAGCAGATTGAGGTATGAATGAAGGTAAAGCTTAACAATTCAACCATAAAAGAACATAGTGAAAAAGTCAACTCTGTGAAAATTTACAAAACCCAATGAAGATTTGGGGTAGAAGATGCTAATATTAGCCTTGTTTGTTCTCTGGAACCCATTTTATTTTCTTAAGTGATGTTTAATGCTTCTGAAATATTAGTTTTATGATTTATCTAAACACATATGTTTAGATGAAACAAAATTCGATTTTAAATTAGTAACTTACATAATTGAACCAAAAAGAAATACGAAACCAAAATCCGAACGACATCGTTTCATGAAACTTCCTTCAACAAAAATGGCGGTCTTTGACCAAAGACCTCCAAATTCCAGCTGGTAGTTGCATTAATGGTAATCTTATTAAATTAAAAAATTAAGAAAATCAACGATAATAAAACACTAATACAAAACACTGATTTATCATCATTCTCTGTGTTGACAATTAGTCAACGTTGAATAAGTCAACCTTGTTCCTCTTTGAATCCATCTTCTCCAACAGAGCATATGAAGAAACAAAACAGAGACCTTCCTCTGAGAATTCTAAAGAACCTTCTAAAATTTCGCTAGTTGCTCGCCGGCGATGAAGCTAATGATTCTGATCACTCCAGTTCTCATTCTTCTTCTCTTCTGGTCGTCGTTTCTCTTCTTCGCCGTCGAATCCAAGTGCAGGAACAGCTGCGGTTTAGCTCTAGCTTCTTACTACCTAGAGAACGGAACAACTCTCTCCGTCATCAACCTAAACCTCAATTCTTCACTCGCGCCTTACGATCAAATCAATTTCGATCCAATCCTAAGGTACAACAGTAACATTAAGGACAAAGATAGGATCCAGATGGGTTCTAGGGTTCTTGTGCCTTTCCCTTGCGAATGTCAAACTGGTGATTTCTTAGGCCACAGTTTCAGCTACGATGTTCAGGAGGAAGATACTTATGAGAAAGTCGCGACTAAGCGTTACGCGAATCTCACCACTGTGGGTTCGTTGCAGGGAAGGAATCCTTTCCCGGCGATTAACATCCCTCTCTCTGCGACGCTTAATGTGTTGGTGAATTGCTCTTGTGGCGATGAGAAAGTTTCTAAGGACTATGGTTTGTTTGTTACTTATCCGCTTCGTCCTGAGGATAGTCTCAATTCCATTGCGAAATCTTCCGGTGTACCGGCGGAGATTCTGCGGAGTTATAATCCCGGTGCCGATTTCAGCTCAGGGAATGGGATCGTCTTTGTCCCTGGCAAAGGTAAACAAATTTAGAATCAATCAAGGAATCGAACAAATTCTGCAGTTAAGAGTTTATATTTGTTGTTCTTTACCTGTTCATGCGTTTTTTTTGCAGATCCAAGTGGTGCATTTCCAGCTTTCACATCAAGGTTGTTTTCGTATTTTTTGATTGTATCTTGTTCCTTTGATTTCTATTACTGATGTATACTCCTCCTCTTTGATGTCTTTTTGTAGTAAACAAGGTTGGTTCTTCTCTTCATTTGCGAGCTTTTGATGATTCTGCACGAAGCAAGAAGCTGCTTGGAAGAATACGTTCTTGACATTTTTTGCATTAGCAGGTGGTATTGGTGCTGGAGGTATTGCTGGTATAGTTGCAGGGGTGATTGTGGCTTTGTTGTTGATCTCATTTGTCATATATTATGCTTACCGGAAGAGCAAGTCAAAGGGTGGTTCGTATTCATCTTCTATTCCGTTGTCTGCTAAGGCTGATCATGGTAATTTTTGTGATGATCATATACAAACCGATTTATCTCTACTTTAATGGTTCTTTTGTTAGCTATCTGTTTACAAAATATGTCTATCTGTTCTTTAGCTTCTTCAACTAGCCTCCAAAGTGGAGGCTTGGGTGGTAATGGAGTGTCTCCAGGAGTTGCTGCAATAAGCGTGGACAAATCTGTTGAGTTTACGTTGGAGGAGCTCGCAAAGGCTACTGATGATTTCAATCTGTCTTTTAAGATTGGGCAAGGTGGTTTCGGAGCTGTTTACTATGCAGAGCTAAGAGGAGAAGTAAGCAGATTTTTCTTCTATGTTTCTTCATATCAAACTGGCTGTAATTTTTTTCTTTGAATGTACACATGGAACATTGAAATCATTTGTTTCATGTATAGAAAGCTGCGATCAAGAAGATGGACATGGAGGCATCGAAACAGTTCTTGGCGGAACTAAAAGTCTTAACGCGTGTACATCATGTCAACCTGGTAAACCCCTTTTGCGTTCTCTCAAGATAATATCTGGGATCAGATAAAAATTGATTCTTGGGACGAAGTTTTCAACAAACTTGTTTATATTTGCAGGTTCGCCTGATTGGATATTGTGTTGAGGGATCTCTTTTCTTGGTGTATGAATATGTTGAGAATGGCAACCTTGGACAACATTTACATGGATCAGGTGCGTAATATAAAGACCCCCTGAAAAAGACAATCACATTTCGAAATACTAATAAGTTGAAAGTTGCAAACAACTAAGATGTTTATATGTATTATGTAACTAGGACGAGAACCGCTACCGTGGACTAAGAGAGTGCAGATTGCGCTAGACTCAGCTAGAGGTTTAGAATATATCCACGAGCACACAGTTCCAGTTTATGTTCACAGGGACATCAAGTCTGCCAATATTTTGATAGACGAGAATTTCCGAGCAAAGGTGCATTTTGAATTTCGCATTGCCATCAAAAGTGACATTACTGGGAAAAAGTAGATTTTTGCTTTGTCGCAGCACTGAGTCGCTTCGGTATTGCAGGTTGCTGATTTTGGGTTAACAAAACTGACAGAAGTTGGAGGCTCCGCAACTCGTGGTGCGATGGGTACATTCGGTTACATGGCACCAGAGTAAAGAACTTATTCTCATTTCACTCTACACTTAAAAACTTCTTTAGAGACTACAATATAGTGATGACTTATTGCTATATATGTATATATGCAGGATTGTTTATGGAGAAGTGTCTGCAAAAGTAGATGTATATGCATTTGGAGTTGTACTTTACGAATTGATTTCTGCAAAAGGCGCGGTTGTCAAAATGACTGAAGCTGTTGGTGAATTTAGAGGCCTCGTTGGTGTGGTTAGTATCTAACATATCGTCTTTCTGAATTTCAGACATGTACATTTGGTCACTTAATAAGTACTTTATTTCTTTATTAATGCAGTTTGAAGAAGTATTCAAGGAGACCGACAACGAAGAAGCACTACGCAAGATTATCGACCCGAGGCTCGGTGATAACTACCCCTTCGATTCAGTATATAAGGTAACCTGAACTGAACTATCGAACCGAAAACTGAACTGGACTTAGATAAATTTTGAAACCCTGCCAACGCTAAACCAAGCCAATGCAGTGACTGATGTTCTGTGGTGTGTGTGTTTAGATGGCGGAATTAGGGAAAGCTTGTACGCAAGAGAATCCGCAGCTACGTCCAAGTATGAGATACATTGTGGTTGCTTTATCAACTCTTTTCTCCTCAACGGGGAATTGGGATGTGGCAAACTTCCAAAACGACGATGTCGTCAGTCTTATGTCCGGCCGGTAGAGTTTCCGGTTTGTTTCTGTTTATACAAATGATTTGTTTTTTTCTTTTGGTTACCTAAAATTGATGCTTCAGCTTCAGTATATATTTATCTATACGAACCTTAACTTGTACGTCACATGTTGACTTTTAATACAAAGTCTTATAACTATAACTATATGTCTACTTCAGCCAGCTTTTCCAATCCCAGAATCTCAACATCAATGATGATTACAAAGATCTTTAAAACATTTCCTTATTAAAATTTTGAAACAGAGTTTGTTCAACGAAAGTAATTGTATCATCATGTTCATACTACAAAAAAAAAAAAAATGGCGGCCTTCATAGTTTTGTCTACGCCGAAAGTTTTTCAAAATTTTCAACAATATCTAGCAATTGTCAACGCTTATTAAGTCAAACTTTTCTCCCGACACAGAGCACAAAGAAAGTAAAACAAAAAACAGAGTTCTCCTCTCTAGGAATCTAAGAACTGTCCAGCGATGAAGCTAATGATTATAATCTCCCAGCTTCTTGTTCTTCTTCTCTTTTCGCCCGTCGAATCAAAGTGCAATGGAAGCTGCGGTTTAGCTCTAGCATCCTACTACGTAGAGAGCGAACTAACTCTCCCTACCATCAACCAATACCTCAGTTCTTCAATAGCGCCTTATGATGAAATCAGTTACGAACCAATCCTCAGGTACAACCGTAACATACAGAACAACAACAACAGCAACAATGGTTTGGTCCTCCAGATAGGTTCAAGAGTTCTTGTACCTTTCCCTTGCGAATGTCAACCTGGAGATTTCCTTGGCCACAACTTCACATACCGTTTCCAACAGATTGATACTTACGAAAGAGTCGCCACAAGGAGATACGCGAACCTCACCACGGAAGATTCCTTGCAAGGGAGGAATCCTTTTCCGGCTAACAACATACCTCCCTCTGCAAGGCTTAATGTTTTGGTGAACTGCTCTTGTGGTGATGAGAATGTTTCTGAGGATTATGGTTTGTTTGTTACTTATCCTCTTCGTCCTGAGGATAGTCTCAATAAGATTGCTAACTCTTCCGGTGTACCGGAGGATATTATTCGTAGTTATAACCCTGGCGTCGATTTCAGCTCTGGGGATGGGATCGTCTTTGTCCCTGGAAGAGGTATTTGGAGTTTATGGATGGATCATAGTAAGTTTTTTTTTGTGTACAAATTGTTGATTCTTGTGTTGTTCTTGCAGATCCAAGTGGTGCATTTCCACATTTCGTCAAATCAAGGTTGTTTATACATTTTTTTGGGTTAGTATGTTCTTTTAATTTTCCGGCCACTGATGTTTTCTCCTCTTCTAATGTTCTTGTAGTAAACAAGGTTGGGTTAGTTTGGTTCTTGTATCCATTTCTGAGCTTTTGGACGAATCTAGACGATGATGTTGTACTTAAAAGCAAGAAGTGGTTGTGAAAGAGATTGAGAAAAATGTTTTTGGTTTCTTGCATAAACAGGTGGTATTGGTGCTGGAATTATCGCCGGAATATGTATAGGAGTGGTTGTATCTCTCTTGTTAATCTCGTTTATCATATATCATGCTTACTGGAAGGGCAAGTCCAAAGGTGATAAGTCTTTTTTTACTTTTATCTTCTATTCTATTGTCTACTAGGTTGATCATATCCAAAATAGTTTCCTATGTACTTTTTAGATGTTTTAGCTTAAATGTTGCTTACTAATATTAACTATCCGCTTTTAGATTTTATAAGTAGCTTCCAAAGTAGCAATTTGGCTGCTGGTACCGGAACCGGAGTATTTCCTGCCATTGCTGCCATAAACGTAGATAACTCTGTTGAGTTTTCGATAGAGGAGCTCGCAGAGGCTACTGATAATTTCAGTCTGTCTTTTAAGATCGGTCAAGGTGGTTTCGGGGCTGTTTACTACGCAGATCTTAGAGGAGAAGTAAGCAGAGATTATTTAGTACATATTTTTTTCTTTGAAGCTACACATGGAATATTAATTAAGATTGTTTGGTGTGCTTGCGTTCATGTTTAGAAAGCAGCCATCAAAAAGATGGACATGGAGGCATCTAAACAGTTCTTGGCAGAACTAAAAGTCTTAACACATGTACATCATGTCAACCTGGTAAAGCCCTTTTATGTTTTCTCAAGATATAATATCTGAGATTAGATAGAGATATATAGATTCTTGATAACAAACTTATGAAATCTTGTAGGTTCGCTTGATTGGATATTGTGTTGAGGGTTCTCTTTTCTTGGTGTATGAATATGTTGACAATGGCAACCTTGGACAACATTTACATGGATCAGGTACGCAATATTATAAACACCAAAATAGAAAAAAATTTGCGATGTGTAATAGAAACTTAGTGAGTTTATATGTAACTAGGACTAGAACCGCTACCGTGGATTAAGAGAGTGCAAATTGCGCTAGACTCAGCTAGAGGTTTAGAATATATCCACGAGCACACGGTTCCGGTCTATGTTCACAGAGACGTTAAATCTGCCAATATTTTGATAGACCAGAACTTCCGAGCAAAGGTCCATTCTCAATCTCCCATTGCCAACCATATATAGGTGTATATTTGCTTTGTCATGGCACTGAGCATATATCGTGTTACAGGTAGCTGATTTCGGATTAACAAAACTGATAGAAGTTGGAGGCTCAGCAACTCGTGGTGCAATGGGTACATTTGGTTACATGGCACCTGAGTAAAGAACTTGCTCTCACTTTTATCTACACATATTTTAGAGAATACATTATATTATAGTGGATGGTATATGTATTATGTATGCAGAACAATCTATGCACAAGTGTCAGCAAAAGTAGATGTATATGCATTTGGAGTTGTCCTATTTGAATTGATTTCTGCGAAAAGCGCGGTTGTCAAAATGAATGAAACCGTTGGTGAATTTAGAAGCCTCGTTGGTGTGGTTAGTATTAATATCGTTTCTTGATCATAACATTTCGTCTTTTCTTGTTCAAAGACATGTATTGGATCACTTAACATATACATGCTTTGTTTCTTTACCAATGCAGTTCGATGAAGTATTCAAGAAGACCGACAAAGAAGAAGCACTTCGCAAGATTATAGACCCGAGGCTCGGAGAGAACTACCCGTTTGATTCGGTATATAAGGTAATACTCTCTCTTCTTGCTTGTTCCTTAGTTCTATGCATCATTGATCAGTCTAGGCTAATATAGTTGTTTCATGCATGTTTTGTGTGTTTAATTAGATGGCGGAACTAGGAAAAGCTTGTACGCAAAAGAATGCTCAACAACGTCCGAGTATGAGATACATTGTCGTTGCTTTAGCCACTCTTCTCTCGTCTACCGGAAATTGGGATGTCGCAAACTTCCGAAACGACGACGTCGTCGGTCTTATGTCCGGCCGCTAGAGTTTCCGGTTTGTTTACCTTTTATACAAATGATTTGCTTCTTATAATGCTTCAGCTTCAAGTATGTACATACAAGTATTTGTCTATAGAAAACGTTGCACGTCACAAGTTGACTTTTTATAATCAACTGTTTTGTATACATGTCAATTTTATTCAGCTCTAATCTCAGCATCTCTCACGTCAGTGATAATAATGAAAAAGCATTAAAAATGTTTCATAAATAACATTTTGAAATTCTTGTATGCCGACAAAAATAAAAAGTAGTTTTTAATAACTGTGGATTTCTGATTGTACACTTAACACTCTCTCGAAGCTTATAAGAACAAGTCTTCTACCATAGTTCCATAACACATCTAATGATTTTTTTGGTCACATGGATGATGGATCCAGCTTATTAGAACATGGTTACATTATTATATACTATGTTTCTCCCAGCTAGATTTATTTTTATCTATACTATTAATTGGGAAGGACAACTTGAAGCCAAACAGACCCAATTTTTTTTAAAAAAATTTCATGAAATATATTTCAGTTGCCAAACAAAACTAATGACAGCAAAAATGTTTTAATAAATAAATAAATAATAAAAAATAGAAACTACCTATATTTATGGATCATACTAATTTTGTTGCCAAAAAAGTGGAAAATTAAATTCGAAAATCTCCATGTATATAACATATTTAACATGTTGAGATATTTTTAAACAATAATTTAATATTTAATAAAATCTAATCTATAGTATTTTTTATTTGGTTTAATGATTTTATTCAAGTGTTTATGTTATTTGTATTTTGTATAACTCTTATGATATGATATATATTTATTTTGCGTTACAAAAATCATCATATATATTTTTTTGTTTTATATTGATGTTTTAGGAAAAATAAAAGAAAAATAAATATGTTATATATTTTACAATAGCATAAAATATGGAGAAATATTCAACAAAATTGATATTATCTTTAAAAAATTTAAAAATGACAAAGTCTTAAATAAATAATTAAAATGTTTAATTAAAAAAAATCTTTAAAAAATCAATAATATTTTTTTTCAAAAATCAATCGAATAAATATTTTGTTTCACATACAATCTCTTATTTTCAAAATCTTCATATTGAAAATGTTTTTCGAAAATATAGCAAAAAAGATATTTATATATTTCCTTGAAATATAATTAAAAAACCAATATAGCATGTGACCAAAAATAAAATCATCAAATAAACATTTTTATTATTAACATCAATTTAATAATATATTAACTCCCCAATTTTGCTGGATATTAACTAATATGCAATTAGCATTTAATAGTTTTAAGTAAGTTTAGGAAATCATATCACACGATTATTATATTTTCCATATAATATAACATTGCCAATCCACAAAAAGAAGTAAACAGTTAATGGAATAAAATAGTTATTTGAATTTTCATTACTTAGTAAAATATTTAATATATTTTTTGTTCAATTGATTCATTTCTTTTTGAAGATTTAAACAGAGATAAGTTCGTAGTTTATAAATGTGACTCTTTGCTTACATTTCTTCAAATTTTACGGTAATACAAAATAAAACATTATACTCTAATTACAAGCTATAAGTTTCTACAACCTAATAAGTAACGGTATTGTTTTTTTAAATGGTGTTAATTACAGGCAATATAATGTTGTTTTTTAAAAAAAATATATGTAAATGATGCCATTTATAAAAAAATATATATATATAATCTTATCTTATAAGGAAAGAACGAGCACAAAAAGAAATGGTTAATTCAAAAAAAAAGAATTATATAACTATTTCTCATCAAAAACAAGATGATATAAAAAATTTGGAAACTTAAATTCAAGTTCAACTTTTAAATATCAAATGACGGGTATCATACATGAATATGAAATTTAAATAGCAAAAGTAAGTTTCAAATTATTTAAATATTTCAAATATCGGGACAAGAAATAACGAATACAGAAAGAGAACGAGTAATTTAATTAGTTAAATACAAGCTATATAATGTTGGTTTTTTTTTAAAATGTAAATTATTTCATTTATATAAAAAAAAATATGATATTATCTTAGAGAGAACGAACGGGAACAAAAAGGGAATGGGTAATTCAAAAAAAAAAAATATCTAAACTATTTCTCATCAAAAACAAGCCTATATAAAAAAATTGGAAACTTAAATTTAATTTTAACTTTCAAATATCAAATGACGGGTATGATACAAGAATATGAAATTTTAATAACAAAAGTAAGTTTCACTTAAAAATTTCAAATATTGGGACAAGAAATAACGGAAAGGGAACGGGTAATTTAGAAAATAAAAAATTATTATCTTAACTAATTCTAATAATATACAAAAGGGAATTATGGGTAACGGGCAAGCTGAATACATACTATTTATTCATGTGGGTGGAGCAAAATATTTCAATTTGTTGTAGGACATGCATAGTGAACGCTTTGACTGTCCTGATATCTATGTTTATGTTATTTTATTCAAAAGTTTTAATGTTTTTCATTAGTTTATGTGATGTGATAGTTCACAAATTTAATTGATTTCTAATTTATCACTCATTCAGTTCACACTCGATCCGAGTCTTATATCATGTCGATTAAAATATTAGAAACTTTATGATAAACATAGTTTTTGCAACCAATCCCGCACGTACGTGCGGGTCCATCCCTAGTTTTATTTATTAGAAAAGGTGTAATCGAATACAACTTTTTGTTTCTTTCTTTTGTCAACAACATAAACATATCTACTGTATTAATTAGAATATGTTAAATAAAAGACGACGTCAGGAAGAAAAAAAAAGTGAAATATAAAAAACATAGCCGTTATGTGAACTTTGAACAACAACAAAAATGTGAACATGTAATGTAACTTTTGTTTTATAGTATGATTTTTTTTTATATAGAAGAAACTGAAAAGTAAACAGTAACGTACAAACCATTTATAATTATAAAATAAATTCCTTAATTAAACACTAATTACTTTATTTAACAAAACGCACCTTTTCGCCACGTGTCTGTCAACGTTTCATCATCTTCGCTGCTCTCAAAATTAAAAAAGGCTCGTAACACCCAAAACGTACGAATCAGCAAAAAATCTAACTTCTGTTGATTCTTTTGGATCGATTTCCAAAACAAACACAAATCAAAACTCTCATTTCTCTTTTCTTTTTTTGATTAATGATTTTCATTTTCATTTTCATTCTTCTTCTGATCCCTTCTTCTCCAGTAGCAGCTTCTGCATCTGCAGATTTTTTGTCTTCATTCTCTGGCTCTGCTCAACTTAAGTTTGACTTCACAAATAGAACCAACGAAGACAAGTTTCATCGCTGAGCTCTTGAAAAGGTAAAGCTTTGAACTTTATCTGAATCTTTCACCATTAAAATGTATTCTCGGGTGCAGAGTCGTCACTCATTGTGGTTTGATTCAGTGTTAATGGATTTGAAAAGACAATGACTTTGTACGATTCCGATTTCTGGGTTTAACGAGAAAATTATGGAGAAAATTTAGGGAAAAAAATATCTTTTTTTTTCAGTCAAAGATGATATTCCTCGATTTTCGCAATTTTGGGAATTTCTTCAATTGTTCTCTTATTGATGATATCACTCCTTGGATTGCAAGAAACCCTAAGCGTAAAGCTTTAACCTTTTTTCGTTTCGTTGTGTTTGTGTGGTGTGTGAATGTTTCAGGAAAGATTGTGTCTTTCCTCTAAACCATGGCAACATTAAACGATATCGGAGTTGCAGCAGCGATCAATATCTTAACAGCGTTCGCTTTCTTCATCGCCTTTGCGTTTCTTAGGCTTCAACCGGTTAATGACAGAGTCTATTTCCCTAAATGGTATCTCAAGGGTTTAAGGAGTAGCCCCATTAAAACTGGTGGCTTTGCTAGCAAGTTTGTCAATTTGGATTTTCGATCTTACATTAGATTCTTGAATTGGATGCCTCAAGCATTGAGAATGCCTGAGCCTGAGCTTATTGATCATGCTGGATTGGATTCTGTTGTCTATCTCAGGATTTACTTACTCGGGTATGTGTATATTTTGTTGTTTCTTGCATGTTTTGTATAAGTATGTGTGTGATCTACTGATCTTTGATACATTTGGTGTAATTTGCAGGCTGAAGATCTTTTTCCCTATAGCTTGTATTGCTTTCACTGTAATGGTGCCGGTTAATTGGACTAACTCGACGTTGGATCAGTTAAAGAATCTAACTTTCAGCGATATTGATAAACTCTCTATATCAAATATACCAACTGGATCATCCAGGTGAAGAAACTTCTTTGATATTGTGGCTTTAGTTGTAAAATGTGAAAGCATTGGTTCTATTGGGGAATGTTCTGACTAGTATGTGTACAGGTTTTGGGTGCATTTGTGTATGGCTTATTTTATTACCTTTTGGACATGCTATGTTCTACAAAGAGAGTACAAGAATATCGGTTCAATGAGGCTACAGTTTCTTGCTTCTGAGCAAAGGAGACCTGACCAGTTTACAGTTAAATGAATCTTAAATCTCTCTTGGTCCAACTTACAGTTAGTTTTTTGGATTTCATCTCATATGTAATTGTCTTTTTGGATGAATTTAGGTCTTGGTGAGGAACATTCCTCCAGATCCTGACGAATCGGTTAGTGAGCTTGTTGAGCATTTCTTTAAAGTCAACCATCCAGACTACTACCTTACTTACCAGGTAAACAACTTTGGTTGTCTGACTTAGCATGATCTATCCGGGGATGTTGTTTTATATTGTATTCATTTTCTTGTTTGACAAACCAGGCGGTCTACAATGCAAATAAATTGTCGGAATTGGTTCAGAAGAGGAAAAAATTCCAGAATTGGCTTGATTATTATCAAAACAAACACTCTAGGAATCCATCTAAAAGGCCTGTAATAAAGGTAAATCCAAGATATGCAATCACATTGCTCTCTTCCTTCAGAAAATGATCTTCTCATTTGTTGAATCTTGATGTCTACTTACCTGAGCAGACAGGTTTTCTTGGCTGTTTCGGTGAAGAAGTTGATGCAATCGATTACTACATGGAAAAGATCGAGGGTCTCACGAGAAAAGTAAAGGCGTAGTTGATAATTTAATAAATCTTGTGTTAGGAAAATCACTAAACTTGTTTGATCATATTGTCGCCTCTTATTCAGACTTCACTTTGATGGTTTCAGATAAGTGTAGAGAAAGAGACGGTAATGAGCAGCACAAAAGCGCTCGTGCCTGCAGCTTTTGTATCCTTCAAAAGGCGTTGGGGTGCAGTTGTTTGCTCTCAAACTCAACAGACGAGAAACCCAACAGAGTGGCTAACCGAGTGGGCTCCAGAGCCCCGAGATATATACTGGGACAATCTAGCATTACCATATGTTCAACTCACGATCCGAAGACTAGTGATTGCTGTAGCTTTCTTCTTCCTCACTTTCTTCTTCATGATCCCTATAGCTTTTGTACAGACACTAGCCAACATTGAAGGCATCGAAAAGGCTGTTCCTTTCTTGAAACCCCTTATCGAAGTGTATATAACTTAACCTTAATAATCTGTTCTTTTGTTTGTGGTGATGTTTCTCTGACTTTTTTTCTTTCTCTTTGCTTTGTGTTTATGGACAGGAAAACTGTTAAGTCCTTCATTCAAGGTTTTCTTCCGGGTATCGCATTGAAGATATTTCTCATTGTCCTACCAAGCATTCTGATGCTAATGTCGAAATTTGAAGGCTTCATAAGTAAATCTGCATTAGAAAGAAGATGTGCGAGCAGATACTACATGTTCCAGTTCATAAACGTTTTCCTCTGTAGCATAATTGCGGGTACCGCACTTCAACAACTTAACAGCTTCCTAAACCAATCAGCAACCGAAATCCCAAAGACAATTGGTGTGTCGATACCAATGAAAGCTACTTTCTTTATTACCTACATAATGGTGGACGGATGGGCTGGTGTTGCAGGAGAGATACTGAGGTTGAAGCCATTGATAATCTATCATCTCAAGAACTTCTTCCTTGTGAAAACAGAGAAAGATAGAGAGGAAGCAATGGATCCAGGAACCATAGGATTCAATACTGGTGAACCACAAATACAGCTCTACTTCATCCTCGGTCTAGTTTATGCCGCTGTTAGCCCCATTCTCCTTCCTTTTATCCTCGTCTTCTTCGGCCTAGCTTACGTGGTTTACCGTCATCAGGTTCAAAACCCGAGTCCAAAATTCTCAGCTTTCCAAATATTCTATCTCAAGCTTAAGAATCTAATACCGCATTTTGTTGCAGATTATAAATGTGTATAACCAAGAGTATGAGAGTGCTGGAGCGTTCTGGCCTGATGTTCATAGACGTGTAGTGATTGCACTGGTTGTATCTCAGCTTCTTCTGATGGGATTGCTAAGCACGAAACGAGCTGCCCGTTCGACTCCATTGCTTTTCATACTTCCAGTGTTAACCATTGGATTCCACAAATTCTGCAAAGGACGTTACCAACCTGTCTTTGTTAGATACCCTTTACAGGTATTTGTCTCTTCTACTCTTATCAAGAAATGAGTCTCCCTTCTGTTTATTGTTCTTGTCTTAGTTATGTCTTGTTTCTTTCGTTTGCAGGATGCAATGGTTAAGGATACGTTGGAACGCATTAGAGAACCAAATCTAAACTTGAAACCGTTTCTTCAAAACGCGTATGCACATCCCGTGTTTAAGGCTGCGGACAATCTAGCGTTGGAGATGGTTGTGGAGGAGCCGGAGCCCGGTCGGACGCCTGATTTAGTGGCGACTAAACGTGGTTCAAAGAGGCTGTATAGTGGCTCTGCTGAAACCTTTACTTAGTGATATTAGTGAACAGTGTTGATGAGATTTTTCATGAATGATATTTTTTCCTTAGGTAATGGAAGAAGTTTTCCAAAATTTATTTTTGAAGAATTGAGATTTTATACTCAAAGGGCATTACAAAAATTCTTATGAGAAATTTTGGAAATTTATAATCAAAATTACCTAAATAAACTAAATAAGTCTAAGTAATAAAAATGACTCCTTTATTATAAGGAGAAAATGATAAAAATGTGTTCTTTTTCGACGATGATTGATCCATTCAATTCCGGAATTAACACAACTACCAAAAAAGCTTTTATCAACAAAAATTGAATACCCTTTTGTCCTGAATCTCTCTAACCTTTACGTTGACATTGATCCTCGTGCGCAAGTTTCTGGCTTTTGATTGATTCGAAGCAGAGATCGGGATTTTTGCGGTTGTATAGCCAAATGGACGAGGTGATGACAGCGACGGACGCGGGTTCTTTAGGAGGCGGAAACAGGGCGTTGTATGGATCACCTCCGTCGTCGCATAATCTGTTTCCTCACAATCTCCCAATCTTCTCTGCTTTTCTTGCCTTCGCTCTTGCTCAGTTCCTCAAAGTTTTCACTAATTGGTCCGTTCAAATCTTTACCTCCTTCCTTATCTCCCTGATCTGTTAAGATCTTTGCTCAATTGTTTTTGTTTTGATTCGCTATTGACACGAATCCCAGATTAGGACGTTTTGATTCTGAGAAAATTCTAGTGAAATTGAGAAGCTTTTTCTACAATTTAAGGAAATTTCTTATTGTTAGGTCTTCGATTTCAGCTCATGATTGTGTTTAAATTTGAAAACTTTTCTTTACCCTCTTTGTGCTTTCTTATTTGAAATTATTTTAGCTCATAATTTGGTTTCAAATGTTGGCTATAGATGTTTATGTAGCTAAAAAGAGTTTTGAGGGAGATTAGGGATTAAGTATGTAATTGAGAAGTGGGATTCTCAGTTGTTTCATGTTGAATGTTAGATGTTCAGGTACAAAGAAAAGAGGTGGGACTCTAAACGGATGATTAGTTCTGGTGGAATGCCTTCCTCTCACTCAGCTACCGTCACTGCCTTAGCTGTTGCCATTGGCCTAGAAGAAGGAGCTGGAGCACCCGCTTTTGCTATTGCGGTTGTGTTAGCCTGTGTTGTGAGTTTTCTTCTCTTCTTGTTTACACTTCATAATGTCTCTTACAATGCCTCCTTGTGTCTATTAGATATAAAACTTTTGAACCTCTCGCTTAGAGTAAGTTTACATGTATTGAATATACAAGATCAGGCCTTTGTTTCGTTTGGTGTAATCATGAGATTGTGCTTTACATCTAGCAGCTCAGATTTTACTCAAAGTTAGTTGTTGTCCTTGTGAAGAGCCTCTTTTTGATTCAATATTAAAACCAAACCATCTTACCTCTATCTTTGTAAATGGGTTGCAGGTGATGTATGATGCATCCGGGGTTAGGCTTCATGCTGGTCGTCAAGCCGAGGTAAAGCCATAGAAAACTTATTAATAACTTCAGTTTCTTTTCATCTACCTTAAAGTTCTGTAGTAGGATTGTTCTATGCTTTCTAAAACTTCAATCCCTTACATAACTTCAGCTGCTGAATCAAATTGTTTGTGAGTTTCCCCCCGAGCATCCCTTATCCACAGTTAGACCCTTGCGTGAACTGCTCGGCCACACTCCTATCCAGGTTTGCTCAACTCAGAGAATTTTCTTATACTTTAAATCATTGAACATTTCAAGTCTATGTTTATCAAAAGTTCTGGAATTTGTGCCTGCTTAGACTTGTGTTCTGTTTATAAAATAAATCTAGCAGTGTTGATAGAAAGTATCAAGCTTTTGATTGTAGTGAAACGTCCAGTTCGAATTTGGGTATTTTCCCTAAATGAACGTGTAATATCAATGTTAAAATCAGAATAGGACTTCATAAAGCTAGAACGTTAGAACTGAAGTCACGATATTCACAATGTATCAACCAGAGTTTTTGCTGTCGATGTTTCGATCTATTGCTAAGTTATGAGATTGGATTACAGGTTGCAGCAGGTGGGGTTTTAGGATGTGTGGTAGCTTATTTGATGAGGAGCACAAGCTAGTTTCTACTCAAGTATGAATCCAAAATTCTTTTGAAATCATAGGCGACCCTTCTCAGAAACTATATAGATTCAGCGATCAAGGGACGCTAGATTATTGGAGTAAATGGAAATTGTTAAATCTGTGTAATATATAGATCATAGTTAGTCTTGTCATTGTTTAAGCTATTCCTTCTCAACATTCTCTCAATCTCTACATATATATAATCTCTATTTCCGAAGCATCCTTCTTTAATTAGGTACCAAACATCCTGGACCAAGCCTAGGCTTGTCACATTGTTGTGTGTTATAGTATCTTTACAACTACTGATAGAAAATATGAAGCTACTGAAGCTTTTGAGTCAGCCTAACTAATTTGAAGATCTGTTTTGGATATTGTTCTTTAGTGAATGGCATGGCTATGTTAGAATCAGATTCCAATATTACGGTGCTTCACGTTCGGCTTTTGCCTTTAATCTCTCTATTGGTTTAAACTCTCTTTTAAAGTGTCAAATTAATATAAAGCCTACAAGGAAAGGAGGCATCTCTCTGGTCGTTAAAAAGGTGACATGATGTCACATTTTGGATAACATTTAGAAAAAGAACAAAGTTGTCAATTTAGTAGAGTCGGCTTCTATCTTCAGGACCACGTTGCTGAGGTTCACACTGGTCATTGTCTTGTTCTGGTCATTGTCTAGCTTATAGACTAATAGATTCGACCTATCTTGAAACTTGCATTACATAGAGAGATAAATCATAGACCTCATTGCTCATACAATATAGTACACCTTAGAAACAAAACATACGCAAGCAAGTCCAACAGAACTTGCATAGAAATACACGTGTATGCGTGTACGCGTGTAACGGCGTAAAGTATTGTTCCCATTTCCACCGAAAGTGATTAAAAACTGTGGAAGCTAAGAATTTATTCACTTGAAAGAAGAAGAGACGAGTTAAAGTTGAAAATATTCCAACAAAGTATTTTAAAAATAATCTCATCCTCTGTTTCAAGATTACAAAACCTATTTGAGAGAGCATCACTGTCAAGGAAGATAACAAGCAGACAAAGAAAATGGGTTGTTTCGGACCATCTAAGAGTTCAAGAACAAGAAACCACAAACAAGATTCTATGACACGACAAAACACATCTCCTCAACCTCAACAACCTCAAAGCTTGAGAACCGAAGAAGTTCTGTTGCAGATTCCTAGATGTAGAGTCCATCTCATTAACGAATCCGAAGCCGTGGAGCTCGCCTCAGGCGATTTCAAGCTCGTTAAGGTCCTAGACAACGGCGTGACTCTAGCTATGATCGTGAGAATCGGACATGACCTTCAGTGGCCGGTGATTAGAGACGAGCCAGTGGTGAAACTCGACGCACGTGACTACCTCTTCACGCTTCCGGTTAAAGACGGCGATCCACTTAGCTACGGTGTCACTTTCTCAGGAGACGACAGGGACGTAGCCCTTGTGAACAGCCTAAAGTTATTGGACCAATTCTTGAGTGAGAATTCATGTTTTTCGCATTCGGCGTCGAGTAAGGTTAATAAAGGAATCGACTGGGAAGAGTTTGCGCCGAGGATTGAGGATTACAACAACGTATTAGCTAAGGCTATTGCTGGAGGAACAGGACATATCATTAGAGGAATATTCAGTCTCAGTAATGCTTACTCTAACCAGGTTTTGAAATCACACTAGAAGCTCTCTTGGTATATATAATGATAGATGATAATATATACACACATAATATGATTATGAGAACAGGTTCACAAGGGAGGTGACATAATGATTACAAAGGCTGAGGAAAGCCAGAGGAATGGAGGTTACAACAATGGAAACTCTAGTGGTGCTGAGAGGAAAAATGGAATCAACACAAACCTTCAACGGTATACTCACTCCTTAGTTTTATAAGATTGTTTGTATTTAACGTTTACATAAATGTGTCAAACAAAGAATGATATCGTTGGCTGCTTTGTTGGATGGATGCAACATGTATATAGAGTGAGGAAGATGTCAAAGGCAACTGAAAATTTGAGCAAGACGATGTTGAATGGTGCGGGAGTTGTGAGCGGTTCTGTGATGGTCCCTGTGATGAAGTCAAAACCAGGGATGGCTTTCTTCTCCATGGTTCCAGGGGAGGTCCTCTTAGCTTCACTTGATGCCCTTAGTAAGTTGCATATAATCAAATGAAATGTTCTTTTTTTCTTTCGGGGGTAAAAAAAAAGTGTAACAAGTAAAAGTTATGTAACGTTTGGTTTGCTCCAATAGATAAAATACTAGATGCAACTGAAGCCGCAGAGAGACAAACTCTATCTGCTACATCCAGAGCTGCTACCAGAATGGTCAGTGAGAGGTAACAATTCCACCTTATTGTAATCCTTAAATGTAACATGTGTTCATGACATTTCACTAGTGATGATCATACACATATTACAAGAGTTTTAAAGGTGATAAATAACTTAACAATGACATGTTTGGCAAAGCAGGTTTGGAGATAACGCAGGGGAGGCGACCGGAGATGTTCTAGCAACAGCCGGTCACGCGGCTGGAACTGCATGGAATGTTCTCAAGATCCGCAAGACTTTCTATCCTTCATCTTCTCTCACGTCCGGGATCGTCAAAAATGCTCCAAGAAAGTGATATGTATATAGTGAGTCATATTTTCAGTGACCACTTCTATCGACGTATGATCGATGAGGACTCATCAGCTATGCTATTTAGATTCTCTACATAATGAGGACTCATCAGCTATAGTTTGTACGTAATGTATTAATGGAGCTAAATTTAAATAAGCTCTCCAAAGTGTGTTAAGTTTTATGTTTTTAACTCAAGACCAATTTACAATGACTGATCATAGTTTTATTGATTATATGTTTCCTAACTTTGTTTATGTTTCATGAAAGATTGGTCAAACCAATTAATTTTATTAATTTGACGGCCTCTTCCTAATATGCATACCGGTCTCTTTATAAATGTTGTTGTATTGTTAGTAAATTATTTGATTCCGAATTCTATTTGTCAATATTTTGGAAAAAAACATATAAAATGTAATGGTGGACGATATCCTTTGGAAAATGATTAATACATACACTTGGGATTATATATGCGCATACATTACAAGATCCAGTTTCGTGACTCAGTAATTGGATTAAGTCTTGGAAAATATAACACGGTCAACTAAAAGAAGGTTCCGTATAAGTTTTCTTCACTTTGAAATATTGATCAAGTGGTGTCTATTGATGAAATCAAAGATTAACAAGTTGAGCTGTTCTCTTATCTTTATTTTTTTTTAAAATAACATGCTAGTTTCAACTAGATACTAATTCTTCATTATCACACTACAAGATCATATGCTGTGGTCTTACGTTTTATCTTGGCTATAAATATATATGATCATTACCTCCAACATTTCAAACGAGCTTAACATATAAACCACACTTAAAGTTAAAGTACAAAGACAAAATGTCCTCATCAACCCAACAAGACCAAACTCCCCGAGACGTGAAATTCGAACCGTTGAAACTAGCCTTGAGTTTCTCAGGGGAAGACGGAGAAACTGATCATGAGTTTCAAGAAGATTTCATGGGGGAGAAATCTTCGAGTACTTCTTGTAAGAAAGTAAACAATGAAATTGATTGGGAGGAGTTTGCACCGCAGGCTGAAGAGTACAAAAGTGTTGTAGCCAAGGCCATCGCCGAAGGAACGGGGCATATCATCAAGGGGATCTTCACTTGTAGCAATTCTTACTCTAAGAAGGTCTCATACATATATTCCCCTCTCATTATGCTTATGGGTGTTAATATTAGATGATTATGATTTAAATCTAAATATATGCTTTTTATTTTCTAATAAAAAAAAAAAGATTCACAAGGGAAGTGGCGTAACAACGATTGCTAAAGAGGTTGAAGAAACAAGTGGTGACATATCACAAATTGATGGAGGCGACAACAATGTAACTAAGAAGCAGAATAGACTCAACACAAATCTTCAAAGGTATTCACGATTTGTTGTTTTTAATCTTTAAACCCTTCAAAATTGTATATATTAGCATCAAATATCTTGGGATCTTGTCTCGTTTTTACGATCCAAATAATGGTTATTTTGTTGGATATACGTATTAACATATGTACATAGAGTGGAGAAGGTGTGGAAAGCGAGCGAGGCGATAGGAATCATGGTTTTAGAGGGAGGAGATATGGTGAGCAGTTCGATGATAGCTCCGGTGGTTAAGTCGAAGTTAGGAAAGGCATTGTTATCCACTGCTCCAGGAGAAGTTATATTGGCCTCACTTGATTCTTTTAGTAAGTTACATAGAATAGCTTCATTAATCCCCATTATATACTCATCTTCATTATTAATTTTGATTTTTTTTGGGAGAAAAACTAAAAGAATTAAAACAAAGAAAATGTTTGATGTGATCAATAGATAAAATACTTGTTGCTGCTGAAGCGGCAGAGATACAAACTCATTCTGCCACAGCCATGGCTTCTACGAGACTTGTGAGTAAGAGGTAAAAAACCTTCACTTATGAGATGTGTATTGCATGCATACGAACCTATATACTGAATTCGTTACATAATAATTCTATTTTTACAGTTTAAGATGACTTTTGCATTGGCTAGTTTTGTGAATCCATTTATTGAGTCGAATTAAATGTAACATACATTCACATTGTTATGATGACTGCACCACAGTTTCGGAGAGAACGCCGGGAAAGCCACCGGGAAAATACTAGAAACAACGGGCAGCTTAGGCCGAACCGCCTGGAATATTCAAAAATCCCTCGAGCCGACTTTTTTAATCACCTCAGAAATTGTCAAAAATGCTCCGAGACAATAATATATGTATCTTCTTATATATCTTTGAAACTGAGTTATACACTTTCATATGTCCATCAAATTATCAAGTTATACAATATGTGCGTACAAAAATTCAAAACGAGTCTTTAGATAAAAACAGATTTTATACATCAAATTGGAACAAGAGCCGGAATCCAAATTTTGATCAATTTTGACTTTTGTGAGAAACAAAGTCAACGCATGACAGAACCAGAAGCACAGTATACTTACAGTATCTCTCTCTACCAGATAGAGTTTCCCGCTCTAGGGCTTATGTCTGATTCAATCTGAAATTGAAACTCATGAGTCACGGTGAGCGTTAGCGTTGGAGTTACGAGATTGGAGAAACATTGGAGTGACAAAGGAAGCCGTGGAGTTATCTCTCATTTTTTGAGATGGTACTGAGAAAGAAACTCTTGATATGAAGACAATCGATGTTGCCATTGAGAGAGAAGTGTCTTGGATGTAAGCAAAGCTTTTGTATCGAAATTCACTTTCCGCTTTTCGAAGCAAATCTCGGCTGGAGACAACTCATTGAACAGATTTATCAGCTATAACTTGTGTTAAACCACAATCAAAAAGAGTTTTCATGTTATGTGTTTTAACGTTGGCTTAGTTTTTCAAGAGTATATTTGCAATTTGTTGGTCAATCCTAATAATGTATTGTTGAGAAACACCCAATAAAAATAAAGAGTATATTCGCAACACAGCTTAGGAGATGAGGCAGGTGGAGATGCTCCAAGATAAATTAAAATAAATAAACACTGAAGAAAAGGGAGATTACAGTTAGGTAGGTGGTACTAGTAGAGTCCCCTGGAGCTTATTCACCTCTTTTCCTTTTGCCTCCAGGTCGCTTGATTTGAGGTCGCTCAACTTGAAGAAAACTTGGAGCATAACTAAATATTACCGGTGCATATGTATCTACTCCAAAATCAAACACTTTGAGGTTATTGTCCTCCCCAAGAATGGATATCTTGATGATGGTCTTGCTGTAGTCTACCAAGTCCGTCCGTTGCTCTAACCACACGACAACTTTCTTATCCTCGTCTAGCAAAAACCTTCCATAATGCGGAATATACCACCGCCCACAGTCGAAATCTAATGCAAAGAGCTTGGTCCAAGAAATTGCTTTGGTGGTCTCATCATCAATCTTATCTGTCACCCATATCTCAGTCTTGGAATTTCTATCGAGCTGTAATATCGTCGAAAGCTTATCTTCTCTAACACAAGATAGAAAGGCGATTAAGTAACTAGTAAGAGACTGACAGGGAAGAGGCAGACGTTGGGATTTCTCTGTTGAAAAATCGAATCTGAGCAAGTGAATGCTTTCGTCCTCAACTTGTTTAGCAATCCAGTAAATGTTTCCTTTGAAAGAGACGCTGGGAGAACGAGAGTATGGAAGGGTGAAGCCTGGAGCTATATCATGATCAACAAGCCTCCATGAATCAGAGTCAAAATCGTAGATTTCCGAATTATTAGTACCAGCAGAAAAGCTCAATACTTTGTAGCTCTTACGGCGGCACGACGATTTCTTGTATCCGAATCCAAAGGCACCGCCTTTGGATTCGATCCACCTGGCTTGGCCAGTGAGCGGGTTCCAAACCACGAATTGAGAACCCTGTCGTAGGATGGTGCCATGGTGGTAGCATAACAATAAGCCATCGCAGTGAACCACTTCAAATCCATCGAATCGCTGTGAGTTGTTAAAACGCGGATCTGGAAGGACAAGCACTGTTTTTACCTCTAGAGCATCCCCATGGGGAAGACAGACGCTCATCGGACTAATCCTTTTCAACATGAGAAACACAAACTCCTTTGTGGCTTTATCGCAGTGCTCTCTTGCGAGTCTCCCATCGTCTTTCAATAAACGGTTCCATCGTTTGCTAGTTCCTCGTAACCGTTTCAGATTTCTCGCCGGAACGCGACACAGTATCTCCTCTACTAAATCGTTATGAAGATCTGGTATCGCCATTGATCTCACTCTCAGCTGCTGTAAAGTCCCTCTGTAAAGTCTAGGTTTTTTTTGTTTTTTTTTTACTATAATATTATATAAACAAAAGTTGTTTACAAGGCCTTAAAGCCCACCGTACTTTTGTAGAAACAAAAGGTGAAACCCAACAAGAGGTCCTCTTTCTTTACCATTTCTACAATAGGGGAATTTTACAATAAATAAATTTAAAAAAAAAAAAAAAAAAAACAACCGTCGAGCCAACTATTTCAATCACCTCAGAAAATGTCAAAAATGCTCCGAGACAATAATATGTATCTTAATTATTATATCTTTAAAACTGAGTTATACACTTTCATATGTCCATCATATTACATGTCATGGTTTTGGTTTTGGCTTTGGTCTGTCTATGGGAAAGATTTATACAATATGTGTGTACGAATATACAAAACGAGTCTTTAGATTTAAAAAAAAAAGAGCTTTAGCACTATTTGAAATTTACATCAAATTGGAACAAGAACCGGAATCCAATTTTGGTTTATTTTGACTTTTGGGAACCAAAGTCAACGCGAGACAGAACCTGAGTTTACAGTATCTCTCTCTCTCTACCAGATAGAGTTTCCCGCTCTAGGGCATATGTCTGATTCAATCTGAAATTGAAACTCATGAGTCACTCCAATCTCGTAACTCCAACGCTATCGCTCACCGTAACCCTAATCCCCAAACACCCAATTCGTCAACTCTCTGCCCCAATTCCTAACCGGAACTTCACAAACCCTAGGCTTCTCTTCCCGCTCAGGCTTAATGAGACTCCTTCCTGTCACGCCGCGAAAAGGGTCTTCGTTGTTAGAGCCAAAGCCGACGGAGATGGTAAAACCGGTAACTGGGTCAACAGGTTACCGATTCCAGGACTCGGAGCTGAAAATGTCTTCAGATTGATTTCGAGCGCGACGGGTAGCCCCATTGGCCAGTTCATATCGTCCCCTGTTACATTTCTCCATTCGGTGGATCCTAGGATCAAATTGGTATATTGAATTCTTTGATTCTTGTCAAAATTTCGAGTTTTGTTGAAAAAAAAAGTTTTAATCTTTTTATCGTTAGAGTTATTCTAGTTAGATTGCGATTTTGATTAGAGTTGTTATTATCGGGTCGGTGTTTGAGTCGAGGACTCTGCAAACTTCTTAGAAAGACAGGTTTTGTGATGTGTATAAAGCTTGTTGTTTTTTATTTTGCGATGCTTAGTTTTGGTATTTGCATATGTGTAGGTGTGGTTATTAACTCTAGTAGTTCTACCAGCAAGAGCAAATATAGTTGTGCGTTTGGGACTTGTTGTATGTACAGCTCTTTTGTCAATCCTTGTTCTCCCAAGACAAGTATGGATGGTGAGTTTTTTTCCTCCGTTACAAGTCTCTTTCTTTATGATATTGTTAATAAGAACATTTCATAGCTCAAGAGTAACTTAGATTTCTTATGATTCACAATTTCGGTTTTGTCTTTTGATGATTGGAATGTTGCAATGCATAGATGCGGTAGATGTAAACATGATAAAATGGCATGTGCATACAGTTTTTGACTTAAATTGATCAATGCGTTTCCAACTTCGCTCTGCTTGGTCTTGTTTCTGTCTTGTGATCTATCTTCTCTGCTGAGGTTCCTAACTTTTTTATATCTAAGGATCAATTGGCGAGAGTTTCACTTCTTTCGGGAATCCTATTCATAACCTTGGGGCTAGGTTCAGATGGTGCACCCCCAATGCTTCAGTCAAGAACCCCACCATCTTCAGTCACAGGCTTGCCTAATCTTCCCATGTCTTTAAGCGGTTATTCGTACATGTTACTGAAGCTTGGACCTTTGCAATTCACAAGGAAAGGTTTATCTGTTGGAAGCACAGCCGCATGCTTAACCTTTATAGTAAGTCTGTTTGCTACTTCCACAATTTTCATTCATTTAGATCACCTAATGGAACATTTGGTGTTTTTGTCACAGATCTTTCAAAGTGCTAGTATTTGCCTTGCAACCACAACACCTGAGCAACTTGCGCTAGCTCTACGTTGGTTCTTGTTCCCATTGACATATATTGGTGTTCCAGTAGGTGAAATCATCCTCACACTCCTGCTTTCACTGAGATTCATCAATTTGGTTTTCGATGAGGTAAAGATTTTTCTCCTTTTTTTTCTTCTATATACAAGATCTCCTGGCTTCACACCTAGTTATTGCAAGTTCTAACACCCACATAATGGTATGTTCTGCACATGTTACATTGTAGGTCCGAAGTGTTTCGTTGGGAATTGTATCTCGAAGAGTAAACTGGCAGCAGCTTACTGTTCTGGAGACACTTGATAGTAAGAATCTAAGTTTCTTCTCTCTTTCTATATACATCTACCACTTGTCTCAGTCTTTCCAAAACTCTTCTAACATGTGATCGCTTGTGTAGTTTTCGCATCGTTCATACGCCGCATCTTCAAGAATATATTTCGCCATGCCGAGCAAATATCACAGGTCAAATAGATTTCTGTTACCCATTTCTCATCATTTATCTATCTTCAAGCTCTGTTTTTGTGTGGTGTAGAGAAGATCCGAGAGAAGCTCTTCCATTATTTGAACATCAGATACAAACTCTCTGTTGAGGAACCATGTATTCTCTATTTTATGTGCAGGCCATGATCGTTAGAGGCTTCAGAGGAGAGAGCAGTAGCCACAAGATCTACTTCTTCTCGGGATCATCAAATAAATTTGCAGATTTTGCATCAGTCTTGTGTTTAATCGGTGTAATCTCAACCGCGCTCCTGTCCGAATACTTTCTTGTCTAATATTGTCATTGATTGTTTCAATCTAATCCTTCTTTTACACATTTAACAACTAAAAAAAACTACTTAAGGAAGGGACTGGCCACTTACTCAATAAAACATTAGTAGTTAAAAACCATAATAGTTCTACTTCATAGTCCAGCAGAATTCTAAATTTAGGTCAACTTGAAAAAAACCAAAAAACGGAGAGACAAAACAAACTAAATTAAACAACAATATGAAAATAGAAGAATACGTCTAGGTTACAGATGCGTCGTTACGAGGAAACCAAGGTTAAGACAGAGAAGCCAAATCTTTGTCAATCTCTTCCTTCTTCTATTTATTCCATTAGAGAGATGCAATAATTTACAAAATTAGAGAGATCCGTAGCTTTTTAAACTTCATTACCAAAATCAAAAAAACCTGAGCAAGGAACCGAAGAAAAGGACCATTTTTTATAACCCTTTTCTTCTTCCTTCTCCTTCCTATCATAACCCTTTCTTGGCACCCAAGGAACACACCTTCGGCGCCAAATTTTTCTTCTTTCTTTTTAGGGTTTTTTTTTGATATTTTTATTTGAGGATGGGAACTGAAGTTATAAGGCCACAAAATGTTTTGGTTGACCGGATGAGAGAGTCTCCGGCTATAATTTATAACCCCCGGAGGAATCATGTTCACCGGAAACCACCTCCACGACCTGACCAAAGGAGAAGATTCGGATCCGATGAGTTCAGAACGACGATGACGACGAAGAACTTTGTCCGGAGAAGAGGAGAGTCTTTTGATTCGTTTTCAAACATCAAGGTACGTAAGAGTTCGCCGGAGGTCGTCTCCGCCGACAATATTTACGCCGGATCATCGATGTTTGTTGTTTCTCCGGCGCCGAGCTCGTTACCTTTGCCGTCGTTCTCTAGGAGGGATGATAAAAACCAAGTTCTTGTTGTTTCCGTGGATGATTCGGCGTCTCAAGATCTCCGGCGACTTCTCCGGCTGGAGTTTTGAGGATATCGAATAAACCGGGATCGTCAGCTATTTAACCGGTTCATTTATAAGTTATCGGAATCGTCTCTCCGTTACTGTTTTATGAATCTTATCCTTTCCTTTTGAAATAATATTGTTGTTTAAGAAAGGGGCGGGTATGAAAAAGATGGTTTTAAAAGTACGGGGTCAGATTTAGAAGCAAAAATGTTAAATACTTTTAGCTGATTATTTCAGTTTTTGTATAATGTGGAGGTTTAATTAAAATATGAAAATCTTTGGGGTCCAAGTGTTAATTAATTTAAAAGGATATGGGCTAAAATAAGTATTCGTTTCAGGCCCAATAGATATATTTTTAAGTTTAAGGTGGGCCAACAACTGGCTCGTTTGGTTAATTCGTTAGTTATGTCGTATGTGTAAGCGTTGGGCACCTTGATAATTGAAAGATTCGGAGAATCAATCTTCTATTAGGAATTGCAAACAAAAATTGAAATTTTGAAGAATTTCTACAATATTATCAAATCTGAAGTTTTAAATAATAATTTAAATTTATAGCCACTGAAATATACATTATTATAAATTGTTAACTCTTAAAATGCTTGTTAAATATATCAGTGTCTGATTATTATTTTATTATAAATTTGATTTTAGTTAGAATAATTTTTAAACCAAATTTTAAACAATATATATATATATTAAATTAATTAAAGATTTAACTAATTTGGTTTGACAAAGAAAAAAACCAGCTTATCTAACATGTTGTGCAATGCACATATTTAACATTGCAAGAGTGGAGTATTTGGCAATATATGACGAAACTGTTTATAAGACTCACCGATTAGAAATGATATCAAAGTAAAAAAGAATTAACTCACATGTATTCAATGACAAAGGAGACATTAATTTCCTCTTTTATCATGTCTTTTAATCTTTAATTTAAACGAGCTACATAAGATAAAATAATATTTGTAAAAACTCGCCAAGAATAATGACACCAACAGATTAAAAAAAAACACATATTTCACTAACTTGGAACATATCCAAGACTAAATATCTTAAATATTTTTTTTTTAACTCTGTTACGCTAGAATCAAAATTCTTCACATAGAACTTTTATATATATGGTCATGGGTAGTTATACCGTTTGAAATAGTGTTTGATTAAAGCACAATTTTATTAGTTACAAAGATAAACACCCAAAAACTACACATCACATAGTGCTATAGTCTTATATATGTGCAAGACTTCATTTATGGCAAAGAGTAAACATTTAAGTTCCTTTACATGATTATCCATAGTCTTATCTAACATGTTCCTTTGCAAGACATTTACTCTCTTTTTTTTGTATCAACGACACAAGTTTGTGACAATTTTTATTTAATGAATTTCAAGAAAATGATATTCACCAAAAAAAAAAATTGATAAATAAAAATGGCATCAAATCACCATCAAATTTATTTTTCCCCACAAAAAATAGTCTTCATTCAGTTTTTGTTGTGAGAAAAATAAATTTGGTGGTGGTTTGATGTCATCTTCATCTATAATTTTGCTTAAATCCATCAAATAAAAATTGTCACAAATATGTGTCGTTGATTTTAAAAAGAAAAAAAAAATGTCTTGATCATTCCAGATTTGTCGAACTTAAAGATATAGAAGGTGCATGTCAAAGAACTTAAATGTTTACTCTTTGCCCATTACTACATAGTGGAGCCAACAATCAAATATGATATGTAGCTATGTACTCATGCATCATGAATCAAAACGGTATGTAGTCCCTTCTAGTGATGAGTTATGACAATATGGGATGCAAAAGAAAATATTCTGTTTGTTATGGTTTATATATCTCATGTGCTGCATGCATGGTTGATGACTTGATGTTAAAAGCATTTTTGGCCAAATACCTTCAACTAGATTTCAACACAAATTTTATGAAATTTAAAGCATTCTTGAACTTGTATATTTTACTCAAAACTATTCAGCATTACGACATTTTATTAAATATTTTGTGACACTATACTCAAAATTTTGAAGATTCAAGACAAGAATATAACACCAATATTTTTTTAAGTTAATTTTGTGGTATAGTTTAACACTATTTTCACATCTTTAAACATCTATGTAAAGATTCACGTGAGTTCCATCAATAAAAACAAAAAAAAAAAGATAAGAAAATAGCGTGAGATATAGATAGCACAATGATCTGAGCCACGCATTTCACTTACCACCTACCACAACCAACCTCCTCTTTGGGTACCTATCGATCAACTCACATGATGATGACTTCGACTTGGATCGTGTTTGGTATCTACTACCCATATATAGTGCAATCAATCTTTCTGAGGCAATAATAACACAAATGGTACAGTTGCACCACGGCGCAGCTGGTAGCTAGAATCATCTAGTTAGCTGTAACGGGGACACATTTGTTTTAATTTGTTTGTGTACATACATGTAAGTTGTAACCAACGAACGAGCAATGAATACTCAATTGACTCACTCACTCTTACAGCATTAAATGTTTAGGCACCATCACACGTCGCTATGATAATGGCTGCCTCTGACTTACCAGTCTAGCGGTGTTGGCTAAAACAGTAAGGATTTATCTACTTTATATTTTTTTGCTGGTGAAAAATATTTGATGTTTTAGATTAAAAATAAATGTTTTAAATTAAGTGACGTTTTTACTTTTCGACGTCGAATTTTTTTAATTTGTATTATGTAGTTTATTTTATTATTAGTTGAAATGTGTTTAAAAATTTAAAAATACTGTAATGTTTTAGTAAAAAGAAAGTAAAACATTATTATTATATTTATAAGCTCAATCATTTATTTTCTCTCTACAATTAAAGCTTTAAATGGCAAATCTATTGGTGGGTTAATTTTTCGTTTTCATTATTTAGAATAATACAATTGAATTGAAAGGCTCTCTATGTTGGTTGGAGTATCTCACGGTGAGATTCTCACCAGTCAAGCAGCTACGGAGCTACCAATCACGGTTAGGATATGCAATTAGGCACCCAACGTTTTTTTTATTTTACTCCTAAACAACCAACTTTTTTGCATGTTTGAAACTTCTATTAGTCTTCATTAAAAATGTATATTTGGCAAGTCAAACTTAACAATCTAAATACTGTTTAGAAAGTATAATTCGAATTACACATATACTCTTTTTTTTTTTTGCTTTAATAGGTAAATCCTTGGTAGGCATACCATTCTTTTATAATAATTACTACTAAAGCGTTCTTAAAATCTATATTATAATTCTTTTGAATTGTTATAAGAAACACTGTTTTTGATTATTTTAGTATCGCTTATCATTTTCTTATCCGATAAAAGCTTGTATTTGTATATCATATTTTCCCATATAAAAAGTTCATATGAGTAGTGACTAATGACTGGCTTATACGACTAAGTGGAAATGGCGTCACTTGGAGACCATAGAGACATTTATGTGCATCACGTGTCATTTCTATCAGTACCTTTAAGTGTTACATGTCGAAAGAGCCGAGACGATAAGGACGAGACGCTAGATAGTAATCAATTCTCTAGAAGGCTATGTGAGATTCTGAGGTTCAAAGTTGTAAAATCCAATTTTTGTTTGTAAGATTAGTTTCATGGCAGTTTTCGTACTTTGACTAGATAGTTTCTGTTGTCGTCTAATTGGTTTATTCAATACTAAAATTATTATTCAATACTAATCGTTTTAGTATTATATTTGATTTGCATGGTACAGTTTAGAACACATCTTCATCATATCTACCCTAAAAGTTCGTACATAAAAAATATTCTTTCCCAATATGGCAACAACATAAAAACATATATTAAGTATTCATAATCTAATTTAAAGCGTGATTTGAGATTTCTTTTTCAAAAAGGATTAGTTGACTTTTTTTATCCATAGACCCATACATACCTAGAAAGTAAAAAAGAAAAAAATAAATTGAAGTAGAGAGAATGCATACGACACACAAATTAAAAAGATTCTGCAGAATTAAACAAAAAAAGAAACAAAAGACTTTAATGACTTTTTAAAAGATTTTGATCGATCCAGCCAAAACATGATTATGACTTCCGTTTTGTATTTTCGCCACAGGTTTGGCACCCAACTTTTCCACAAACACCTCAAGATTCCGATCAGATGAGCCACCGCGAGCAACCGCCGCCTCCGCCTCTTCCTTCCATTTCAAAGCATTCTTTTTCAGCTCCGTTGCTTTCTCTCCTTTCGTGACCTCCCTCAGCCTCTCCGCCACTTCCTCCCTCGGCACCACTCTATCCTCCGCCTCTCCACGGCCGAGCCTCACTCCCGTCTTGAAAACGTCGATCATGTAAACGGCGTCAGTGACTTGATCTCCCCACTGAGGAAAACAAACCGTCGGGACTCCGGCTGACACAGCTTCCATTGTCGAGTTCCATCCACAGTGAGTCACGAAACAAGCCACCGAAGGATGAGCCAGAACTTTTTCTTGTGAGCACCATTCAACGATCTTCCCTCTCCCTTTGACTTCTTCGGGCAAAACATGTCTCTTTTTGTTGTAACCTAACGCTTGTTGCCTAATAACCCACAAGAACGTAACGTCCGCGTTCAATACACCGTAAGCGATCTCGTCTATCTGTTCTTGTTTCACGTAGGCAACGGTCCCGAACGAGATGTATACAACAGAGGAAATAGGCTGCGAGTCTAACCACTCCATGCATTCATCCGTTGGCTCAGAGATGTTCCCTTTGGTCTCATCGTAATTTAAAGCCTTAGCCATTTTGTAAAGCGGTCCGAGAGGTCTAATAACGCCGGGGTGATAGAGACTTGACATGTGGTCGATGATGTCTTGCTCCAAGGAGTCGAAAGTGTCGATGAAAACAGAGAAAGTCTTGTGAAGTCTTTTGATCTGGTCTAAGATCACTTCTCCCAAAGCGGAGTAAGGACTTGAAGGGTGAATGAAAGAAGGGATCTCGTCGTGCTTCAAGAGAGGCATGCCAGGGATTTGGACATCGATCTCGGGATCTGTTTCGGTCGGGAAATCAACTAGTTTGTGGTGGTAATAGTAATAAGCAGCTAAGCAGGCGCAAGACTGAACCCAGAGAAGTGCACACGGGATTTGAAGATCTTCAGCCACGTCACAAACCCAAGAGACGAAGGGGTTGTTGATGAGACACGTCACGGGCTGTTTTGTCACTTCCTTGTATCGTTTCACGAGGTTTTTTATCTCTCTCTTGCCGACAAGCTCGAGGTGTGGTCGGAAGAAGGCGAAGTCATTTCTGCTCACATCGTCGTCTTCGGGAAGCCCGTCGTCGAAGAATTCGAACCGGAGATAGCCTTTACCGACGGGTTTGAGGACGCGGTCCTCGATTTTATTGGAGAGTCGCATCATTTTGCCCCATGGTTCTGTGGTGACAAAGGTTACGAGTAAACCCTTTGAAGCTAAGAGCTTTCCTAGACGAAGAAGTGGATTCACGTGGCCTTGTCCTGGGAATGATACGAGCATCACATGAGGAGGTAGTGGAGGAGAAGATTCTAGTTCCATCTTTTAGAGAACAAAAAAAATCTCGGTTTCTCTTTCTTTTGCTTTGTTCTTGTGTGTTTGTGTTTGAAGTGTGTGCATGTTGGAAGAGGATTACCGCTATAAATAGGAGACAATGAAGGTGAATAGTTGCTTATTGGCCATTTTTAGTGATGTATATTTTATTGCTTTTTTCCCGACAAAAAAAATATTTACGAAAATTGATTAATATCTTGATTTAATTAAAGGCTACACAGTAAATCGGAAACTGTTTTATAAATGACTTGGTCAGTGGGTGACGACGTGGATATAAAGAGACGTCTCACTCGTTTGTTTCCGTGGTTATTTCAATCTTTCACAATACCAACAAAGAGATACCGTATAAACAATAGAGAACACATTCGAAAATATGTTATTATACGTTACCTCTATATTCAATGTGTGGTTTTAAGGAATATTCGATGATTGGTCCTTTTTATATCTAACGCCATTTTGGTCCAAAAGGTTTAAAGGTTCATCTTAGCAAGTAGACAAAAAAAAAAATACTAGGTATTAAAAGTTTGCAATATTCAACGTGAGGTTGAATGCATGTAGCTCCGACTTGTAAAAGCCAAATGATTTGATTATGGGAGGAATATGATACACTGCTAAACGGAGAAAGATTCGTGTGAATATATATCAAAATGTGAGATACTTTATACAAGTGTTGTTGAATATGATAAAAGGCTCCATTACACACCAAGTGAAATACATTGTTAAAACTTAATGCGCACCATATAACGGCACTAGTTTTTTTCTTCATTATCTACGGAAGTTATATGATTTCAATTTCGAGGAAAAAAATGGTGCCGGCCGTATTCAGATTTGAGTTATAATATCTCTACTCCTAAACCGGTGAAAATTACACCGATCCTATACTTGACTTTTGTTGTGAAATTGTTAGATATTTTCTGGACTCTAGAGTGATTAAAAGTGATTAAAAATCTTTAGAAACGGCGTGGCGAAATCGAACACCTCTTGTTTTTCTATTTTTTGTTGTTCGGAGACTACAACTACTAGTCTTCTCCTACCACCAAAATATATTTGTTCCACGAAATTGTATAAGGGTGACGTGTTATCATTCCGTTGGTTAAGCTAATGTGAGGTCTAGTTTCCATTTCCGAGTACTTCCAACTCTTTTTTAACTACTACAAACCATAAAGCTATTAATGGTTTTTGTTTTGCTCATAAGGACAGCTTTGTTACTGTGACATGTAGCCATGCATATAGTTTTCGCTTCTACAAGTTTTGATGATGCTTTTTTTTTTGGGTAGAATGTCATATGTTAATATATATATGGTTCCGGATGGTAGTTGAAAATTACTATAATGTGTTTATGTTATTTGAGTTGTTCTACCAAGAACAACCACATTTGCGTTCGCATCTTCGAAAAGAAACTACTCGAAGGTTTAATAAGTTTAGCTTGAATGTTTTTAGTTTTATCCCATCTTAATGGAGTAGTATATTAGTATTTATATCTCACATGTACACATTTAAGTTGGATAGATATTGAACTAACCTATACGATCTGTCTTTGCGGATCACTCGTTTTTGCTATGTGTACAAAGTAGATTCGCATATACACATTTTCATTTTTTATTAATTTCTAAGACTTTGCGGATGAGTGATGACCCAAGGTCAATGGAGAGTGTCACAAACGACATCGTTTAGTATCATGATGTGTTCGATCTTTCGTACGTACGTGGTGGCACCAAAATATCTTGCGTAGCACAATTTTGAACAAGAGACCTCTTTTTGAACAATTGCTACATGTGAATCTCCCACACTGTAACACTTTAAAGATTAAAGATTAAGTTTCTTTCATCAATATATATAACTTTGTTTGTTTAGCCTTCCATAAACAAGATAAGTATAAAAATGGCCAGTAGTGATCAAACATTGAATTACGATAAATTATTAATCCGACAAAAAGCGAAACAATATTGATCAGTCACATGCATGTACAAAAGACTTTAGTGTTTGGGACTTTTCTTTTTGGTAGATGCTGTATGAGTAATTTGTGAATTAATTAACGTACGTCCCATTATTATCTTTCAGTTTTTCGCGTTCGAGTCCTGAGCTGAATCATAAGTGTACCAGAACTTGTCGTTCGATATAGAATCCCAAGAGGTGGCCACTGAATCCAGTGGGCACTTGACGAAAGGAGGCACACGGAGCAAGTACGAGAAATTTTCACACATGTAATAGACAGAGACCGTTGGTTCTTTTGGTTTTCCTTTTAAAAAATTTGGTTTGGATCCAGTTACGTGTTTCGCATCAAGACCGCATAATAATCGTTTAATTTTCTAGTCAAATTTAGAAATTGTTTTTTAAAAGAAAACAAAATCGTGAAATTTTGTTTTTTTGCCAGAATTGGAAAAGTACATACCCATAGACTTGGCCAGAAATGTTTTTAATAAAAAAAAAAACAAAAATGTGTTCACAATACTTGTGACGAAATACAAGAATTCAATATTTTTAATCACAAATTTTGTTTTTACGATTTTGATGGAAAAAACATTATTATGCAGTTTTAGTGAAAAATCTCAAGATTTTGGTGGAAAACATAATGTTAAATTTTTTAAAACCAAATTAAAGAATGGCTGAAAATTGGGATTCCAAATCAAAGAAGAAATAGCAAATTTAACACCAAATATTATAAAATATGTATGAACACCAACATGTATAAAGATGGGCTAATGCCTAATGATATGAATTTGGTGAGCCAGCATCTATGACATCCATTGAAACTTCGGGAGTACAAACTGAGTCTCCCCTATATGACATTGCGAGTTTATATTCTCTGATTTTTCTTAGTTTAAACACTAAAGTAATGAGATCAATTTAGTTCATATGTAGTCAATTTTGTAAAAGTAGAATTAAACTAAAATTTTATTATTCCAATAGATATATATGGAATTTTATAGTCAAATTTTTTTAGTTTAATCCGATAGTTAGAAATGTATCAAAAAAGGTAAATAAGAATAAATTGATAAACATAATTACATATATTCCGGTCAAAAACCAAACTTTTTCTTTGTGGGTAATAAATAATAACCAAACATTTGTGATTTGTTCTACACTCGTTACATTTTGGACTACCAGATCCTTCATCGACCTATATATGACGATATGCGTGACATCAAATGGAATGGATCATTAAAATGATTTCACACTTTTTGTATAAATGCGACACTCTAATACAAATATAAACATAACGAATCTAATCCTTCAAGCCACGTTTCCTAGTACAAGCCGAAAAATACTAAAAAGGGTAACAAAAACAAACCCCAAAAGCAAAAAGACCTAATTATAATTAAATTCTCCCCCCAACTTTTTTGAAAGAGTATAAGCAACACCAAACCCGTTTTTACGTAGAAGCAATCTATTTCTCTCATCCTATAAACACTCGACAAACAATACTTTCATGAAGACACACATTCAAGAACACTACAAACGACAACTAAAAAAAATCACATTTTAGCTAATTTACAAGAAGAAGATTGATACCAAAATGTCGAAAACGTTCAAAGCCATAAGAGACCGGACATATTCAGGTGTAGGAGACCTCATCAAGCTCCTCCCGACAGGAACCGTCTTCTTGTTTCAGTTCTTAAACCCTGTGCTAACCAACAACGGACATTGCCTCCTCATCAACAAGTACTTCACCGGAGCTCTCATCGTTGTCTGTGCCTTCTCTTGTTGCTTCACTTGCTTCACCGATAGTTACCGAACAAGAGATGGTTACGTTCACTATGGTGTAGCTACCGTGAAAGGTCTCTGGCCAGATTCGTCTTCAGTGGATTTGTCTTCGAAACGTCTTAGAGTTGGAGATTTCGTTCACGCTTTCTTCTCTCTTATCGTGTTCAGTGTTATTTCCTTGTTGGATGCAAACACTGTTAACTGTTTCTACCCTGGCTTTGGTTCCACTGGAAAGATCTTTCTCATGGTTTTGCCTCCGGTCATTGGAGTTATCTCCGGCGCTGTTTTCACTGTGTTCCCTAGTAGACGTCATGGAATTGGGAACCCTTCGGACCACAATGATGATGATATTGCTTCCGAGATGAAGTGATATACATGCATGTGTCGTCGTTTCATGGACTGGCAAATACTAAAAATGTATAAATAATAATTGTTCTAAATCTTTAAATTGTTTTTTTAATGATTTATTATGTTGGTGAGTTCTTCTGATCATATGTGTTGTGTAATGTGTGCGTGTGTGTTTTATTTCATTTTTTTTTTGTTTTTTTTTTACACATTTGTTTGTTGATAAAATGAAGGTAATAAAACATATATTTAGTGAACCAACATTATTGAAAACAAATATTGAAGCTATTAAAATAAAATTAGGGTACGATGAGATAAAGGGCTTCGAAGCTATTAAAAATAAAATGAGGGGTCAAATATTGAATAGACAAAAGTTTAAGGTTTTATCACAATTTATTAAAAGTAACAGTTAGATGTTAGAAGCCCTGCCTTCAACCTCTCCAAAACCCTAGAACCCGCCATCAAAAGCTAAATGAAGTAGAAGGAGACGAAGAAGAAGAAGAAACAAGTGCAATCCAGGCTTTTACGTTTTGAGAATGGTGAAGGCTTACCTAAGGTATGAGGCGGCGTCCTCTTTCGGCGTGATTTCATCTTTGGATTCGAATATAGCTTACGACTTTACGGGGAAGCATGTACTTGCTCCGGCGTTGGAGAATATCGGAGTATGGCACGTCCGGCAAGGTGTCTGCACCAAAACCCTATCTCCTTCCTCCTCCCGCGGCGGACCTTCTCTCGCCGTTACCTCCATTGCCTCCTCTGATTCTAGTTTGGTACTTACTTTTGTTTCTTTTTTTCTTTTCTTTTGTTTAATTTCCTGAAATTAGCTCACGTTATGGTCTATTTGATAGATGAACAGAGCTAAAAATGCCGTACTTTTGAAGTTTTAAGCTCAAATTGCTAGTTTAATTGCTTAGCCAAGAGAACAATAGTTTAGGAAAAAGAAGAAGTGAAGAGAGTTTATAATATTCCTGGTGTTTTGTACGATTGAGTTTCATTAGGAGTTTTCTGTGTTTTGATCCCGTGTGATCAACCAGGTGGCAGTTGGGTATGCAGATGGGAGTATAAGACTATGGGACTCCGAGAAAGGAATCTGTGAGGTAGCTTTGAACAGCCACAAGGGGGCGGTGACTGCTTTACGGTTTAACAAGGTTGGATCAATGCTCGCATCTGGAAGTAAAGATAATGATGTTATCTTGTGGGATGTTGTTGGCCAAACAGGCCTTTTCCGTCTCCGTGGGCACCGTGATCAGGTTCTTTACTATCTAGCTTTAAAGTTGTATCATGTTTTGTTTGATGATTCATATTGATTTTCTCGTTGTAATGTTTTTCCAATAGGCTTTCATTGTTGTTTTTTTCTGACAAAGCAATATACATATGTCTAATGCAGGTCACAGATCTTGTTTTCTTGGATTCTGGTAAGAAACTTGTCAGTTCATCTAAGGACAAGTTCTTGAGAGTCTGGGATCTCGAGACCCAACACTGTATGCAAATTGTCAGCGGCCATCATAGTGAAGTCTGGTCCGTTGATGCTGATCCAGAGGAGAAATATGTTGTTACTGGGTCGGGTGATCTAGAACTTAGATTTTATGCTGTTAAGCAATACTCATCTCATGGATCAGTGGTATCTGATTTAAATGCAAATGAAATCAAGACCAATGAAGATCAATCGACAGAGAACAAGTGGGAAATTTTAAAGCCGTTTGGGGAAATTCAGAGACAAACTAAGGATAGAGTTGCAAGAGTTAGGTACAATGTTTCGGGAAATCTTCTGGCTTGTCAAATGGCAGGTAAAACAATTGAGATATTCCGGGTTTTGGATGAAGCTGAGGCAAAGCAGAAAGCAAAGCGTAGGCTTCGCAGGAAAGAGAAGAAGACATCCAAAGCGGGAGATGAAAATGCAACCGCTAATGGTGAAGCAAGTGCTAAAGTTGAACAAGCTGATTCTGTTTCTAGTCCTACTGTCCTTGATGTTTATAAGCTTTTACAAGTCATTAGAGCTGGCAGAAAAATCAGCTCTTTCTCTTTTTGTCCTGTGGCTCCAAAAGAAACCTTAGGAACATTAGCTCTCTCTTTGAACAATAACTCACTGGAGTTCTATTCCCTTAAGAGTAGCGAAAACGAGAAAATTGTTACCATTGAACACCAAGGACATCGCTCTGACGTGAGGAGTGTTACCCTCAGTGAAGACAACACCCTTTTGATGTCAACTAGTCACAGTGAAGTGAAAATTTGGAATCCCAGTACAGGTTCCTGTCTCCGGACTATTGATTCAGGATATGGATTATGCAGTTTGATCGTTCCGCAGAATAAGTATGGAATTGTTGGAACCAAGAGTGGGGTACTTGAAATCATTGATATAGGGAGTGCTACCAAAGTGGAAGAAGTAGAGGCTCATGGTGGCACTATTTGGTCAATTACATCTATTCCAAACGAGAATGGATTTGTCACAGTCAGTGCAGATCATGAAGTCAAATTCTGGGAATACCAAGTCAAGCAGAAATCTGGCAAGGTGAGTCTTTTATTTTCTCTATTAGAATAAGTACACGATGCATTTTTTATTTCTGTTTTATAAGTTGATTCTCTACTCTCCTTTTTTTTTGCATCTCTTGTGTTTTCGTGCCTTTGTTTTCTAGAATTGTTTTACTCTTAGTTAAGTTATTGATGAGCTGATACATTGTTTATTAGTGTAGTTTGGGTAGTAAATTACAGTGTGCTAATATGATTCATTTACAACATATTGTGTTTGATGACCTGCAGGCGAGCAAGCAACTCACGGTTTCAAATGTTAAATCCATGAAGATGAATGACGATGTACTTGCTGTTGCTATCAGCCCTGATGCTAAACATATAGCAGTTGCACTGCTTGATTCCACAGTGAAGGTATGTTTATTTTGTTGTATTCTGTTTATGCATGTTTAGGCGAGAAAACAATAACTTAAATGACATCATATAAATGATAGTTAACCACATTCATATCTTTGTATTATTTCCCGTGAATTTTGTAACACCAATGTACTTACCTTATATTGGTTTCAGGTTTTCTACATGGATTCCCTAAAATTCTACCTCTCCTTATATGGCCACAAGTTGCCTGTGATGTGTCTTGACATCTCATCAGATGGAGAGTTGATCGTAACTGGTTCTCAGGACAAAAATTTGAAAATTTGGGGTTTGGATTTTGGTGATTGTCATAAGTCTATCTTTGCTCATGGTGACAGGTACCTCCATAATTCATACCATATTTCTGAACATGGCATAACATACTCAATGATGTGGATCAGTTATTCCTTGAATGTTAGGATCTTGTATCTAGTTTTATCAGCAAAGAATTTGTTTTCTTATTTGTTTTTCTTATCTCTAATAGAGAGCCATTGAACCAGGAAATGACTTAGAATGGAAAAATGCTGAAAAAACAATAAAAGACATTATGACAATTGCATCACATGATATTAGCAGAAAACTCTTAAATTTTGTTTTTTTTTTTCCTTTTTCTTTCTTTCAGTATCTACCCTACAGATTTACTTGCTAGTACACTGTTGATTCTTACCGGAAAGATTATACTTTGTATTTTAAGACTCCTTTAAAAGATTTGTGGTGCTTTAGTGACACTGTGTCTATGTTTTACAGTGTCATGGGTGTAAAATTTGTCCGGAATACCCATTATCTATTCAGCATTGGGAAAGACCGCCTCGTCAAGTATTGGGATGCTGACAAATTCGAGCTATTGCTAACGCTTGAAGGACATCATTCTGAGATTTGGTGCCTTGCTGTCAGTAATCGTGGTGATTTTCTCGTAACAGGATCTCATGACCGCTCTATGCGTCGCTGGGATCGCTCTGAAGAACCTTTCTTCCTCGAGGTAATTCCCCACTGTTGGGAGTTACGATTCAACTTTGCATGATAAAATCAGATGTGGAACTCATGAAAGTTCAAGCATTCAAATATAATAAACTCTGGTTGAGAATGTAGATTTGGTGGCATGTCTTCATAAATCTTAAAGTATATGTTGATGAGTTACTTTATGTCACTTTGGGCCAATTAATTCAAATTTGCGGAAATAATGCAGGAAGAGAAGGAAAAGAGGTTAGAAGAGCTTTTTGAGTCTGAGATTGATAATGCAGCAGATGACAGACATGGACCCATGGAGGAAATTCCAGAGGAAGGCGTTGCAGCATTAGCTGGCAAGAAGACGATAGACACCCTATCGGCTACTGATTCAATTATAGAAGCCCTGGATGTAGCAGAAGATGAAAAGAATCGTTATGCTGCTTATGAGGTGGGAATTATGACTTTGTTTGTTTATCTATACGTGTGGACATGACATCACCCTAGTTGATGCTCTCTTGCTGTTTTGGAGTTGAAATTAACATGTTACGGTTGTGCCAATATCTACTGTTGCTATATTGTTTCCTAGTTGTTCTTTGCATCTTAATCTTTATTTCTTCCTTTTTTCAGGAGGAGAAAACAAAGGGAAAAGTTCCTGCATACTTACCCAACGCTGTGATGCTTGGACTTTCTCCGTCCGATTTTGTTCTCAGGGCCATCTCAAATGTGAGAACAAATGATCTTGAGCAGACTTTGCTGGTAGGTTTCTTTATTTAACAAACTATCGCTTTTACTAATTACTTGGTTGTACCTAATTATTAGTGAATGATCTAAGGTTTATGTTAATCAATGTCTTTTTTTTCTTTCATATTTTGGGTAGGCTCTACCATTCTCAGATGCTTTGAAGCTTCTTTGCTACATGAAAGACTGGAGTTTAATTCCAGAGAAAGTAAATTATATTCTCCTTTTGTATTCTACATTCTAGATTAAGCTCTGAAGGGCCTATAGATGTAGACAGTGTCTTAAAGTCGAATGTGCTCAATTTCGGTCATTAACCTGGTATATTTTTAGAATGAAGAGTAAATGAACGGATCCGAGTTGTTGTTATAGAATTTCTCTAATGTTTTTTACCAAATCCTTTCAGGTTGAGTTAGTATGCAGGCTCGCAACCATTCTATTACAAACACACCACAACCAGTTGGTAACAACGCCGTCTGCCAGACCAGTCTTGAGCATTCTCAGGGATATTCTGTACTCGAAAATCAAGGTTAGCAACCAATGAAAAGTGTTGAGCTCTATATGTTTTTATTTGTGAATCAGTGTTGATATGGATCTGTAATATATCAGGCATGCAAAGATACAATCGGTTTCAACTTGGCTGCCATGGATCATGTCAAGGTATATATAACTTTGGACTATGTGTTATGTTCTAATAAGCATTTTCTCTCATCTTTGTGGGTATGAAGTGGAGTTTTAATGTTTTTGCAGCAAATGATGGCATCAAGATCTGATGCTCCCTTCAAAGATGCAAAGGCCAAGCTAATGGAGATAAGGTCACAGCAAGCGAAACGCATGGAATCACGTGCTGACACAAAGATGGAGAAGAAGAGAAAGAAGAAGCAGAAGAAATTAGAGGAAGGACATGGCCATGCTTTGTTTTGAAGATTGTAACTTTTAAGGATGATTTCTTAATGTAATCCAATTTTGCCTGTAACATTTTTTGTTTCCCTCCATTCAATGTTACTAATCATCACTTCGTGAAAAATGGCTCGATTCAACGTGAAATTTATCCATATACGAAAAAGTCAAAAGATACATTTAGTGTTTTCCATGGGTCCAAATGTAACATTTCTCAAAATCAGAGAGGCATTTTGACATGTTTTAGATAAAATGGCTCAATTTTGACATTTTTGTTGCTCTTTCAGTACTTTAAGTCCAAGTTTCAATAGTATGATTATGTTTGTTTGTAATTCATTCTCATTTTCCTTCCTGATCTTAGTAAGTTTGGATGTAAGATGCTTCTCTTGCTGCGGTGTATGTATATATTTTTTTCTCTTAATCACCAGAAGCTCCAGGAATATGTATTGTTCATTAGCAAATAGCAACTCGGGAAAAATCATTCAGGAACCAAATTATTGGAACTCTTTTGGTCCCAGCCTCCCAGGGTTGGTAATTTGTTTGATAAAGTCAACTAATAGACTAATAGATTGTTTATACACAGTTTTTAAATCACAAGATATGGTAATATCTTTCTACACATGCACATTCTAAATCATTCACAGAAGTCTATAGTTTGTATAGAATATACTTATATTTTTGTCAGTTTTCTCTTTAACCTACTTGTGAAAATTTCTTTGAGATGGTTGATGTACAGGTAAGGTTTTGGTTCTTTGCTGTTCTCTCTTCTGTGGTAGCAGGTTTACATTTGTTTGACATTTTTTTTTAGATGAGACGCTCAACAGAATTTAGTGGAAATTATATCCTTTATTCACCAAATTTGGAGCAGTTGGCTTATGACTTCTCTTCTTTAATATCATCTCATCTCTCTTCATTGATCTTATATTATAGTCATGTTGTTTAATTGGTTCATGAAAAATTTGTATTAGGAAATCTCTGTGAAGTGTTAAATCTTTTGTAGCTGTTTACATGCTGTGTGTGTTTAGAAGGAAGCTTGGTTTCTTTTATTCAAGAATCCGATGGGTTATCAGGAAACGTGTGAGGGCCAGAGTTATCGTCAGGAGGTTCAGGAAAGCAAGGTGGAGAGCTCGAAGAAAGGAGACCCCGGAAACGGAAGTTCCTTCTATCCATCTAAGCTCAAAATCCAGAAGACATATTCGGGTTGCCACGTTTAACGTGGCAATGTTCTCACTTGCTCCTGTTGTGCAAAATATGGAGGAAACAGATTTTCTTGGTCACATAGATAGCAACAACATCACATGCCCACCCTCTCCAAAAGGGATTTTGAAGCAGTCTCCGTTACATTCTTCTGCAGCCAGGAAACCAAAGGTCTGCATTAATCTCCCAGACAATGAGATTTCTTTATCACAGAGCTACAGCTTTCTGAGTATGGTAGAGAATGATAACGACGGGAAAGAAAACAGAGGAAATATCTCGATGAGATCTCCTGTATGTCTTCCTTCTTGTTGGTGGGATCAAGAGAGCTTTAACGGTTACAGCAGCAGAAGAAGCATAGCTGAGTTGTTAAGAGAGTTAGATGCAGACATCTTGGCTTTGCAAGATGTGAAAGCAGAGGAAGAGACACTTATGAAGCCATTATCAGATTTGGCTTCTGCCTTAGGTATGAAATATGTGTTTGCAGAGAGCTGGGCGCCGGAGTATGGCAATGCTATACTGTCAAAATGGCCCATAAAGAAGTGGAGAGTTCAGAGAATTGCCGATGCAGATGATTTTAGGTGATATAAATCTTCTTTTGCCTATCTTACATTATTTTCCTCTTTGACTATATCATTTTCCTTAATGGTATCTTTTTTTACTAAACTATCAAGTCCTAAACAACCTGAAGCATTGATTATAACTATAAGCTCATGGGACTGTGTATCTTAAATTGTAGAGTTAGGTAATGCATTTTGTTTCCAATTTTAAGTTATATTCAGGTTATAGAAGCAATATAGAAGATGAACTGTCTTTGTTTACTGTTCTGGAACATGGTGTTTTGCTGAGTGTGGTCGACTCAAGTGTTTTGTGTGTGTGTGCAGGAATGTGTTGAAAGTGACTATAGAGGTTCCATGGGCTGGAGAAGTAAACGTGTATTGTACTCAGCTTGACCATCTAGATGAGAACTGGCGGATGAAGCAAATCGATGCAATTACTCGAGGAGATGAGTCTCCCCACATCTTGCTTGGAGGCTTGAATTCTCTTGATGGCTCTGATTATTCCATAGCAAGATGGAACCACATCGTAAAGGTAACATTTCGTTAGAGCGGTCATAACTTTAGTTTGCTTCATTTCATATATAACCAAAACTATCTACTGTAAGAACAGTATTACGAGGACTCAGGAAAGCCTACGCCTAGAGTTGAAGTGATGAGATTTCTCAAGGGAAAAGGATACTTGGACTCTAAAGAATTTGCAGGAGAATGTGAGCCTGTAGTCATTATTGCCAAAGGCCAAAGTTAGTTTCTCTAAACTTGCAAAGTTTTAGAACCTTCCTTTATAGTATTCAATCATAGCAATAGTAATATGGGAAATTCTTGATCTGATATAGATGTACAAGGAACATGCAAGTATGGGACACGGGTAGACTACATTCTTGCATCTCCAGAGTCACCTTACGAATTTGTTCCTGGCTCGTATTCAGTTGTTTCTTCCAAAGGTACTTCTGATCATCATATAGTCAAAGTCGATTTAGTTATAACCAAAGAGCGATCACAAGGTAGCTTCAAATATTCGCGCAAGAAAGCAAAGCAGAAGATCTTTCAGATAAAAGCTAATTTGATGTCCGGAGATACATGGAAACTAGGAAATCTTATGTCTTCATAAAAGTTGGCCATTAAGGAACAACTCTTGTTTATATGATAACGTTTATTCCAATACTATTATGTAAGATGCAATACAACATTCACTTACATATTGATCGCTATGGTCACAAAGAACTAAATCAATGTTTTAAGAAACAAACAATCATATTCTTTTACAATCTACAACATATCTAACAAATAATTTAGAAACAACTAAGGTAACCAATCTCAGGCAGAGGCAGAGGCAGAGGCTTTCTTGGTTTCCTCTTCAGCACCTACCTCCTCAGCAATTGGTGCGTACCCGATCCCACTCCGTTTGCTTGGAAACAAAGCGAAGATAGCGGCTGAGGCAATACCCACGGCTGGAGGCAAAGCCATGACCAATGTCTTTTGTGTTTCCCTGAACCGAGGATAAAAGCAGCTTGCGGTATTAGCGTCAAGCAACACCAGCGTCCCAAACACAGCCAGCACGAAACCCGCATGAACGAAATCCGCGATCCTGAGCTTGTACTTGGACAAATCCACGGATCCAGGATCAGCATAAGTCCAAAGACCCTTCTTGGTGACTATACCAAACTTTCTTGATCCGTCGACGCCTTTGAAACTATCCGTGAAGCATGAGAACACGCAGGAGAAGCTGCAAAGGGCGACAAGGATGCTTGACATGACTTTATTAACAGTGGTGCATTCACCATCGTTAGTGAGGACAGGGTTGAGTAAAAGATAGATGAAGAGTGTTCCTGTAGGGAGAAGCTTTATAAGACTCTCTAGGCCTGTGAGGGATTTGTTTGCCATGGTTCCCGATGAAGCTGGAGGGTTTGTTTTGGATATGAGCAAAGAAGAAGTATCGGACATGAGCTTGTACCTCGAATTAGATGTATAAACTATAAAGTGAGTTCTTGGCTTGATACGTTTGTCGGTATTTATAGAACAGTTTGAGATGATAAACCATTGATCCGGTCCGAGATCATGATGGTTTTAAACACCGTAGAAGAATTGGTAATAACATTGACCTAGTCAAACCATCACTTTTGTCCTAGACTCTATGCACGAAGAGTCGACAATTTCTAAAACCGTTGATTAATATTTTTCTTCGATCGATATGAAAAGTAGACACACACATAATTTATTAACTCTTGGACCTAAATGAGAAGAAATTTATAAGGCGTCGCATTACAACGAACACGTTTGGTAATATGAATCTTGACTGAATCTAAAGAGAAGTTTCTCTTTTGAATCCGTAAAATTTCCAAGACTATATACTACTTAATTTTATAGGTCGCTATAGAATTGTTCTTTAAGTAGTGAATTATTATTATTACAAGTTGTCTTATAAATGTGTTTGTTTTTGTGTTTATATATGTGCTCAAATATACTGTTTATATCAAAATGATATTTTAAGCTAAGTAAGACAGAAGTATTAGTTTTCTTTTATCAATAATATAACTTATAAACGTTAACACACAAAAAAAAATGATAGAGAATAAGAGTGTGTTTATATATGTGGTATGTTAGTGTTTTTTTGTATCAAAAAGATAAGACTTTAGAGTTGCAAATGCAAAGAGAATTTTGAATGAGTTTGACGTTTTTGCGTTTGAAATTTGTATGTATCATACTTTTCACATGTAATTAAACAAAAAAAAATGGAAATGCAAAGAAAATTTCACAATGATTTTTGTGTTTATATTTATAATTTGTAAATAATGCATATCATGAAAGGAATTCAATATGTGTTACGATCAAGACTTATAGCGTTTGCCTTTATATGTCAACATATTTCAACTTGCAGTCACACGACATTAATTTAGTTTTTTATTTTTTTATTTATCATATATATATATATATACGTCAAATTCAAAATGTGAAACTTAGATGCATTCAACGTTTAGTTGACATAATGTATTGTTTTTAGTGTAAATACATCATCTAAACATTTAAACCCACTTCTTAATCGTTTTCTTGCAGTTGATGAACCAACCAGGCCTATACAGTATACACGAGATAGAAACGACAACTCATTTCATTTACTTGTGTATATTGAACTTAACCTGAAATTGGCTATGAACCAATGAATCGACTAACTCATTCTGCATGCTCACCTTTTTATTTGTTTTCAGTAAATAAAATTCACAATTGGCTGCGTCTACAGCGACTTGTGTGTTTAGCCTTTTATACATTTTTTAAACAAATTTGATTAGGTTGGCTAATGATTTTCTTATACTAAATTGCTTGGTGCATGCATACTCTTTTTAGACTTTTTTACGTATTAGTTTGTTTAAAAAAACTAAGGAAGCACTGAAGCACAGTTTAACTTTCTCACGGAGATAATGTAAAGATAACAAAATTCATGGTAAGAGTTTGAAAGATTCATGATTAGTGATGGGAATGGACCCATTATCAAATAAGATCCACTAATAATATTTGGTTAGTTAGTATAATACGTTTTATGCCATTGGTTAAACACACATACGTACGTTCTTGCATGTCCCATGTCGTCCCATTCATCATGTGAGACGTGTCGTCAAGGCAAAGATCTTTACCCAAATATGTAGAAATGTTACTGTTATACTAATATTACTACTATTGTTTAATTTTTGGCTTGACGTGTTGGAAGTGTCATTGAAAAAATACTAATTAATTACGGAAAAATTCGCCATTTACTGTGCATGAGCATGATTGTATGATTGAGAGAGTATTTGAAGCGACGAAAATGTAATGCTAGAGACATGTCAAAGATGAGACTGGTATGCTTGAAGTAGACTCGGATCAGATATATGTTAAAATTCTTACATAAGAAAAAAACATTGTATGTATGTAGTGTATATAAAGAATTATATGATAAACATTGCATTATAATTAGTTTGTTTTGGAGAAGACATAAATCTTGTAAACTACAAATGTTTTAGTGTTGTTTACGTCAAGAACAATCCATCATCCATTTCGCAACCTCTATGTGAAATTCATAATAAGATTTGAAAGGCCCATAATTAGAGATAGAGAACCCTCTAAGATAATGGACCCATTAATCTGAATATGATCCACTAATAATATTTGTTTAGTTAAGTGTATTACGTTTTATGTCATTGGTTAAATTAACAAATCGTCTTCTTGCATGTCACATGTGAGCTCATTCAAAACGGATTTTTTTAACAAGTCAAATGTGCAGAAATATACTATATTATTACTACTGTTTATTTTGGCTTGATGTGTCCATGATAATAAAGTTGTACACTTACTATTCATCAGATGTATCATACATTATATTATGGTTATCTAAGCTGTAAAAGGACAAAGGAAAATCTCATATTTTAATAAGTACTCTACCAATGATAGGTTATAGAAGTTCGAAACTGCATTATGTTTGGCTGTAGCAATCATTAACAAATTATAGTGTCAGGTGGCATATATGGAGTTCAAAGTCACAAATGCACCTTTGATTAAACTCAATTACGTTTACGATTTTTGTGAGATCATTGTAAATAAACTAAACCAGTCAATGCATTATCGTAATATACTAACACTAGTTGGACAAAAGAAAACAATTAACGAGGATCAAATCAAATTAAAGTTTCCCTCGAGAGATTCTAATTTGAGAGATACATTGAATGTATGCTAGCAAACGCATATTATTATATGCTTTGTTTTTTCATATATCAGATGTACAGTAAGTAGATTTTTAAAATTCGATGCAAAAAGAGACAAATCAAGAAAAGTATCAAATGCTTATTCTAATGTCTTTATCACATTTGGCAAATAAAAACGAGGAGAAAGCGCAAAAATAATGGTTTAGACAGTTGACAGCACCACCAACTTCCATTTTTGATTTTTGATTTTGTTTTTTGGATTCTTTTCTCACATCCAAACCAAAACTGTAAATTATAAAATACAAATATTGTTTTTTTTATATATAATAATGTTTTTAAAAAAATGATTTTGATGCGGAGGATTGTGTTCTCATCTTTTAAGTACTGATAACTTTGTTTGGACAATGGTCTTACCTCCATTATTGGCAGAGAGAAACACAAAGGAATAAAAAGCAAATAAACAGAGAGAAGATGGATTTGGTTCAGATGCAGAAGAGTTTGCAAGATTACACTAAATCACTCTTCTTAGAAGTAAGCTTTTCACATTCTAAAATGGGTAAAAAATCAGCTAAAAAAAAAAAAAGTCACTTAAAAACGATTTGAAAGTGTTTTTGTTAATATGATTTTGAAGATTGAAAAATGGTTTTAGGAGTAACAGTGAAAAGGATTTATGCTTTTAAATTTCTAATATTTGGTAAGATCAACATGAGTTTAAGTTTGATTATGTAAAATTTGTTTCTGAGTATGGAGAGCTTTTTTATTTATTGTTGTTGTTTTGGTACATAAAAAAAAAACAGGGGATTTTGGACAGCCAGTTCTTGCAGCTGCAACAACTACAAGATGAAAGCAATCCAGATTTTGTTTCACAAGTTGTTACACTCTTCTTCCAAGACTCTGACAGGATTCTCAATGATCTCTCACTATCCCTGTATACACATCCTCTCTTTTACCTCTTTTATTTATGTTACCTAAAACTTATGTGTGTGTGTCTTCTAACTGTTGTTATGTTTTGGCAGAGATCAACAAGTTGTAGACTTCAAAAAAGTTGATCCCCATGTTCATCAACTCAAAGGTAGCAGCTCCAGGTAACAAACCAAAAAAACAAAACATCTCTGGTTTAGATCCAAAAGATAATGACAGTTTCTTGATCTTGAAATGTCTAAAGAACATTGAGATTTTGACTGTGTGTTGATGTTGCCATTAAAAAAAAAACAGTATAGGAGCACAGAGAGTTAAGAATGCTTGTGTTGTCTTCCGCAACTTCTGCGAGCAACAAAATGTTGAAGCGTGAGTTTTGATCGATATATTCGTTATTATTTATTGGTTTTAAAGATCTGATTAGGAAAAATGATAAAATTGATGAAAATATCCAGATGTCATAGATGTTTGCAACAAGTGAAGCAAGAGTACTATCTTGTGAAGAACAGATTAGAGACTCTCTTCAAAGTGAGTAGTCAAAGAGACTTTTCTATAAAACTGTTTTTATCATGTTCTGATCAATACTTGGTACTGATTTGATTCAATATTGGTTTTGTACGCAGCTGGAGCAACAGATTGTAGCCTCTGGTGGAATGGTCCCGGCCGTCGAACTCGGGTTTTGAGAGAATTAATAAACACCACTATCCATTGTTGTATCATTTCGGAGATCTCATCTTCTCTTTTTGTTACTATCCAAAAAAGTTCTTATGTGAACTTCTTGTTTGTGCCATTGGATGAGTGAGATACACCGAAACGTTTCTTAATCTGAATCCACACCTAAATCCCACCTATGTATGGTAAAAACTTCAAGAATAATAGTGAAGGCTATATTTATATTAGCGTTTTGATATAGATGTTACAAGCTTTTATGCTATAGGCATTAAGGTTAATGTGATCTAGACAATTTTGTTAGGTTGGTGCTTTCTTGATTTCGAAATGATACAAACAAATGGTTATTGTAAAAAATGGATTAGTCTTAGGCTAAAGAACACAGATGGGCCAGACCATATAAATTTAGTAGCCCAAGAGGGTAAGAAAGGGCCTGTAATACACATCGATGATGATCTAGGAATGTTTGTATTTTATTTGCAATTTGCATGATTGTGACATTTTCTATGAGTCTCTAAGATTTTAAGACATTTATGCAATGCAATGAAACGAAAAAACATAACTATATGACATTTTGGTACACATAATGACAATATTCTTAAATTCGTATAGGATCTGTGACCTGTCGTCGATTAAGAAAAAAATGGTAATATGTTATATTGTAACAGTATCTATAGTTTTGTAACCTCATACATGTATGATGTATCTTCATATTGCTCGATATATATATATTTGTATTAATTAGCATTCCTAATTCATCTTTTTTTTATTTAACCTTTTTGGGTAAAGAATTAGCGTTCCTTCATCGTTTGTTCTTATGTAACTTTACTAGTTTCCTACTGAACTTTTTGTCTTTTCAATAATTAAGATTTCCACTTCGTATTTATAATGAACCTCTCTTATCTTTAATTATGCATTATGACAAAATATGATATGGTCATATATATCATTTTTCCATCCACTATTTGTTTGTTATCTATTACATCATAGTGTGACAATATTTTGTTCTTGGTTTTGTTTAGTTTCAATTTAGAAAAAGAATCTTAGATCTTTGTTTTAGAACATGCATAGTATCCAAAATGGAAGCATGTTTTGGTGAAAATATTTCCATACAAAGAATTCTAATCAGTAATCAAGATAAAGGAGGTTGACTAATTCCGTTTAATTTTCTCCTTTCCATAGTCTAAGTCACGGCTAAGTTACAACGTTCAACACACATGAAACACAACACATGCATCATTACTGACTTAATGTGTATATAATCAGAATTTAGTTACGCTACGTATATAAGTTCGTGTAGATGTGTGAAACTAGAATTAATGTATTTCTCATGCAAACATCTCTCATATAGTCTCTCCCACAAGGCCACATATATACAATTCCCGTTGGATCAATACATTAGTCAATGCATTACTTACTTAACGGCTATAGATCTTTCAAAACTGATTTGAGTTTCTATTTGGACAATAATCGCGATTTTAGAAACATCATGTCAATGTGATGAAGACGAGCAAATAGAGCCGTGCTTAACTACTTTTATGATGAAAATAAGGCTTTGACCCTTATGTATAATGTATCCAAATAGTACTTGTGGTCAACTTGTGTGGTATACTATGTGTTATTTGTTTCATTCCTTATTCCCAAAGAAAGACTTTGAATTTCCTATACATATGGGAAGTTATCACCCAAACTATGAGATTATATAATAAGTTTTATACGTTGTTAAAATACGATACATGAGGTAACTATTCATAAATTTCAATTTATGTTTATCGTTTTAAGTGAATTTATCTTATAGTTTTTTGTAATTTATTTTCGAAAGAGATTTTTTCTACATAATTAATAACATCCAAATTACGTACTAATTTTATTTAGATAAAATTGTCTCAAATACATATTTTCTAAAGTTTCTAATAAAGAAACAAAATTATGTCTTTATAGATAAATATTTATTAATATATTAATATCACTAAAATTTAATAAAATATTATCGTCTTGCCATTATAAATTTATAGAATGTTTTATTTTATTTTCGGTATTAAACTTTACGCTTTGTATTATTGACTACTGCCACTATATATACACGTTGGGATGTCATATCAACACACAGATCATCATCACTTCACCTTTGGCTCTTTGAAACACAATATTCTCTCAAATGGCTCTCTCCGTATTTGCCTTTCCTTCTTACATAAATAGACATCCTTCAATTCAATATTGCAAACCATCTACTTCTGTGTCTTCTACAAGAAACACCACTTGCATTGTAAGACTTTTCTTTTACTTATTGACTTCATGACTTATAAATATGAAGTTATGTATACAATGAGAAAAAACTGCATATTATGAATGAGAAACCACATCTAGTTCTTGTTTTATGAATAAATTATGTTATGCTCGTTTCAGATCCTTAAAGTTACACATTTATTGAACTGATCGAACAGAACATCCTATTGATTTTTTGTTGGTCTTGTTCAGTTAAAAGTAAGAGGAACACTTGCTGAGAAAGGTGAATATTATTCAAACAGACAACCAACTCCTTTACTGGACACAATCAACCATCCAATGCACATGAAAAACCTGTCCATGAAAGTATATGTCTCAATCCAAAACCTTGAACCTTGTTTTGTCTCAAATAAAATGATGAAAAAGTGTTGTGCTTATATGGAATTTGAATTATGGATATGTAGGAACTCAAAGTTCTTTCAGACGAGTTGAGATCTGATGTTATCTTCAATGTTTCGAAAACTGGAGGACACTTGGGTTCGAATCTTGGTGTTGTTGAGCTCACTGTTGCCCTTCATTATATCTTCAATACTCCTCAAGATAAGATCCTTTGGGATGTTGGTCATCAGGTTGGTTATTTCATTGCAATCATCAGTGACTTTTTATTTATTTACTCACTTGTTTTGTCTTTTGACAGTCTTATCCTCACAAGATTCTAACGGGAAGAAGAGGAAAGATGAAGACACTAAGGCAGACCAATGGCCTCTCCGGCTACACCAACCGAAGAGAGAGTGAGCATGACTCCTTTGGCACTGGACACAGTTCTACCACAATATCTGCAGGCTTAGGTAACCCTTGTTGTTATTTCCTTGTGACACAAGACAGCAAGAAAACTTATTTCTCTTATGATTAAGTTATAACTACTATAGGACTTTTCTAATATCCGAAAATTTGTTAACTAGGAATGGCTGTCGGTAGGGACTTGAAGGGGATGAACAATAGTGTGGTTGCGGTTGTAGGAGATGGTGCCATGACAGCTGGACAAGCTTATGAAGCAATGAATAATGCTGGCTACTTAGAATCCGACATGATTGTGATTCTCAACGACAACAAGCAAGTCTCTTTGCCTACTGCTAACTTGGATGGACCAACTCCTCCCGTTGGAGCATTGAGCAGGGCTCTTAGTAGTTTACAGTCTAATGGTCCTCTCAGGGAACTGAGAGAAGTTGCTAAGGCAAGTAATAATACTCTTTCATTTTCCTTTGTGGAAAATCTTTATATATTTTGTTTTTGTGTGAAAAATCAAGTCTTATATATGTTCTTTATAGGGAGTCAGGAAGCAGATTGGGGGATCAATGCACCAATTTGCTTCAAAGGTAGACGAGTATGCTCGTGGAATGATTAGTGGGACTAGTTCAACACTGTTTGAAGAACTTGGTTTCCATTATATTGGTCCAGTTGATGGGCACAAAATAGATGATTTGGTCACCATTCTTGAAAAGGTAAAGAGCACTAGAACCATAGGACCGGTTCTTATTCATGTCGTGACTGAGAAAGGTCGCGGATATCCTTACGCCGAGAGAGCTGATGACAAGTATCATGGTAATATCAGTTGCATAAAAATAACATGTTTTTTTTTTCTTGACTATGCTATGCATTCTTGGATTGATCTATCTTTCTTCTTCTTGTTTCAGGAGTTTTGAAATTTGAGCCAGCAACAGGTAAACAGTTCAAAAACATTGCCAAGACTAAGTCTTACACTTCCTGTTTTGTGGAGGCCTTGATTGCGGAAGCAGAGGCAGACAAAGATGTTGTAGCCATTCATGCAGCCATGGGAGGTGGCACCATGTTGAATCACTTCGAGAGCCGTTTTCCTACAAGGTGTTTCGATGTTGGCATAGCAGAACAACATGCAGTTACTTTTGCTGCCGGTCTTGCTTGTGAAGGCCTTAAGCCCTTTTGTACAATCTACTCGTCTTTCATGCAGCGTGCTTATGACCAAGTAAAGTAACATATTCAAAAACTGAGAGTTCATGGTTATTGTGCTACGGTAACTTGACTTTTACTAGTTTGTGTAGGTTGTACACGATGTTGATCTACAGAAACTACCAGTGAGATTTGCAATAGATAGAGCAGGACTTATGGGAGCAGATGGTCCAACACACTGTGGAGCATTTGATGTGACGTTTATGGCATGTCTTCCAAATATGATAGTGATGGCTCCATCTGATGAAGCAGAGCTTTGTAACATGGTTGCTACGGCTGCAGCTATTGATGACCGTCCTTCTTGCTTTCGATATCATAGAGGAAATGGTATTGGCGTTTCACTTCCTCCTGGAAACAAAGGTGTCCCGCTTCAGGTATGTTTACTAAAAGCATATTATGAACTAAAACATTCAAGTTTTAATGTTTTTGTGTTTGCCTAATTTCAGATTGGAAAAGGTAGGATACTAAGAGAAGGCGAGAGGGTTGCTCTTTTGGGGTACGGATCAGCCGTTCAAAACTGTTTAGAGGCTGCTTCTATGCTAGGCGAACGCGGACTAAAGGTAACGGTAGCGGATGCAAGATTTTGCAAGCCATTAGATGTTGCTCTCATCCGTAGCTTAGCGAAATCACACGAGGTTTTGATCACGGTTGAAGAAGGTTCAATTGGAGGATTTGGATCGCATGTGGTACAATTTCTTGCACTTGATGGCCTTCTTGATGGAAAGCTCAAGGTACATTTACATTTTCACACGTTTCTAGTTTACATTTGTATCCCTTTGATCCCTGAATTCAAATGTTTTTTTTCCTTTTGACAAAAGTGGAGACCAATGGTAATACCTGACCGGTATATCGAACATGGATCACCAATGGATCAACTGGCTGAAGCTGGCCTCACAGCGTCTCATATTGCAGCTACTGCACTTAACTTAATGGGGACACCTAGAGAAGCCTTGTTTTATGAGAAATGAAATCTCAAAAAGGGTACACAAAATCTTCAATTCTATATGAGAAGTATTAATTCTAGTTTGGTTACAATTTATCTAATAATTGATGAACAAAGTAAGATCCTCTAGCTTTTGAATTTACATTCTTATAAAATTGTTTGTAATTTATTTTCTCCAAAACAAGTCATTCACATTCAAGAATGTTTTTTTTGTGTGATGCTTATAATGTCTTGTTTCAACAAGACTAAGAAATAGAACATATAGCTTTAGGGTTTTCGTCGCTAAACACCATAAATTTCTCCATCTCCCAATCATAATTACACCATTCATCATCGCCTAAACCAATCGGTTCCATATCAATCTCGAGAACATTTTCATTATCAGCGTCTTTACTAGACTCTTCATCTTTCTCTTCCTTGACTACAATCTTCGCTCTTTTGCCTGTCTTCTTCTTGAGTTTCTTCACCAACTTCTTCGGATCGATCTTACCCGTGACCACAACCTTGTGACTATTCATATCCGTAACAAACGTCTCAACTCCTATGAATTCACATATCATTCGAAATTAAAAAACTATATTGCAAACATATGGTATATATATAACGTTACGTTGATTTTGTAATACCTTTGAATTTGGAAATAACTCTAGCGATTTTTCTCTCGCATTCGTTGCAATGCATCGATACGTTGAGTTCGACATCCATATACTACACAACATATATATCGAAAACAAAACGAAGTAACTAACAACCATATATATTGAAAACAGAGGATTCACAAAACAAGTAAGTATGAACTTACTCTGACGTTGTCCTTTTTCTTTTCTTTCGTCATTGGTGAATCGAATGATCAGTGTATGAAGTTTTTAGATTTTGTACTTTATGTCCGAATAGACAAGAGATGATGTCTTCGTGTCAAAAGGAACAATACTGTTGTTTTTAAGTTTTTTTTTTTTTTTTTTTTTTGCATTGGCGGTTTAGATTTTGGATAGGAGTTACTGACGGTTAATACGGTTCATTCTTATTTTTCTTAAACTTAATTAATAGAATTGTGAACTCTGAAGAAGCATAACATTACCATTTACGACCTAGTACTGGTAATAATATGACAATGATTAGATCATCAAAACAAAACGACATCAACATTGTAATAACGCCTTGATTGCCATTTCCTGTCATGTATATTAATTTTTGGTCCACAATTTGGATATTCATATTTTTGGATCACATCTTGGATTCGAACCATGACATATAATATTTTTTTGTATCACACATTTATTTCGACTCATATTTAATGCAGTTCCTCTCATTATGTCTTTCACTTCTCTATTGTTTTCTAGATTGTTTACAAATTATATATATGCCTTTCAATGACTGTTTTATATTCTTTTAGATAATCAAACTAAATTCCCTTGTCTCTAATTTATTTGATCATTTGTTTACCATATAAAGTTGGAATCATGCAATATTGGGTGAATAATCGACTCTCTAGGAGTCAAGTGTTATTTTTGTTAATGACTGAAGGATTGCTTATTTGTGATGAGATCGTTCAAGACGATAGATTTCATGAATTTTTCATGTAAACTATAACCCTTCAAAGATGTAGAGATGGACATGTATACATTTCACACAGAAGAACCGCACACGCAGTCATGGTACTCTTTTTGTTTATCTATTATTATTAAAATTGCATAGTAGACATATAGTGCATGCACAGTGCATGATGCACTCATATTTCTTTCATGAAAAAATGATATCGTTATATTTGTTAATTTATATATTAGTAGATATATTATTATCCATAATACATATTAGAAATATATTTCTTATTCACCTCATATTAGCTTAGTCAATGAAAATAGAATAATATGCCACATAATATTATATTCAAAAGTTAATCAAAAATAAATTTAGACAACTAAAACAGTCAAAGGAAATAAAATATGTATATTTTTAATTAAAAAAATTTAAATAATAGTTGGAGAATTCTCTTAAATACCATTATAATTTTTCTTTTTCAAAAATACCAATAAAATATATTTTTTCCCAAAAATACCACAAACTAAAAGTAAAAAATTTTAACATTCAAAGCTAATTTTTAAATCCTAAACACTAAACTCTAACCCTAAAAATTATACCCTAAATATAAATAGTCAACCCAAACATTAAAACAAATAATTCTACATTATTTTTGGAAAAAACAAATTGTGGTATTTTTGGAAGAAAAACTAAAATCATGGCATCCAAGGGAATTTCTCATAATAGTTTGAGTTTAGATTTTACAATTTTAAGAGGCTACATATTGGTTTGGATTTATAAATGATCATTAGGTTTTTAGAATTTACAATTAAACAAAATTTATATATCTAGAGAGTAGACCATTGAAAGATAATAATATTGATTTTAGGAGGGCTTTGGTTGTTGTGTCAGTGTAAAGATCCCAGCATGCTTTAATTTCTTCTTTTTGGTTTTGACTTTTGATTATGGTTAGTTTGTGTTTCCATCGAGTTGAGGCGGCGGCCTAATAATAATCTATTTGCTCCCATTGTTTAAACCTTTATCACAAGTTGAGATACTCTCCTAAAATCACGGTAACTGAAATCTAAGCCGTTTTAGTATTATTTGATATATACGAGTACCTCCCATAAAAACCCTAATTAATATCTCTGACGCATCTTCGAAAAATGGAGATAAGTTTAAGCTTTAATGAAGCCAATGCACCCGTCATAATAAACGTTCCGGCTAATGTTGGTTTGACGATTAACGTAAAACCTGTAGGTGGAGGAGGAAACGTGAAAGGAGGAGCGCATGTTCATCCTCTGGCTGGTGGGGTTGATAAACAAGTAAAGGATGAGTTTATGAAAGCAGAAAGCAGTGGTAGTAAGTTGCCTGATCCATCGTTGAAAATGGGTAACCCTCGAGTGTTTTTTGATATGACCGTGGGGGGCAGACCAGCTGGTCGGATCGTGATGGAGCTCTTTGCGGACACGACCCCACTACAAGGGGATCAATCATCTACCGTGTGGTACCTGATCAAATGTTTTGCGGAGGAGATTTCATTTCTGGTAACGGAATGGGAGCAGAATCAATCTATGGCGATACGTTTTTCGAGGCTGAGAACTTCATCAGGCAGCATACTGGTCCAGGTTTCCTTTCAATGGAGAACAGGGGTTCAGGCAGCAACGGATCTGTCTTCTTGATCGGCATGAAGGAGGACGATTCTCTCGGCCAAGTTGTTGAAGGATTTCATTTCCTCAAGAGTTCTTATTCACCTCATATTAGCTTAGTCAATGAAAATAGAATAATATGCCACATAATATTATATTCAAAAGTTAATCAAAAATAAATTTAGACAACTAAAAAAAAGTAATATTATGTGGCATATTATTCTATTATTTTACTTTTTTTTTAATTAAAGTTGGTCAGGTCTGTGTGTGTCTCTTTGTTTCCATCGAGTTTCGTCCATTGAATAATAATAATAATAATAATCATCTTTTTTCACTTCTCTTGATAGGCAAGTTTTGAGAATCAAACCAAATTATTCATAATGACTGACACTCAAAACCCAGCTCTCGTAATAAAAGGGAAATTATACAAATTTTAAACGACTTTAGAAAAATAAAAGTAAAAAGTTCAAGCAGATTATAGTTACACGAGTTGTTACATTTACAGTCACTTTCTAATCTAGTATAATCTAAAACAGCTGTATCATATAGGAGTCTGATCGCATTACCTCTTTTACCCGCTACGGCGTTGGAACTTGCCTTTTACGTCTTTGATCCATATTGTTGACCGCGTTCTCCTCACATGGTCTGTGAAGAGACGGTACCTAGCAAAGTTCAAGATTCAGAAGCCATTAAGGAGATGAGACAAAACTTTGTTCCACAAATATGAAACTATCTTGTCAAATAAGAATACCCACCTTTCATACTCAAGCCTTTGAGTAACTATCCCATTTAAAAGTAACTCCGAGCTATATACCTCAGCCCCTGAGGATAAGGAAACGAAAAACTGTTATTCCCCGCGTGACATCTACCATGCACATACAAATGCAGACATCATATTTTGACCAAACTGCAACTCACCTCTCTCTAGGAATGGTATGCAGATAGTTCGATCCTCTTCACATGATAGGACCAAAAGATTTTCTGGGACCTTATCTTTGCTTAGGATAGATCTTCCGAGTCTTTCTACAGGCTGGCATTTGTTTTCATTATGGATCAGTTTGGGTGGTGGGGAGAAACAGTTATTAAGATCATGCACACGAAAGTGTAAAAAGGTAAAGAATTGATTACCAGTCCATGAACTGCCTTAACCAAAGTCGTGATTGTGTTTAGACCAGGCTTTGTATTTGGGGTGATAAAAACTCTTCTCCCCTATTGTAGTGTAAAAATAATGAGCCAAACAGGGAGAGCAAAGGGAATTGAAATCAAAAGAGTATTAAATACCTGTAGTAGCGGAAACTGGCGTGCACGAGCCAAAGAAACTCCCATGTTGAAACAGAATTCCTTCTCCTTCTTTATATCTCTGAGAATATACAGATCCTCGTCAACATATATGTTTACTTGGCCGATGCTTTCAAGCCATTGTGTTGTGACCACTGGCTTGCCTGAAGCGATTGCTTCTAGCATGTTCCTTGTGCGCGTAAAGTTATCAGCAATGAAGTGTGTTGCCTCTTTCATGGAGGAAGCTTCCGAGATATCAAACCTTGCCAAAATCTGTCGAGCAAATGCAAGATTGTTAGAGGTTTACTCAGTTTAGAAGTCTTTAGTTAATGTAAAACTAAAAATTGAACTACCAATTGAAAAAAGAAAAAGAAAGGTATAAGGTTTATACCTTCTTCTGATGCTTGGTCACATCTTCATCAAGATGCTGGCTGAACAAGACACGTACACTACCCAAATCTCTTCTCTTTCTAGTACTCTTTGTCTCGGAGATAGGTTCCGCTAATGGTAAGGTTAAGCTACGAAATTCCCTTGTAGTGTGTGATGTAACTGAATCCTTGCAAGAAAGTCTAAGATATTCGTCACCCATGCATATAGGCGACACATTCGTTGAAGGCATCTTAGACTTAACTGGAGTATCAAAAGTGGGATCTGTACTCCTCCCTGCCTCATTAACCTGATCTTGCAAAATACGAGCTGATCTTCTCCTCTTGGGATAATTCAACGCCTCAGTGTCACCTCTACTTGATTGCCTAGGTAACTTAGACATAATATGCTTGTTTGAAAATTCTCCTTGCCTCTTCTCTGTAGTTGACACAACAACTTCATCAGGCGGATTAACTTTGTCATTTTTTAAATACCTATCCCTATTCTTCTCGCAAGATTTGGCACAAATTGATCTAGCCTTCTTTGTTTTTGTATCAAGTGATTCAACATCATTATCCACAGCCTGCATTCCCTTAATCCTCTTGGATTTTCTGGTAACGACTCCACGACTAGAAATGCCTCCTTTCAGTGACAACTTCTTACCTATTAGATTGTTTAGCTCAGGATCAATCTCCCTGCCGTCCCCAGAGTACAGAGCATTCATCACTTCAGCAGCCATTTGTGTATCTGGCCCTGCTTCTACCTCTTCATTCCTATCAAACAATTTTGTATTACTTTCCTTGGAAACTTCATCTAAACCAACAACAAAATTCTTTTCAGTTTCTCGTGAAGCAGTCTGGATCTTCCTACTTTTCCAGCAGGACGGACCTTCTTTATCAAGCTGGTCATCCTTTGAAGACCCTTCAGTATTCGGACTAGCCTTCTTCCTTCTTTTTTTCAACAATTCATCTTTACTCATAGCCTGAATCCTCTTAGTTCCCCTGGATTGTCTAGTAACGACTCCACCGGGAGAATATCCTCTTTCTTCTCCTGGTGACAGTTTCTTTCCCGTAAGACAACTTGTCTCAGAAACAAACTTGCTACGGTCTCTAGAGCACAGATCATCAATTGTTTCATCAGCAACTTGTGCATCATTCCCCAAAACAACCGCTTCACGAACATCATCTAACTCTTTGGCAAGATTCTTTTTAGCAGCCTGGATATTCTTTTGGCTCCTGGTCACACTATGCTGCAATAGTTTGGAATCAGAACGAGTCCTTCTTTTATCCACTACATCCCCAAGTCCTCCATGACTTTCATGTATCAATTCTCTTTTCTGTTCTCTAGGCAAGGTAGAAAATTCCCGTCCTTTACTTGCAATGCCAAAGAATTCATCTTTTCTTCTACGGTAGATATCACCACCTCCTTCATCCTCACGATTATCATCCCAGTCGAAAACACAGTTACCAACAGCTCCGCTTTTGTAACTTAATTTCTTTGCTAATTCTTGTGGGCCTTTAAAAATCGGGACAAATTTTGACTTTTCTTCCGTTCTCCTTCCACAGTCTGCTTCAACTTCAAAACCAAACTCTACACGGGACTCATTAATGAGCTTATCAACCAACTTAAGAGCACTGGCCTGGGATGCCTCACCAGGTTCTTGAGAGTCAATATAACTCAAATCCTCCAGATCGACATTGTAATCAACAGAATGGCAATTTTCTTCAGGCAAATCCTCCTGGAAAAGCTTCCTCGCTGTTCTGTTTCCTGTTTGTAAGTCATTTTTCTTTTCAACAAATATACTGGTAAGAGATTGCTGATTCCCTACTTCTCCAACTCTATATTCCAGAGAAGAATTATGTGTGTCTCCTTGTCCAGAAGTATGAAAGTTGACTAAAGTAGAACGGTCACTGTTGGGTATCTTTGGGGCTGCAAAACGAGCTGCCACAGCAGATGCACGGAAAGCTGCAGAACGAACTGAAGCAAACCTAGCCATCTTTTTGCCTGGTAAAAGAAAGAATGGTCACTGAAATAAGTGCAAATGAGAGAAGAAACTTCAAATGCTTCCAAGATGTTGAAAATAATATATAGACAAAAAATAGAACTTGGGAAGAATGTGAGACATATCTAATCTTAAAAAGACCACAGCATCAATGGTATGCTACTAAAACACAGGAAAACATGACTACCTTAGTAGATTAAGAATTTCTCCTAGAAGGGATTGAATATTACATGAATATTAACAGTGGGGTCATTAACTATATACAAAAATTTGCTGGTTCCCATAATTGACGAAAAATATCTCTCATGCTTGAAGGTTGGTAAGCAACTAAGGTAAGTTGAAGACATTTTTGAACCCAAGAAGCCAACTTTAAATCTCTAACAAGAAGTAAAACGGGAACGAAAAAGGACTAAAATTTCATTAACAAACTCCGCAATATTGGTTAGAAACTCACCAGAAATCCCATGTTCATTTGACCAAGCATCAAGGGCACATGTTGATTTAACCTTTCCACTACCATCCTGTCTGTTCTCTTCACTAGATAAAACAGTTTTGGCTTTACTACACGAGTCATCACTGTCGTCAGAGAGCTCACTACCATCTTCCAAGACAGCAGTAACATCATCATCACTATCCGCAACAACTTGATCATCAAAATGATCCAAAACCTGTGTAGCCGCCAAACCATCAGAAGCTTCGAGTAACTGTGTCCCTTCAACAAAAGGTTCTTCTTGGGTTTCAAATACCAAATCAACTGCTTGAGTTTCACCACAAAGTAGAAACTCTTCATTATCACATCCAATATCCACGACCTGAGTCTCCATATATTGATCATCAATCCAAGCACTGTCCTCAAAAGGTTGTGTGTCACAGTCCCCAAACAAACTATCTTTATCTTCGCCTAAGATTCAGAACAAATAAGGTCAGGTGGTATTAATCATAGTAAACGAACACCAAAACAAACAAACTACAGAGAAAGTAACTAAGAAACCACAAAATTTTTCCAAAATCTTCAAATTAGAAATCAACAACACAGCAAAGTCAGGTTTTTTTTTATAAAATCTCAACTCCAACTCTAATTGAAATTGGGAAAACAAATCGAGGAGAAGCCAAAAAAATCAGAGCTTTTTACAAAAACCCTAAAGAGATCGAATAGTTTAAAAAACATACCAGAAGCAGAAGGCGAAGAGGGATTAGAATCATCATCAATCGGCTGGGTCTCTTGATCCGCTGAAAAGTTATTATTTGCTTTAGCCATTACGATTTATCCACCGACAAACTCCGAACCACGATAATCCAATTCGCCGGGATTGGTTTCTCAACACGAATGATTAGAGAGTAATTTTTGACTTGAGAGTTTATGAATTCAATGTAGATCCCAAAAGACAGCGAGAAGACAGTGAGTTATTAAGGCGCGCAAAAGACAGTAAAGTGTCGTCTCTTTAGGGTTCTCGCGGGTGAACTACCAAATTCGGGAGGGAAATAAACAAATAACAATTATATAGTTTTTGTTGTTACATTATCACATTATTGGGCGTTTGGTCTAGTGGTATGATTCTCGCTTAGGGTGCGAGAGGTCCCGAGTTCAATTCTCGGAACGCCCCAATTTTTTTTTTTTTAGTTTTTTAACCGTTGATTGGGTAATATCACCAGTCACACCACTCACCAACCACGGAGGAAAAAAGTTAAACGGTATGTACAGTATATTCATATGTCGGATTCGTACAAAGACTGTTTTGTTATCATCAGGTGTATGGTTAAAGAAACAGTCAAACAGGGTAAGTCGTATAGACTGATCAGATCAAAACTAGTGAGCTAAACCCTGGGGATTTCTCAAGTCCTCTTTTCTCCATTTCCACTCTTATCGTTTCTGATGTTTCCCATCTCTCGGCGTGTGCATATAAGTTCGATATCGACACAAGATGGTTCTCGCTGTCACTGTTTGTGATGCTTCCTGTAGTCTCGATGATCTTCATCACTTGGTCAGCCATTTCTGTATCCATATGGACCTTGCAGGCACCTAGTAAAGCTCCCAAAACTGTATCGTTCGGTTTCACAGGCATTTCTCTTATCAATTTGTAAGCCTCTTTCAGTTTCCCAGACCGTCCTAAGAGATGAATCAAGCATCCGAAATGTTTAACGTTTGGTTTCACATCCTTTTGAGTCATCTCCAAGAATATTTTTAGACCTTCCATTAAAAACCCTCCATGTGCACAAGCAGTGAGAACCGCCATAAAAGTGATCTCGTCGGGATTTGTATCTAAGCTCTCCATCGTTCTGAACATCTCTAAAGCTTCTTTGCCTTTCCCATGAATGGCGAAACATGAAATCATTGAGTTCCAGCACGCTACACTTCTCTGACTTAACGACTCAAACACGGAAGTCGCATTCTCTAGATCCCCGCATTTAGCATACATATCGATCAACGCATTTGAAACAAACTGGTTAAGTTCGATTCCTTTATGATAAACCAGAGAGTGAACGTCTCTGCCAACATCAAGACGGCCAGATTGAGCACAAGCAGATAAAACACTTGAAACCGTGACAGCATCTGGTTCATACCCTTCTCCTTGCATCTTATAGAAAGCATCAATAGCATCATCAGAGTACCCATTCTGTGCATAACCAGTGATCAGAGTGTTCCAAATCACCAAATCACGAGAACAAACTCGATAAAAAATAGCTGTAGCCTCACGCACATCACCTATCCTAAAATACCCAGAGATCATCAATGACCATATGAAGGAGTTCTTCTCTGGTATGTCCTCGAAAAACATCCTTGCATCATCCATTTCTCGATTACTAACGTACACTCGGAGCATCACCGACCAAGCCTTCACATTCTTCAGCTCAAGAGGCATTCTCTCAAACAATTCTTTAGCTTTCTCAATCTCATTTCTCTTCCCATACCCTTTCATCATCTCGATCCAAGTCACCGTATTTCTGCTTCCGGATATCTCTTCAAACAATCCACTAGCCGAAACTTCATCGCCATTACCCATATACCCACCAATCATAGCGTTCCAAGTAGCCACGTTTCTCTCAGGCATTTCGTCAAACACTTTACGAGCAGAAACTATACAACCCCATTTCCCATACATGCTGATCAGAGAGCTTCCCACCATAACATCGGAGCAAATACCGAACTTGATCGACTCAGAATGCAACAGCTTCCCAAGAACAACACGTGGAGCAACGCAAGCACACGCTTTCAAAAGCAAAGGAACCCATCCGGGAAAAAACACTCCTTTGCTGCGGATTCCTCCATACAGAACCAGAGCTTGTTTTGGTGATCCTCTAGAGATATGATTCCTTATTAGATTCGACACATGAAATTCACCTAAAGATAAATGTTCTTCTATATTCATGACTGAAAACTTTTCTCTAGTCTCGCAAAATTTTAAAGTAAGACATTTATATAAAGTTTTTTCTCTTGTTATTAACAAATGTTGCTTTTGTTTCCATGACCAGATAAACTTCTCGGTAGTCTTGTAATATTGACTACAACATAAAGTACTTGTACTTATATCAATTTGGATATTATTCTGGTCTTCTCGTTGCTGTAAAATGGATCCAATCATCAGCTGAGAAGAGCTTCATTTTTGTTCCAGTCATCCATATCCACGTTCACTCTCAAACCTGAGTTTACTAAAGCGTTGACCATTGCAGGGATGTTGGATCTCAGAGAAGCAACTACAGCCTGTTTTTTGCACAAGCATAAAGGAGACATGGTTTAGGTTTTTGTTTCGAGCATACATAAAGTGTATTTAGTGGCCTGCTCAGAGAGGTATCTACCTTCTTATCTTCTTCATTTTGGTGCTTCATAATGTCCACCGGCCACTCATTTACCAGCTTCTTGAATTCAGCCTCAAGTACCAACTTCTTCTCATCAGGATATGCCTGTGGAGAGTAAACATAATCACATATTTTAAAAATGTTGTGATCCCGAATTTAGACTGAGATTCCAGTATTCTCGTTGATCCATCGAAAAATAAGACATTTATCAGCCTCTGACTGACCTGACATAGAATTTGGATGACAGCAGCAGCTTCTTCTGGTTTATGTTCTAGCAGAAAACCCTGAGAGAGAGAGAGCAAATGCTTCAAAGGATAAACCGACATTTGATTCTAGAAGATATGAATAGGTATGATAATGCCCATAACATGAGGGGATACAGAAAGAGATGTTTTACCTTGGCACATGAAAAAGCCCCGGAAAGGGTGTGTTGAGTGTAAGTCTCAGATCTCAGTTTATCAACATTCCATAACGACTTTGAGTCTCCTAATAAAAGCATCAGAACAATGAGACAGTAGGCAATTGACATCCAAGTAGTATAGACAATCTAATAGAAACAATTAGGTTGGCATATCTCAGAACACTGAAGTAGGGGCCCTATGATAGGTTGAATATCTCGTCAGATGTTTACTAGACATACCTCAAGACCACTTCAAGTTCAAATTATGAAATGGTTGTAACAAAATCCACCATTGACCAAGAAATCACCGGATGTACAACTTAAGAAACCAACTACACTAAAATGTACCTCTTTTGGCAGCAAATTCCATCCATACATCAAATGTGGTCTTCCTGAGCTTGACTCCAGCTTTGCAGAACTTCTTTGAGTACTTAGCTAATAGATCCCAGTTATCTGTATCATGACAGATCCTGCAAACATTCAGCTGAAGTTCATTTCATGATAATAAAGCTCATCGAATTAGCAGGCCATGTAAACCGAAAGCACGAGTATTTCAACTACTTTTAAAGAAATATGTAAAATAATGATTTAACAAAAACGTATACACCCCTGAAAACCAAATCCGCTGTCCCAGGTTGTAAAGGCAGGTTATTCATTTTCAGGAGTTTCATTACTTCGTCCATGAGTTTCACGTCCTTGTGCTCTAATGCGTATGACTACAACAAAACCAGCAAACATCCTTAAAATCTGTGCCCCAAACAAACGACCAACCAGCTTATGCACTATCAATACCAGTAAATGGTGTGCAGATGCAACACTAGGAGTCAAACCATGAACGTTATGTTTCCAAAGTGCTCTTTTACCTGCAGCCATACTTATAAGAGCTACATTACCATATTGACATTTTCTCAGAACAGCTAGGAAAAGAAAACTGAACCACAGGTCAGGAGTGAAAAACTTAAATAAAGTGAAGCAAAAAGTACTAACTCTGCAAAAAGTAATATTATTACCATGGTTAATTGCCCCCACACTTACACAAGTCTTAGCAACTTGCCGGCATAGATTGCAGTTAAAGTTGTCATGGATACGAAGGTTGGACAATCTCTACAATCCAACATGTAAAAACGTCAACTAAAAGCTTAACCTCAGACTTAATACATAGTGAGAACTATAGGAACACGGAAGGGAGAAACAAACCACTCACAAATCTCCGTAGATTCTGCAGAACGTCAAAAAGAAAACTAATGTCATCCTCCTTACGACACTTGTCAATTAATGACCACAACCAGGCATTTGGAGGCATCGATCTCTTGACATTAACAGAATCAAATATTTTAGCATGTAATTCCTTGACAGACTCTGCGTACAAGCGAATTCGATCAGGATACATTCAAACTAGCTCGAAAGCCAATTCCAAAATAAAGCGTCCAAATTAACAACCTGTAGGATTTTCTACACGTTTTGCTTCAGAGGAAAAGTTTGCTCTCGAAATCATCGACGCCGTCATAAGTCGTGATTGAGCGTACAACTGATTGCAATTATCCATCCCTGCAAAGCATTTTCATCTAAATAACTCATCAAATTGCAAAGACCAAGCCTATACTTGTCTAGAAACTTATGCCATAAATATATACATGACATTACAGAGTGCTAGGAATAGTAAAAAATATTCATCGTAAGATGTATGTTCCTCAGAAGAATAAACACTCTATAAACTTCTCTATCTGCTTAACTCTTTTGCTTCATTGAAACTCGTATCCAATAAACTCAAAGATGATATAGAACTCCTTCTACATTGTAAACGATATCTGCAGTGCAATTTGACAGCACCAACAAACCAGTAACCATCTAAATCGACAAATATCTAATCTCAGGCAAATGTGAATCAAAAGTGTAAGAAATTGCCAGAAAATATTATCACTCTGTCCTCTTTCAAATCCAAAAAAAAAAAAAAAAAACATCCTAATGAGGTTAAAAAATTCTCGCACACAATAAAAGTTCCCATTTTTAAAGCTTCAATGACGAATCAAGCAACTACAGATGATAATTTCGTCACCCCTCAAAGAACGGAGGATGTGTGAAAATGAAAAGATGGTACACCTGGAAATGCAGAGTAGGAAAGAGATCGATGGCTCGGCCATTGAACAGCGTGAGAAGCAGTGGATACAAATCTCGCATCAGCCTCGACAAAAGCCAGAGGTTTCAAAACCCTAGCGATTCTACGAGACTGCGATAGATACTGCATGACTTCGGGATCAATCAACTCCAAAAGGTTCAGTGCAGAAGAACAGTCCAGTCTTGACGCAAGAACTCAGTATTTTACGAATTTTGGCCTCAAAAATTGGTATTTTCATAAAACACCCCATACTTACTTTTTTTTTAACAAATTACTCCGTTATTTCTCGCTGATGGGGGTGTTCTCGCATATGGGGTGTTTTATGAAAATAGTCAAAATACCAACACACATGCCTAGGCATTCGTTTTTTTGGTTTGGTTCTTTCGGTTATTGGTTAATTTGGTACACAATTTAATATCCATTCGGATATTTTAATTTTCCGGCTCGGTTAGATTCGGTTTCGGATATTTTCGATTTGATACAATTTGGTTTGAACTAATATTTTTTTTGAGTATTTCGTTTAATTCTGTCTAATGATAACTTATATTTCCGAGTTTATATTTGTAATTTTTGAAAACTGAATTAATATCAAATCTAAAGGTAACTTATATTTTGGTATACAATTATATCTTGGTTACCCTTTCAATTTGTTGGTTTAGTTTCTATTTTCGAAGAATAGAAATTTAGGATCTATTCACTTATTTTGTCGATTTTGGTTTGGTTTTTAGGTTCCGGTTCCGGTTCCGGTTAACGAATAATTACAAGTATGCTTACCAATCACAAATAAACGGTTATCGATCTATTAGTTTTTATAATTAAGTTCTTGTTACACAATCTTATCGCATAATTTTATCGTTTAAATTCAGTTAGATTCTACATATAAATTTGAAGTAGGATACTGTATATAAATGAGACGAAATAATTGGTTTGGTTTTGACGACGTCAAATCGGTAATGAGATTGTAACAAGTGGTACTGATCTATTCTAGCTGTATATGTTTATCTTTGGAAGAATCGATCGCTTTATCCAACCAGGCCCATTCATGCATGAATGGTCACGTTATTATCTTAATTTGTCATCATATTCCCTTGATCATGATCCTATTCCAACACACAGTATCCAAGAATATATACCTTTCCTTATACATTTTTTTATAGTTTAAAATGAAATAAAGCTCGATCAACACATGCATATTAATTAATGCATCATTGTGCAATTTGTGTTGAACAGTTTAGTGATATCAGGACAATGATATGGATTTGTGTAAGAAACTTTAAAGACTTTAGACAACGTTAACAACATTGTCTCGGCTTCGTCTAGAGACTTGTAGATGATGACTACTAAGTATCTTATTCTATTGGTGTTGGAGAAAATTTGAAAAATTTCAGGAGATTTTAAAAGTTAAAATATTTGGTCCCGGACAAGTGAATTTCAAATTGCAAAATGTCAACTCCGAAATTATAATTTTATATAAAATTTCATGTATAACCCACGCATCGCGTGGGCAACTTTCTAGTATAGTATATGAAGAGAATATATCTATATAATCTCTAGCTAGATGCGCCATGCTCATATATATGACGATATATGCTTAACGATCAGGAGGTACCAAAGATCGTCCACTACTTTTACTTTTTAATAGCGTGATTTATCTGACTGATCTTATTAGAATAATACTAATCATGCATCATCAACGGTTTCGGTTACATCGGATTTTGTGATTACATCAGCTATAGAGAGTTTCGATTCAAAGTTAGGATGATAAAGAGAATTAAGTATATAGTCTTTCGAGCCTGTGAATCACCAATAGACAGATCATTGCATCTAATCTGGTATCTAGTTCAGATTACAAGTTTCCTAGAATCAAAGTAAGAACCGTGTAGTACACCAAATTCTAAAACATAATAATGTAGTAGTACAAGACGTTTAATAAACGACGTTGAACCAAGTCGCCTTGGTCAGTGGTAAAGGGAAGTAAGTTTCGCCATCTAGCTTCGAGTAGCATTAGCTATGGGGGTTCGAGATTTTAACATGATTTCCTCCGGTCTCAATAGATTATAGTCTTTGAGCTTAAAAAACCTTTGGATCACTCCCGAACTATATAAAAAAAAAAAAATACCAACGACGTTAAAAATGTAGAAACTAATAATTTCTGTGTTTCTATATCACCAAAACATACTTAAGAGTGTTTATTGCGATGGATATCCCGGTCCTAAGGCCAATTTTTACATCAACCTTTTGTTTTGAGATCAAAATCATAATTAAGGAGATTATAAAACCGTAAATGATGATCAAATACGATCGAATCTTACCATTTACCGAGAATCACTGCGAGACACTAAAACAATAGTAGCTAGCTACTTGAGGAATTTGGCAGATGACGTGGTTATTGGTTAATTATGCCTTAAGTACAATGGTCATGTCGCCACTTACATCCTCATTGTCGTACGGTCCTTTATAATCGTTTGGCTCCTTTGAAATCTCAAGAGTCACAAGGAATTATGTGTCCCATCGTCTTATTAAGAATATATGAACTGTTTTGTTATAGTAATCCCAACATGCGATTGCAAAACTTAAAATAAAATAAAAACACAAACAAGATGAACCTAAATGATAACGTGCATGGAGTGCGAACGCAAACTTTAATCTTTCATAGTTACTTAACAAAAAAAAAAGGAAGCAACCTATATTATCTTACTTTGAATTTGAGTTTCTGTCTAGTTCATCATTGATCACACAAGTGATGATCGATGAGAATCAATGCAAAGTTGACATTCCCTGAACACGTAATATATATTGATCCCCAAAAATATTGGAATTTTATTTTTCTCTTCATATATACATCATCATGATCACAAGTTACAAATCTCTATTCTCTTCACTCTCTTACTCACAATTTGTCAACTCTCGAGCATCATATCATAAGCTTCTCTTATCCACAATCTAACTTCCCACAAAATAAGATTCCCACTTTAGCGTTTGCCCCCATCATTAATCCAAAGATACCTCTATTCATAGAGATTTACATGCGAGTATGTGTATATATAGAGTTCCAAAGCTCGCCACTCCAAAACAAACTCATCATCAACAACAAAACATCTAACAGTTTCCAAGCATAGACAATACTAAAAGAGTAGTACTATATATACAAAAATGGATGTGGTAGCAAGATTAGCGTCGCAAAGAGCAGTGGTGATATTCAGCAAGAGTACGTGTTGCATGTCCCATGCAATCAAGCGGCTGTTTTACGAGCAAGGTGTGAGCCCAGCAATTGTAGAGATCGACCAAGACATGTACGGGAAAGACATCGAGTGGGCCTTGGCCCGTTTAGGCTGCAGCCCTACGGTTCCTGCGGTTTTTGTCGGAGGGAAATTTGTAGGAACGGCCAATACTGTCATGACTCTTCATCTCAATGGGTCATTGAAAATGTTGCTCAAGGATGCTGGTGCTTTGTGGCTTTAGCATATATAGCACCTAGTTAATATTGTATGTGGTCTTCAGTGTTTTTATATTATGTATGATCTTTACTTTGACCTTTGAAAGTCTCTTCACTTTATGTATGTTTAATCAAATGCATGTGAAGAAACTACTCTGTATGATGTCTCTATGTGGAGGTTGATTTAATGATTAACTATAACCCATTTCGGATAACATCTTTGTTTTTATTCCCCACTCCTCACAGATTAATTTCTTTGGTATAATTTATCTGTAACGAAATAATCTCCACTTTAATTAACTAGGAACTATATAGCATGTAATAACGTAAACATATTATTTAAAAGTATCAGAAATTGAAGTCGATCATATAAATAATATTATCTTACATACATTTGAGTTCTTTTCTAACGACTAAATTTTTTATTTGGAGGAATATGATAAGTTGAATAATTGTAAAGTTTATAGGTCAAACTATGGCTGAAAATGGTTAACCCCCAAAGGAAGGAGATGAGTAATTTTTATTTTGTTTATCTCTTTGGGGTTTTTTTGTTTTTTTTTCTAATTTTTTATCTTTTATGTTCATATCATTAAACTGAATTAAAAAATTTACATTATCACATGTACTTTTCATCCAATATTTTTAGTAACGAGTTGCAACATTGATATCTCGGATGTGTTTAGGTACCATTCGGTCCAAAGACAATATGCTTATTTTTACCAGTGTCTACGTACCAATGGAATAAAACATGTTCGCTTTACATTAACTGAATTGCTTCAAACATAGTGATGTCACGTGTAGTGTTCTCTTATCTTTAAGTAAAGTTTGAGATAAATCCAATTTTTAATCTAAAAGTGTAAGGATTTACAACATATATATTTTGGATGCGTTTAGACAATATGTCACATTACATTGATTGAAACACTTCAAAACATGGTGATATCACGTATAACGTTCTCTTATCTTTAAGTAAGATTACCTCCATTTAGATTGTAAGGGCAACATTATGAATGGTATTTTGACACCTAAGATTTACATAGTAAATATACTGTCCTATGTAAATCTTAGGTGTAAAATACTTTTGATAATTTTGGTCAAAGATAATCTAATTTGTTACTTTTTAGTGTTGCAAAAGATTTATTAATTAGATTTTTTCCCATCTTAAACAAAATTTCCGAATAAGTTTTCTCATGTATAGATATACATTGAACAACGAACTATCACTACAAAATCTGTGGTCTAGATAATATCATCTTTCTCAAAAAATATACTACAACACTCACCAGAGTCGCAAACGCTCCTGTTTCTGAACACATTTGAAAAAGGTATGTGATTACTTTATCTACTTCCTCACCCCATGATACCTCTTGCTCATCCACACCATCAGCTCGTACTAACGCGGCGCCCTTTACACTATCATCTACCACCCTTTCTTTCCTCCCAGCTATTTACTCATAAAGATCGTCGGAATAGATGATAGTGCATGATTATGATGATGTTCGGCTTGCACCAGTGTTGTTATTTTCGATCTGCACATGAATTTTGACGGAAAAACTAGATAGTTATTTTTTTTCAACTGGAGATTTTTTTTCTTTCTGAAAAATCTTGTTGTATTTAATTTTTGACTTGATAGAATTTTATCTATTGATTTTCACCAATTTGAGATGTAATTTGAGATGTTGAATGTTGTGAAACAAACATATTTTATATGTTCATAAATCATAACGTTGGTTTTTTTTTTCTTTTCTAGGAGGCATTATAACAGATTATGGTGATGTTGAAGCTGGACACAATGATGATTACATACATAGCAGCTGCATTTGCAATCATAGCGATTGTAATCGCGTTACTTTGGGTTTACAGAGTATTGTGTTGTGACAAAAGCTCTCACAACAATTCAAGAGAAGTTGGTAAGTCTAATCTTGAGAACCCACACATAGTATTATACATTTGATCTTTGGTTGGTAGGGTTTTTTGTTTAGCCTAACATATTAGTTGTTATGCAAATGTTAATTTGATATGCTAAATTTGAGAAATTACATCTTTTGATGCTCGTGTAATTCATTTCAACAAGTGATGCCACAAGGCGTGACTGAGTTCTCCGTGGAGGAGTTAAGGCTAGCGACAAACGGTTTTGACATGATTGCGTATGGATGGTTTGGATCTGTTTATAGCGGGCTGATCGGAGACATGATCGTTGCGGTAAAAAGAAGGATTGGTTCTCTCCATCCTAGATTCTTGGCTGAGGTACACACAAACAAAGCTTTTCTTGATTTCATTTTTATATACATGTATATGTGACTTTATTTATATATATTGTGTTGTGTCTTAGGTTTCTTACATATCTAGAATCCGACATAGTAATTTGGTTAATCTTGTCGGCTATTGTTGCGAAGACGGTGACCAAATGCTCGTCTATGAGTATTTGCTCAACAGCAACCTGCGAGAATATCTAGAAGGTACGTAGTAATGCGCAATAACGAAACTCTTAAAAATTTGGTCAATTCATTATTTTTATGTGATCTTAATATATATATATCTCTCTATTGGTCATTGAGTAGATCACCGTGACTTAACGTTCAAGAAAAGGATATATATAGCTCTTGGAGCAGCAAAAGGTAAATCAAAATTGGATGATTCAAAAATCACATTAACAAGTTTTATGAAAAACATATAAAGTGTCTCTTATCTTATTTAATGTAGGGCTGCAATACTTGCACAACTCGACCCCTCCATTACAACACAAAAGATTTTCGATGTCTAAAGTTTTGCTTGATGTCAACCTCAACGCCAAGATTTCAGATGCGGGAATGTACGGAATGTTTCAAGAACTTGATAGTAGCCTACGCCCCAATAATCCAAAGTATTAATCCACTAACGATAAGTTTTACATTATTCATCATCATAAGAGTTACCTAACAAATATGTGTTTCTAATGAGTATTACGATTGTTATCTTTTTCTATAGAGGTGGTTTGGAAGAGACCATTGATGTCTTCAGCTTTGGGTTGTTTCTTCTAGAGCTTATCACCGGTGCAGAACCAAGAGAGTTCAAATCAAACTTTCAAATCATTCAATGGGTAAGGAGAAAACAAAAGCTCTCTTTTCTTCTTCGTATAAAACTCTGACAAATTGTGTTATCTTAAAACTCGGTTTTGGAAATGTCTTTGTGATGTGTAGATAGCTCCGAGGATTTTTTCAAACTCACTTTGGGATGAGAGAATGACTGGAACATTCAAGATAGAATCCATCCACAGTTTTATCAAGATAACACTAAAATGCTTGAAATACCCCGCGATTCACCGCGCAAAGATGGATGAGGTTGTGACGGAGCTCGAAAACATTTACCAGAATGAAGACAATCCATTTGCTCTAGGAGGCAATGGTTTTACCATAACCATTGCCTGAGAATGAATGAAGTGCTATGGTTCTTGTTCTTGTTTCTTGTTTCTTGTTAAACCACAGTGGATTCGAACCAGTTAGTTGAATTTGGTTTACCTGGAATAAACCGGATGAACCCAAATTCAATTGGCTAACGAGAACCTGATTTTGATTTTGAAATAAAATTTTGCATCTTTGCATTATCATATGATTATTGATTAAGCAAAATTATCATTATAGATTTTTTTATAGAAGTGGTGGTATCCGAAATTTTACATTTTTATCGGATTCTCTAAAATTTTTATTTTTTATTTTAAAGGTTTTCGCGGTTATATCCCAAAAAAAAATTGTTTCAATCTCTTCTTCTCGCTTTGCTGCTTCTTCATATTCTCTTCTTCAATCTCATCGATCGCCCAAAACCCGAAGAAGCTTTCTTCTGATCTGTTCATATTTCCGATCTCTCTTACGAATTTTTCTTTAATTTTATCTCCCAAGTCCCGGCTATGGCTTCCGAGTGATTTTGGGATTCTTCTTCTAGGTAAGTCTCTTGTAATCTTCTCTTTGATTGTTGTCTTGCGATAAAGGCACTTGGCTTTTCTGATTCTGATTCTTTCTCGTCGGATTTTGAAATGATTAAGCTTTTAATTAATCGTGTTTTTTTTTCAATTTCTTTTGTTCGTTTCTATTCGGTATGCAAATTTCTGGATTTTTTGGTGCCAAGTTGTGAGTTTAAAAATTTGGTTCTCTTTTGTTTATGGGGGAATCTGCCTCACTGGTTTTTGAGCTTTCGATTCGGATTCGAAGCTTAAATCGATTGGTGTGATTTGAATTTTGAAACTTGAAACTTAAATCGATGGATGTCAAGGTCGTCTGATTTGAATTCGCGGAATTTTTCAGTATAATTAACTACTTGGAGTTGCTGAAAGGAGATTTAATTTCCAATTCGTACAAGTTTTTGTTGTAAACCTTGTCTGGGTTTCATACTATATTGAGCGGAAGTACTGTTGACACTGATAATGAGCATTGTTTATTTTTCATTAATATGAGTTAGATTTTGCATGCAGGATTTAGTTTCATGACTGTCTGTAGTCGTTTTCTTTGGATTAGCCTATGATGTAATGTGCATATTGGGTTTGTATCTTGGCAAAATCTTAACTTGGTTCTAGTTTTGGGAATAGTTCAGGTAACCCAAGTGCATAGCTAATGGCGCCTTCAAGATCAAAGAAATCTAAGTACAAGAAAACTCCCAGGAGTAAAGCTGTCTCTCCTCAAAAAGACGACGAAAATATGAGCAAAACCAAACAACGGGTAAGCTGTTTTCTTAATATTTAGCTGGATGACTTCAACTTTTGGTTGGATTATATAGACCAGGTTGAGATTTTATTGTGGAAATTTTGCATAGTTAGGCTGCAGAAGGATGCCAATATTTAGCATTACCCTAGATGTCGGCTATGTGCTACACTTTTTAGTGATTACCCCAATATCTGTTTCCTGATTGATTCAAGTAGTTTATTACCTTTTTTGACAAAAATGTTTGGTTTACTCATATCGTTTCTACTTTTAAGTTTTGATTACGTTCCTATTTCAAGGAAGAGACATTGTTTTACCTTTATATCCAATGTGCAAGCAAATTTTTGTTGCTGCGACAAATTGTATCAGCTGGTATCCCAGCATATCTTATAGTGCTCCTTACATGCAGAAGAGGAAGTTGTCGGATATGTTAGGTCCTCAGTGGAGCAAGGAAGAGTTGGAGCGCTTTTATGAAGGATACCGCAAATTTGGAAAAGAATGGAAAAAGGTTAGTTGGGTTTGCAACATATGCGCGATTTGGAGTATGTTTTGTAGTACAATATTCTATTATGCAAAAAAGGGTAATAAATTGCTGCCATAGTTTCCAATAATTGTCATAGGAATGGTACTGTTATTTTTGTAATCACTTTTATTTGCAGAAATCAGCAGTAAATATGGTGTTTTCTCCTTTATGGTTTGTAGGTGGCTGCGTTTGTACATAGCCGTTCTGCAGAAATGGTAGAGGCCCTATACACTATGAATAAGGTTAGCATGCCCTCCTCCTTCCTCGGTCTGTCTTTTGATATTTGTCTAAACATTTTTTCAACTTATATTATGTCATCTGTACTTTAGGCTTACTTGTCTCTTCCCGAGGGCACTGCTTCTGTGGTTGGCCTAAATGCGATGATGACTGATCACTATTCTGTTCTGGTTAGTGCTTTAAACCGTTTAAATCATTATTTGATTTTAATATATGGTTATAACATACACACACTTGGTCCAGTTTAGGATACTTATTTCCATTTGAAACTCAAAACCATGATACATGTCTGACACCCATTCCTATAGAACATCTACTAACTTGTTAAATTTTGTCCCACCTAGGGGTTTATCACTCTGGTTTGTTCAAATTTTGTCGCTTGAAAATATAGTTTAGCTTAGGAAAGGCAATACTTTTTTGGTTGGGTGTTTTTTGGTTAAGCATTATGCATATCTTAGAGAGATGGACAGCTAACTTTGTATTTGTTGGGGACGTGGAGTGAGGTTGATTGTTGTTAAGCCTTGTTAAGAAAGTATTTCCATTTCTGTAGTGAAGGAATTTAGTGTAGTAGTATTATGGGCTGGGCTTGATTTTATGTAACGAGTCTATTTCTTCTCTAGCATGGAGGAAGTGACAGTGAGCAGGAAAATAATGAAGGTACTGAAACTCCGAGGTCAGCCCCTAAGCGCTCTAAAGTAAAATCCTCTGATCATCCCTCTACAGGATTAGAGGGTCTGTCTGATCGCTTGCAATTCAGGTCTTCTTCAGGCTTCTTGCCATCGCTAAAAAAGAGACGTACTGGTAGTGTTCTCTGCTTCTCTTGGCCTCAAAATTTTTTCTCCCATTTCATAAGCATGAGTTGTCCGTGCACACTAGAATTCTATATACGCATAAGTTTTCTGGTTTCATACCACGTTGTTGAATGCCTTGCAGAATTATCTTAGATAGTAGAACTGTTCTTTCCCTCGTTTTACCAGCGTCAGTAAAGTACAATAGTAATCTGTGAAAAAAAGTTTTTTGAGAAGATGCAACTCAAGTTAGTTCCCTCGCTAAATGTATGAAGTGGGATAAAATGATTTACCTCCCTGAAATTTTATGTGCTCAATGCTCATTAACTATCTCTCTAATGGAAAAGACCTAATGGTTGCTAATTATTTTTTAAATCATTATTTGCATGTGCCAAGAGACTCTGCCTCGTGCTGTTGGAAAAAGGACTCCTAGAATTCCTATCTCATATACCCTTGAGAAGGATACTAGGGAAAGATATTTATCAACTGTTAAGAGGGGTCTAAGTCAGAAGGGAGATGATACTGATGACGATATGGAACATGAGATTGCATTAGCATTGGCTGAGGCTTCGCAACGAGGTGGCTCTACAAAGAACTCCTACACACCAAATAAAAAAGCAAAGATGTACCTTTCTGATAATAAGGGTGAAAGAATGGTAATCTCCTTTACTGTTACATGTGATTCTCTCTTCATAAGTCTTGTGATTCTTAAAATTTGTTCTGCTTGCATACACTTTTGGAAGAAGTTTCAAGGAACCTGTTTCGATTTCCTTACATGATAGCCTATTGAAAATTCAATTAAATGGAAGGAAATAAAGCTTTTTGAAGTAGGAACTGTTTTATAGAAATTTGGACTGATAGATTTTGATGTTCAGCGTGCCGATATTGACTTGGCAATCGCCAAGCTTCGTGCTGGTGATATGGAAGATGTGCACTGTGAACCAAGCTCAGAAAGCACTGAAGCTGATAATGCGGATTATTCTGGAGGAAGAAATGACTTGACGCATGGAGAAGGTACTAGTGCCACAGAAGTGCAGCAAACAGGAAGAAAATACTATAGGAGGAGATTAGGCATTAAAAAAGAAGATGCAAAAGAAGCCTGCAGTGGTACAGACGAAGCACCAAGTTTAGGTGCCCTCGATGAGAAATTTGAACCAGAAAGGGATGAGAAGTTTTTGAAACTCACATATAAATTTTCAAGGAGAAAAAGTAAAAAGAGTCTCTTTACTGCAGGTGTGTTCTAGTCTCTCACTTCTCTGTCTAAATTCCTATTTGCAATGCACATCAAAGTAGGAAAAAAAAAGGACTAATAGGAACTTCAGTTATCTTTTATTCAAAGCACCCCCAGGGATGCAGGTGAAGACATGCCTATACTTAGGAAAACCATCAATTAAAGTCCAGTTATCCAATTAAAGAATTAAGGCTTACTACTGTATTCGGTGGTCACTCTATCTTGTGTTTTACAACTTTAAAATTTCTGTTCCGTGACAATTTTTTTGGTTTTGATAAACTTCTTCAGAAACTAATGCCTGTTTCTGGTAATCTAAGATGAGCTCGCTACTTAGCTTAGATTTAAAGTTTTACCAAATCCATGATGGGGTTTATGATGTCATTCTTCCTGAAGATTTGTCTTACCTGTGACAAACTATAGAAGCTTTTTTGCGTTTGTTGGAATTCAACTCATGTTTACATTCATTTGAATTAATATTAATATTTATTCTTTGCATGTTTTTGCAATGTTGCGATGTTACAATTTTTACTGTTTATACCCGCACTTCAACATCTATTTCTTGAAATGCTTTCTGCAGATGAAGACACAGCATGTGATGCTCTCCAGACGCTGGCAGATCTTTCCCTCATGATGCCTGAAACTGCCACAGATACTGGTGGGATACATATGTTTGACTTATATGTATTGTTCATTTAAACGAGTATCTTAAGCTTGTTAATGTTCTTGGCCATATACATATCATTACACTGATACATAATCGAGTTTAGAGTCAGATTTACCTTCATGAAATTCATGTTGTATCTACTTTCTCACTCTAATTTTGATGTACTTGCAGAGTCATCGGTTCAAGTTGAGGAAAAGCGAGCTGGAAAAGCTTATGTGTCAGATTTAAAAGGGACTGATCCAGCATCCATTAAAAGTAGTTTTCATAGAAACTCCAAACAGAGAAGATCAGGTAGCAGTGATCTTTGTAATACTGAAGCGGAAAGAAAAAGTCCCAGTAGCTCTTTAATCAGAAAGAGACGGCAGAAAACACCACCAGCTAAAGTAAGAGAA